CTTGTATTGTGTAACATTGTTTTAACCCAAAAAATTTCCTTTTTAGTTTCTCCTTCATCTCAAAAGTTGGTTTAAGTCGGTGGTTTAATCGGTTTAAGTTTCATTATTTTAAGCCTACAACACATTTGACCTTATTTGGGATATTTTAGATTTTATTCACAATAGTCCCAAATCGGTTCAAAATAATAAATCTGCCAAGTTTCAGCTTTTAATATTAATATTAATTTTAAAAAATACATGTGTTAAAAAACTTTGAGTATCACGGGGGCCCCACAATACGCAAGTATTTTTTAAAATCTAACTTTTAAGTTTTATAACTTTGTAAATTGATGAAAAAAATTAAAATTTGGCACAAATGTTGTTAGGTACTTATTTGATGTATAAGACGGTGTAGTTTTCTTACTCCTGCTATTTAGCCCAGTAAAGTTAGGGTTTTACTTCAAAAATAATCCCAGACCTGTGAGATATTTTTTTCTGAATCTTGTACAGGTTGTTTCAAAACGTGTCGAAAAATAAAGAATGTGATTCCTTGCCTAACTCAAAGAAAAAAGTTCCTATTACCGCATACCGTTTTATTAATTTATCAATAATATTAGGTACTTTTTAAGGACTTTTTATATGCCAGTGAGATTTTAGAGCTGCGGAAGTTTTTTGGTCCCTAACTTCTGTGACACTGCGGCAATTGACATTCTGAAAGCCCTTTTAAGCCAATCAGATCGTGCCATTTTCATTGTTCATGTTGAGTTTATTTTTCTCAATTTTTCCGAAAACTAATTAAATTGTAACAAAAGATTGGATGGTATTAAAAGTTTTATATACTAAAGGGACGAAGCATAATTTTGTACCCGTTTTCCGATCCAATTAAATTAGAAGTAAAAGTTTGAATTGATTTGTGACTTTTTTGACAAAAGTCATTTGATTTAATTCACGAATTAAATCTTTAAATTAAATCATGTCAACTCTGTTTCTAGGAATTGAAAAAAATTTCGAGCTTTGTGCATAATAAACAGGACATATTTTTTTCTTTTTAATAGTTTTTAGTTGACATAGAAAGAAAAGTCTAAACATTACTAAAAACAATTAATTTGTAAAATCCGTTGAAAAACAAAAATAATGTAAAAACCGGAAAAATGTCTTTGTTGCTTAGTTCATTTAATAATATATTTTCGGTAGTACAACAGACTCTTGTATGGTCTATTTGGCAAATATCGCAGAAATGAAAGCACTCTGATGGGCAGGCAGGTTTAAAGTCGTTGGGCGATAAATCGCAAACACGGTATTTAGACCATGCATTTTTTAAGAACTAAAATGCATTTATTAATACAGTAATGACCTGCGCTTATGCAACAACAATTTACAATTTTACTTTCTCCAATTTCCTCGGTGCACGTTGTTTCACTAATTATAGACGCGAAATTATTATATTAGTTAATAATACTAGGAAATGCACGTTTTTTTATGACAAATGGTTAACGGTAAAAGTAAATTGTTTTTGTTTAATTTTTTCCACATAAATTAAAATATGCCTTCGTCGGCAGATTAACTGTTAACAATGAAATTATAAGTAAAACTTTAATTCCAACAATTTTGTTGTGAAATATACATATTACTTCGCTTTTAAATTTACTGTTCAGTCAACGATTTTGCTCAATAATTTTTCTCACGAATTGTTATGAATATTAAATAATTTAATTAAGTCTAATTAATTTTAAAGGAATAAATTTGTTTTAAAACATTTTGAAATATTTATATTTGTCGCGTAATTAATACCCAGACTGCAATGAAGGTTCGAAAATATTCCAGGAATATTCCCTATCGCCTAGGAATAATCCGCTTCATTCTAGGAATATTCATTGGGAATATTCCTAGAATGATCCTCTAAAACTTCCAAGCATCATCTTAGAACATTCCCAGTGAATATTCATTAGTTTAGCTGCAATACCTCTCACCGTTGCTTACGCACGCTTGATAACTATATATACCGATAGGTTAATAATATCAGTTGGAGATGTGCGTCTGTAATGGCACAGCTAAACAATGATTAGAGTGGGACTGATCTACTCAGTAACTCAATAATGGCTATACTTAAGTTAAGTTCCTGGGTATAAGAGGCAATAAGGCTGGGAATAATCCCCAAATTATATCAAGGAATATTCCCCTAACAATCCTTGAGTCTTCTGCAGGCAGATATATGGAATATTCTTTTTATGATGCCTGGGTTAACCAAAAAGCGGACATTTGATTATGCCGGGAATATTCCTGGGAATATTCTTGGACGCTTGGAATATTCCTGGGAATATTCCTGACATGTGCAGGGAATGTGATTTTGCGGTCTGGGTAGGTAATAGTTCAAAGAACAAAATTTGCAATAAGGAGAGTAATTTAAATTACTAATTCATAATATTTTTATACAAAATGTCATTATATTACAAAAATTATTAAATCAATTAAAAGCAGTGGCGTCACTATGGCGGAGGGGGTCAATTTTGGCCATTCTTAACGTCACACGATTTATAGACGGCTCCTTGCTTGAAGGGTTTACCACCAACTGCGTTAAAAAAATTAGACGGCAATGAGAATTGCAATTTTACTGTGAAACGATTCATTTTACAAAAAAACTTTAAAAGGACTTTTTTTCGTAAACTGACTGCTTATTTTAAAAATGTGGAATTTTTTTTATATATCAAATGCGTACTTTTTTTCTCTAACAAAAGAAGAGCTGTAGTATGAAAACGAATTTTCTTACTACCTCGACTCAAAATACGTTGTTTCGTCCCCGATTTCACGGCAGAAAGTTTACGTTTCTTGCATTGGTCAAGCTATACGCGCACACTCTAATAACGGGAGTAAAATTTTTTTAGTCGTGCGCTTAACATTCAAATTTCGTACTGCCAACATGAGAAACACAAAAATATGACAGTTTTAAACCATAATTTTGCAATTATAACAACAAATAAACAATTTATGTTTTTACTTTTTTACTTTTTATGTTGTTTTAAGTGTTTAATGGTACTTTTATTTGTTATAAAGTAGTAATTTGTTAATTAAAATACAACCTTTTATTTTTACTGTATTGGCACCGCTGAATTACCATGACAACGCTACAGTTTGATTGATTTTGAATGTAAACGTCAGAATTAAATTAAACGTCAGATTTTAATTTTGACACAAGTTTTTTTATATACATTTAATTTTTTCCCGTATTTTCTGCGGGGTAGCAAGAAAAATAGTATACACTACACGGGCAGAAAGTGAGAGTCCTGAACTGCGCGCCATGATGCCCTCGGCTTCGCCTCGGGCATCATGGCGCGCAGTGCAGGAATCTCACACTTTCTGCCCTTGTAGTGTAATATACTATTAATGCACAACTATGGTACCTAATAAAGAAACCATACTCGCCAAATTTTAATCATTTTTTTTAATTTAGGGGAAATAATTTTTTTTCAAAAAAGTATGCTAAAACTTTTGAGTTTTGGATACACGTTTTTTTAAAAATTAATAATATTTAACGTTTTTTATTGACTCTTAAATTATTAAAGGTTCCTTTTGGACCACCCTGTATATCGACGATATGTTAACTATTTATTTTATGATACATATATCGTCATATTATAAAATTGTATTTATAATGCAATTCGGCAGCATTTTAAATGTTTACTTCATAATATAATACTGTATCCTCCTTATTTTTATACAATTAAATATTATCAATAATTTTTCTGCAGAAGAAATACGTTTTTATTTTATCATCAATTGTTTAATAATGATTTTTTTTTTGTGTATATTTAAAGTTTAAAGTGTAGATCTTGATAAACTGTATTTTAGGAGCAAGAATTCATATTGGCGATTTAAATAAAATCTATGCACGGCACTGGATTCACCACCCCTCAAAACATCTCTATACTAAATTTAATTGAAATTTTTTAAGTAGGAACGATTTTGTAGCTTAATTAAAAATACACTATAATTACTATTTACAAAAATTTATTTTGTCAAGTTATCAAGTTATCAAGTTGTCCATGAAAAAAACATTGAAATAAAATTAAACTAATAGTAACATGTTACATAAAAATATTCTTATGCTTAGTTTTAACAAATAAAAAACGCAATATAACTTAAAACAGCAATAAAACAAAAAATAGAGAATTCCAGAAATTCTGTACAATTTTTGTCACCTCTACTAATCCACCATTTATTTCAATACACTTTCATATTTGTTCTGGAGTAATGGCTGCGCAGGCTTGTATTACCCTAGCCCGTAGTTCTTTAAACTGACTTATTTTTTACCACTAGCGTTGATGATTTGTGTAGGCTCCATGATAGAAGTATTAGATATAAAGTATGTTATGTGGTATTTATGGAAGCATCCCTTGTATTTACATAGCCTCTTTTGCCGATTTAAGCATATTAAAAATTAACTACGCAACATTAACAAACCCTACAAATTTTGTCGGTCTTTAAAATAGTAGTTTTTTTTATATAAAATTACATACCTACTATATTGTAATACCTAAATATTGTATTACCTAAATGTTTTAATAATTTCTTAGTAATTTTAAAAATATTACTTATAATTTATGTTAACAATAAGTATTGGACTTAAATGTTATCATATTCGTACCTATTGACCCTGAATTAGAACCACATTTTTTTATAATGTTTTATGTTTATTTTAATTGTCTTTATTGTTAACCATTATTTTATACAATGTGAATAAATAAACTACAGTGAAACTCCCTTAAGTTAAATATGAAGGGAGCAGCAAAAAACAGAGTTAAATAAATAAATTTGGTTATTGAAATTTTCGAGTTGTAGAGAAAAAATACATGTAAAATGGAATTAAACATCAGTGTTTATGAAAACAATTCAATTAAGGAAAGTTTCAATGTATTTTTAAAGAGGACCTAAGAGGTTTACACAATATAATTCGGTAAAATATTAAGTAACAAAATCCTAATGTCAATCTTCACGAGTTTATTTTTTTGTACGTTTACTTTTAGCAACCCCAATCTCGTTCAGGCTTGCACCAGTCGCAACTGGGAAGTTCTTCGCTAAGCGGACGCGGTGCTAATTTGTCCGTACCCCAACCGCCCCAGAGGTCGTCCTTGGGCAGGACGTCTTCAGGATTCCCGTCGGGAATCAAGGATCTATCGCCATCGGTCACTATAACACCTGCACCGCCGCAATCTGTTAAGGTAAGCATAAAACAACTCTTGTTAAAGAAAAAAATATTTTAAAAATCTAAAAAAACATTAAATATATTAAAAAATAAAAATAAAAAACTTTTTACATAGGTAGCTTAAAAAAAAAGCTTTGTAACCAGACATTTTCTTTTTACAAGAATAATTAATTCTTCATAAAAGTTCTTGCTTGACCCAAAACGGCTGAATCATTTATTACTGTTTCAAATTTCCTGTCTGTCCCAGAGAAACATTAAAAAATAAATAAGTAAGTATTTTTTTTATTAAGTTTTCTTTACGACAATTCAACTTGTTCCATTCAAAACTTCTTCGGGTCCCTAAATTGACCTATTGTTTTAGTTTCTCTGAAATTCTCTGGAATTTTTTAAACGGTGAAAACAGATTCAGTGGTTTTGGGTTAGGCAAAAACTTTTATTACGAAAGTTTCTCCTCTTCCCAACCCTATGTGAGGACACACTTTTTAAAAATCAATTTTTAAAAAAATTATGGTAAAAATTTACTATGTAGGTAATTGAAACAAAATTTTTATCACCTAATTTTTTGTATAAAAATGCATATATGTATGTTTATTAGAATATAATTTGGAAAATGCAAATTATATGATAAACTTTTATCAATTTTGTTTAATAATTTTCTTTTATTTAGACTTTGACTTATTAAGAACCAACAATTTTACAAATAAATATAATAATAATTAGTAGGTATAAACATAAATTTTTTGTGTAAATATAGATTAAAAATTTGCCTTGTTACAGTACTGTGCATTTTTAATTTCAAACCAATTATCTTTTTTTATAAAAGTTGGCATTATTACATAAAGGTTAGGTACGAATAAAATGGTGGATTCTAGAAAGCTTTAGTTAAAAATAATAGTTATTTTATTTTTCTCGACAGGTTTTTGATTTCAAGTTACAGGGAGTTAAACAATTTAATAAAAATAGTTCTTGTTTAAACTTTCAAACACTAAAACATAAGTAAAGAAAAATACGATACTCCACTGAAAAATATTGTTTTTCTACTCATATTACGGAAATTGACCCTTCTAATATCACTTTTATCTATGGAATGACATATATTCCGTAAAGGGTTACAGAATGAAATATTCTATCATCTGATGACAGAATAAACACTCGTGGCGACATCTCTGTTTTTAATATCTAACAAATTTTATACCGATCCAACCTCACTTTCTTCCAATTAAATTATTTTTCTATGGTATTTTTTGGAAACGTAGAAAAAGTATAGTCTGAAACACGTTTGGAATTGCATATTCCGCTCTCGTGAAACCGTCAAACTCGCCTTCGGCTCGTGTGACAAACTCTTCACTCGAGCGGAATATGCTGTATTCCAAACTTGTTAAAGAATATACTATTCTACTCGCGTGCGCAAAGTTATACTTATCCGCACGCATTTGCGTTCGCAAAGTTGTACTTTTCCGTACGCTAACTTTGCGTTAATACAGGAAAAATATAATCAAATCATAAAGCCTTTAACAATATTTTTAATTGAAAACAAAAAATATTGCCAAAATAATTCAACATAAAAATATAATTTGCAACTTTCCGCACTCTTGTAGAAAAAATGTTAAAGTTAAAAATGGAAACTGATAAAGGAAATTGTAAGATTCCTTTACGTGTAGAAAAAATATTGTCCCTAAATCATGCGTAAATTAATTTTTCAGTTAGTACAATTGCAGTAGCGCGAGGAAAAATATAATTGCGTACTTGTTAGGAAAATAACTATTTTTTTGTTTTAAACAAAATTTCTATTTTGCGTTTTTTCGAAGCCAGGTAACAGGTACTTATAAGAAAACTATTATTTTTTAATTTAAAATCTGGCGTTTAGTTTTTTCCTGTTTAAAGTTTTTTACATACTCGTAAATGGTGAAATTATACAAATTTTAAACCTAAACTAGAACTACAGTTTTTTGATGTTTTATTTTAATGAAAAGAAATTTTTTTATAAGATATACTTACAATTTAATTTTTTTTTACTTTTAACATAGGATCGTTCTCGAGATGACAACCAAACTCCTGCACAAAGACAAGCTGCAGCCAAATTGGCTCTTAGAAAGCAGCTGGAAAAGACTCTGTTACAGGTAAGAATATATTTTTCATTAAAAAATCCATATTTTGTTTTAGTGTAATATTTTTTTCCAATTAGAAGAAAAATTTTAGTAAAATGAATAATTTTAAACTAGATTTGAAATCAATATTATTATTTTACTGCAATAATATCTAAAATAAATTTTGAACAAGATCACAAGACATTGACAAACACATATTTTTCAATACAAAAAATGCATTAATGAATAGTATTCATGACTGATTTGTTATAATTTAAAATAAGTTTTTTATAATAATAATAAGTTAAATGTAATGTAGTTAATTTTGGATAATAAATTATAAACAATTTATAAAAACCATTATACAAGGTGTCCCTATACTTAGTGGCATAAATTTAGGAGCAGATTAAGCAAGTCAAAATAAGACGAAAATCTAATTTATTTAAATATTTTTCCTAATTACGTATGTTTAAAAGATACAGGGTGATAAAGTGTTACTTATCATATCAGTTTTTTAATATAACTTCTACTGTGGTAGACTTGGAAAGGTGATATTTTGCGAACAGTCACTTACTACCAAAACACATATTCACACATAATTACAATTGTTTGAGTGAACACAGTGTCGTAGAAACGGGGGTTGCTTTAAGCTTATTGTCCCATACAAACTTTGAGGTTAGGTTTTTGTAACATTTGATGCAATTTTTCGATTAAACAGTTCGGCTACCATTAAAAAGGTGTACCTCTCAAACTTCGATAAAATAAAACGTTTCCGAGATATTCGAGATTACAATAATTGTTACATCGCATTATTTAAAACGATTAAAAGGTATATGATAACTAGTTTTATTTTTTAATTGAATAAACTAAAAAGGACATTCCATGAGCCTCGGGACTTTTTGCCCTGACCGTCACATTAAAAAAAATGTAGTTTTTTCAATTAAAAAATTTGTTAACATATACCTTTTAGTCCTTTAATGCGATATAACAATTATTGTAATCTCGAATATCTCGGAAACGGTTAATTTTATCGCAGTTTGAGAGGTACACCTTTTTAATAGTAGCCGAACTGAGTAATCGAAAAATTGCATCAAATGGTATAAAACCTAACCTCAAAGTTTGTATGGGACAATAAGCTTAAGCAACCCCTGTTTCTACGACACTGTGTTCACTCGAACAATTGTAATTATTTGTGAATATGTGTTTTGCTAGTAAGTTCGCAAAATATCACCTGTCCAAGTCTACCGTTGTAGAAGTTATATTAAAAAAACTGATACTTAAGTAACACTTTATCACCCTGTATCTTTTAAACATACGTAATTAGAAAAAATATTTATTTAGATTTTCGTCTTATTTTGACTTGCTTAATTTGCCCCTAAATTTATGCCTCTAAGTTTAGGGACACCTTGTATAAACTTTAAAAAAATCGAATATTTATTCTTTTTTTTACTTCCGACACTGAAAAATTTGTTCTTAGGCACCTCTAGAAAGTGCTCACCAAATTTGAGCTCTTAATATTAATAGGAAGATCCTCCCAATCAGTTTTTCATATTTTCTTTAGTTCCTTATAAAAAAGACCATATTTCAATATTAATCAAGTGTTTAATCAAATCTTTATGCATATTTTTGTAGGAAATTAAATGCTCTACAAAAAATGACTGATGTGTTTAACCGATTACTCTAACCATTCAAAAAATATTTAAGTTCAAAGTTTTATGAATTTTTTAAAAACAATTTTTTTTTTAATTTTTCTTGAATTTCTTTTGTATGGTTAGAGTAATCGCTTAAACACATCAGTACTTTTTTGTATTGCATTAAATTTCCTACAAATATGTATAAAAATTTGATTAAACGATTGATTAATAATTAAATATGTTCTTTTTATATGGTACTAAAGAAAAAATGGAAAACTGTGATGAGGAGGATCTTCCAATTAATATTAAGAGCTCAAATTTGGTGAGCACTTTCTAAAGGTGCCTAAGAACCAAAAAAAAACATCCGGCTAAATTAAAACCACGAGCCGTTAACAGTGGCCAAAGTTTTTTTATATTTTTTTATTTGCGCCAGCTGAACTTTTTATTACTTAAAAAAAATTCAAAAACCTAAGATTAAGTTTAGCCGACCCCACATCTTTATTTGCACAAGTAATAAAAAGTCAATTTTTCGTTTAAATCATTAATATTCTAAATCCCATGGGGTCGGCTAAACGTTTTTCAATTAACTTTATATTTTAAAGAAGTAATTAGAAATACTTAAAGAATAATTTTTTCACTAGCATAAATTAATTTGAGCTTCTTTAGTGAACTTTATGTCCAAATGGGGTCGGTCAAAATTTGACCTAGGTCGTCCAATTTTTAACAGGCTCAATATAATAGCCATCCACAGCTTTCTATAACTAGCGCACCAATATTATTAAAAATAAATAAAAAACGGCTTATTTCGGCCCGGCCTAATACCCATGGTACACGAAGTATTGACCCCCTTCCCCCTTATGGACGACCCCTTAACCTAACTAATCTCATTCTTCAGATTCCTCCCCCCAAGCCCCCACCGCCAGAGATGCATTTCATCCCGAACCCCAGCAACACGGAGTTCATCTATCTGGTCGGCCTGGAGCACGTGGTCGATTTCCTGACCAAGGACTCGAAGATCCCGCCGCCGCCTGCTCCGTTCTCTTGCAGCCAGTGCTCGCTTGATTTCACGCCCGTTTGGAAGTGGGAGGGCAAAGGCAAATCAAAAGGTACGATGCGCGGTGCGATTTAACGAAGTGCGCAGCGGAAAAATCTTCTGTTTTGTTTGTTGTAGGAAATAAGGTTATTTGCGAGCAGTGCGTTACTAATAACGTGAAGAAGGCTTTGAAGGCCGAGCATACGAATAGGCTGAAGACTGCGTTCGTTAAGGCTTTGCAACAGGAGCAGGAAATTGAACAGAGGCTTGCACAGGTAAGATTTTATTTTATTATTTTTGTTTATAAAAAGTAGCTACCAGTACTAGTATATTTTCTGTAGTACTATTTTAAAATTTTATAATTTGTTCAATATTTCCTGTTTGTTATTTTTTTGTGGATAATTTTGCACTATCTAATGGTTTCTAAATTAATTAATAGACGTTTTTATCTATTACTTCTAACCACTTCTAACGCTTTCTAGGAATTCTCCAAATATTTAATTATAATAATATAATACGTAATAATAATATGTATATAATTTTTAAAGCGAAACTTCTACTTAAGTCCGAATCCGAAAATTTGTCACGGAAAATATGAAACGAAACAAAATGGGCTCTGTCATCTGTCATTTTTAACATTGTCATCTGTCGTTTTAAACATTTGTAAACTGTTCTCTGTTATTTTTGAATTCGTAAAATCAGCACAATAAATTGAATGGCCATTTTTATCGTGCTGATTTCACGAATGATGGCATTGTTTTTCGCCGAAATCTAGAAAAAACTGTTCTATTTGACCATACAATTGTTTAATTAAAAATTAATCGACCAAAATTTATTGTCAAAAGAAATTTTTTGAAACAAAATGTAGTTATTCTTGAACCGATAAATCGATTTTAATAAAACTGCATATCTAAGGTAAAGAAGTGGAAAACTCCTTTTATGGTCAAATTTAGTCGCTGCCAAATCTGCATGGGTGCACGTCATCAACGGCATATGACGTCAGCGTCTATTCATACGTGCCCAGGCACAATCTAACGCTCGGGTATTGTTAACTGTTTATTGCGGTTGGGACTGTTTATTAAGATTGAATTATAACATCATTGTTATAATCTTTTACACTAGCTAATTAGGAGTTTATTTGAGCAAATTTTGATTAAATAGATTAAGAGATAAAACGAAGTTTATTAAATTTTTATTACATATAAAAAATATATGGGGAATTCCACGTGAATTCGACACGAAAAAAACCCTTGCCATTTCGAGATTCCATGACAATTTTTCCATGGTTTCCCTGACTCAAAATAAAAATTTAATTTTAATTTTAGAACGGTTTGTCAATTGTTTTTGGAGGTATGATTTTTTAAATTTTCATGATTACTTATTTTATCTACGCCAGTGAGATAAGAACTTCTTATCCCACTCATTTTGAGTGAGATAAGAAGTTCATTAACGCACGCGTTTTTCTCTGCTTTTAACCAATCAAATGAAAAAGTCAAAATGTCAAAATAACCCTAAATTAAGTCTTAGAGAAAAATAATTACCGTTTATTTTTTCATTTAGAGGCGTAGATAAAAATTTGTACAATATACGTGTGATATCGCTTTATTAACGTACTTTTGCAAATTTCGCATGCGTACGTTAATAAAGCTCTTATCCCACTTATATCGTAAATAACTATAAGCAACTACTTCCAAGTTTCAAGCTATCAGGTACCTACTGTATTTTTTTAAAATTTTGTTTTTATTCTTTAAGCGAATAAAATTTTTTTCTTACTACCTCGACTGAAAATACGTTGTTTCATCCCCGATTCCATGGCAGAAAGTTTACGTTTGATGCATTGGTCTATACGTATTTTCGGCCGAGGTAGTAAGAAAATGTAATGTTCTTACTACCTCGGCTGAAAATACGTTGTTTCGTCCCCGATTCCACCTCCACCGCCCTCTATAATATCGCTCGTGCCGCAAATGTCAGGGCAGGCATCAATATGTTTCGATATACACATTTAATTTTTTCCCGTATTTTCGGCCGGGTAGCAAGAAAAATAGTATACACTACACGGGCAGAACCCTGAAGAGCCCTGAACTGCGCGCCATGATGCCCTCGGCTTCGCCTCGGGCATCATGGCGCGCAGTGCAGGAATCTCACACTTTCTGCCCTTGTGGTGTAATATACTATTTATCTATATTAGTGGCTATCGAAAAACTAATATTTTTTTCGGAATTTAAAATTTTATTAATTTGAATTTTTTCCACTTTCGGACAATTTGTAATATCAAAAATGATATTTTTATTTATGCCTTTTTACTATTAAAATTGTTTAAAAAAATAAAGAGTAGTACCTATGAATTCATTGATGTTCAATCTAAATAATTATTAATAATAATATTTTTTTAAAACAATTTTAATAGTTAAAAGGTCTAAATATAACAAGATTAAATAAAAAAAATCATTTTTGATATTACAAAATGTCCGAAAGTGGAAATTACTTACTACTAAATTATTACAATTAAAAATTCCGTCAAAATTATTAATTTTTCGATAGCCACGATCTAATATAGATAAAAAAACTTGTATTGGCTTAAAGATTAAAAACAAAAAAAATAAAAATAAAAAAAAATACAAACAGTGAAGAAAATGGATTTTTAGTTTTCAAAGAAAAAAATCAGTGTGCCGTTATGCCACAGCATCAAAAATATTTATTTCAAATAGCTTGTTTCAAGACAAGAAAAATGATCGTCGGAATCGCTCAATTGGAACCAAAGTTATATATATGATCGATGATATAAAATCATTTAAAACATTTGTTGTTTATTTATAGGTACATTTATAATACAATGCCAAAAGAAAAAAAATCTTATATTTGGAATTATTAAAAAATATTGCAAAAAAAAGACCATGCTCAAACAAGTTCTGAAAAAAAAAAGAGTCTCTGTGCCCCACAAGATAATATCTTATATTATAAGACTATTTATTCAAAATTTTAAGTCTACTTAAAGTCAAACAGAGAGTGCACCAGGTGCCATTACTGAAAACATAATAGTATATTACACTACAAGGGCAGAAAGTGTGAGATTCCTGCACTGCGCGCCATGATGCCCGAGGCGAAGCCGAGGGCATCATGGCGCGCAGTTCAGGAATCTCACACTTTCTGCCCGTGTAGTGTATACTATTTTTCTTACTACCCTGCAGAAAATACGGGAAAAAATTAAATGTATATAAAAAAACTTGTGTCAAAATTAAAATCTGACGTTTAATTTAATTCTGACGTTTACATTCAAAATCAATCAAACTGTAGCGTTGTCATGGTAATTCAGCGGTGCCAATACAGTAAAAATAAAAGGTTGTATTTTAATTAACAAATTACTACTTTATAACAAATAAAAGTACCATTAAACACTTAAAACAACATAAAAAGTAAAAAAGTAAAAACATAAATTGTTTATTTGTTGTTATAATTGCAAAATTATGGTTTAAAACTGTCATATTTTTGTGTTTCTCATGTTGGCAGTACGAAATTTAAATGTTAAGCACGCGACTAAAAAATTTTTACTCCCGCTATTAGAGTGTGCGCGTATAGCTTGACCAATGCAAGAAACGTAAACTTTCTGCCGTGAAATCGGGGACGAAACAACGTATTTTGAGTCGAGGTAGTAAGAAAAAGAATTTGTTTATAATATGTCTCTTACAGAATAATTTGGAAGAATTAAGTTTATTTGCTTTAGCAATTTACCCTTTAGTTTAGTCGAAAACCCTGATGTTGTAATATTTTTTAACTTTGTTTATTGTTTTTCTTTTGTTTTTTAAAAGGCTTTATGCAAAGGGTTTTTTGCAAACAATTTATGAATTGTGATGATGAGATCTTCAACAAACTTCATCTTTAAATTAACACAAATTAACTTATTCAGTTTCTTGGCCTTAACTTCGTAAATCAGCTGTTAAACAATTGACATTTACATAAAAAAACAGTGAAAGTTTCAGGGAATGTTTCCGGTAACTTCCAAAATGAAAATAAATTCCAGACTGGAAACTTTTCAAAATGGAAACTTTCCGATTCCCATCTCTAGAAAAACATTTTTTTCGTGCTTATTTCACAATTCTCGCCCATATGTTTTCTGTCATTTTTTAACAAACTTTTTTTCCTTTAGAACGGAGTCTTTACTTCGAGCTCGCCGGCTCCTTCGCCGGTGACACCGGAGGTTTCCGTACCAAAATCGGTGACGCCGACGCCGGTAGCGCGTCACAACGCGACGCCCCCTGCGCCGCCCGCGCAGCAGACGCCGCCGCCGTCGAGGAGTTCGCACTCGTCGTCGGCCGCCGACAAGTTCTCGTCGGCCGCCGCCATGCAGGCCATACATCAACAGCTACTGCGCAGTAAGTACCAAAATTTGTGTATTCATATTTTTTTGTATAAATATTTTTATCATTATTTGGTATTTTAATGCCAAAATTATCGAGGATATTACAGTTATATTGGTTAAATATTTTATTATATTTGACAGCTGTGTCTGTACTGACAGCCGCCTATCAAACATCGAGCGTACCTAATTGGACTAATTTATTATATTACTAATGTCAAATTTTTATAAATAGTTCTAAACAAAAGCTGTTTAACAAGGTTTTTATTTGGCAAAATTAGGTAAAGTGGTTGACCGTTTAATTCCTTAAAAATTAATTTTTTATACAAAAACACTACAGTACTGTTTTTGAATAAAAAAAATTAATTTTTAAGGAATTAAACATACAATTACGATACCTACTTTTGCCAAATAAAAACCTTGTTAAACAGCTTTTGTTTAGAACTATTTATAAAAATTTGACATTAGTAATATTTATAATAGAACAATATTATTTTGTAAATAAAAACTTGCAACTGTCCCATCCGTTACGCGTGGAATGGCCCATATCCATTTTTTAAAGTAAGAAGACACCTCAAAATTTATTGATTTTCAAAAAACAATTTGATAGCTTTTGAAAGCCGTGTATGACATGTCCATAGCATATGGATGGACCATAGCAACCTTAGTTCTTCATACAGAAAAATATTGGAAATTGCAATGTTTTTTTAAAAAATCCATATTTTCCACAAAAATAAATATATCGAGGTAAACCAAAAACAAAACTGTTAAGAATAGATGTGACTTGATAAATAAAACTTAATTTACAACAACATACGGTTTTGCCACTCTACAGAGTGTCTTAAACTTATGGTAAAAAACATCTTTTTGTTTAAACCTGTATATTATAAACCTACGTCTATTTTTTAGTAATTTTTTAAAATTGAGCGATTGTCCATTAATTTATCTACAATATTCTTTATAATTCGTTTAAATCTGACATCAAATTAAAAAGTTATTTGCGATTGAAATTCATCGAAAATTTGTGTGGATCGATTATTTTGCCTGTGAGTGTAGTTGGACATTTTTGCAAAAAATAATTGGAAATAATGTTTTTTTATACAGAAGTAAACTGTCATTAAATTTCGTCTTTCGATACAGGATAGTTGAAAATATTTTAAATTTATAAATGTAAACAATAAAATTTTAAATTAAAATATTATTTAATAAATTCTAAAACGGCGTGCCATAGTGCCAACTCATTTTATTTATTATTTTATAGTAGGTTATAAAACTATAATTTTTCTCTTAGGCATTACAGCAGGTGGCCCGCCAGCCGCCCACATGCTCCAATTCTCGCCCCTGTTCTACCCGTATCAGCTGGCGATGGCGGCGCAGGCGCAGGCCGCCGCCAGCGGCAAAGGCAACTCTCAGGTCGACATACAGCGCGCAGTCGACATGCAGCGCCAGTATCTGCTCGACATGATACCGCCACCTAGCGGCGGCAGCCAGCGTCACAACTGGAAGACATGATCTGTGTTGCGAGGAGTGTTAAAGGAGACCTATTGCCCCCGCCCCCAATGTTTTATTAAATGTTAAATAAAGACTTTGCCCTCGGTGCAAAAAAGGTGATTTTTAACTTAATGGTTTTTAGTTTGGACTGCAGTACTGCACAGATTCGTCGGGTTTGGTTTTATCGGTATTTTTACGGCTTGCAACGAAAAAGACTATGGGAATAATAATGGTTTATTTAATTGTTTTAGGGTTTAAAGTTTAAATAAACAAATCTGTTTTAACTTAAAGCAGATTTGTCAATGTAAACTTTGTTTTGTTAAGTTTTGGTTAAAGTAAGTAAAATCATTACTAACATGCCCATAAATGTTTTTTTAGAAATCTTGTTTTTAAATTTGGACTAAAATATTACATTTTATATTCACTTTTGCTCTTTTTATTATTAAAACTAATCATCAAGATTCATCAATATTTTATCTATTTAGAAAAAAAAATAAACACACAATACTTTTATAAGGTTTGTCAAATAACTTGGAATTAATGATTTTGATTGGATTTTAAACATAATATAAAACAATGTTAATATAAATGATCTTTTTCCTGTATAACATTTGTAAATTAAATTTGCCATTAAGTTTCCCTTAAACCTGTTGCACTTTTGTCAGAATATAACGTGTCAATTAGGCTTTGTTACAAATATATGGTATAAGTATAAAAAATTCGATGTAGTGTTTCCGGGCGTGAAAATAAATACAATGTAATTCATTGTAATAAAATTATGACTCCACGAAATTTTTTGACTGGTCTGTCTTGTAAATCTGCAGATGTTTTCCAGAAGCAAAAAGAAAAAAGGTAATTTTAATCTGGAATTGTTGTATTCCATTTAAATAAAATAGTTAAATCAAAATTAATTTAATTTTTAATTATTATTATCAAAGAATAGAATAAATAATATTAGTTTCTACAGGTTTGTTTTAAGTAAGTACACCTACTGAATTGTCTCATAGAGATGCACAACTTTACTTTTTAATAGTTCAATTAATTAATTTTAAGCATTTTACAGTTATTGCTGGATAAATAAAGGATGAAATTGTGTGGGTTAAATGTAACACTGTATAATTTATTGACAAAATATATTTTTATTTAATTGTACTCAATATGTTTAAACTACATAATTTTGAAAAATGTGAATCATGAGAATGATTTTACTGTGTATACAGGGTGTCAATCAAATCTGTACTTTAAATTTGTACCAAAATACAAAACTAAACTGATTTTATTGACATCCTAAATATAATGGTGCAAATACTAAATATCTACGTATACTTTTTCCATAAAAGCAAGACACATATTTTAAAGGTGTAATAAGTGGTCTTGTTTTTTGAACAAAGTATAAATAATGTTCCTTATGATGACTGGCGTCCAGTATCCGATTTTTAATACAGTTTTTATCATTTTTTTAGTTAATAAACACCCATTTTACTTAGTAAGTACAAACGATCATTAAAATTCTATAAGTAATTTTATTTGTTTAGTGTTTTTTCCTTTCTATTTTTTGGGTAACCAAGCTTTGCTAATTTCAAGCAAAACCAAATTTTTGTTTTTAACTCTATTACAATATGTTTTTATGTACAAGTGTATAAAAATTTGTTTAAAATATATTTTCTTTTATTTATTATTTTTTTTTATTTATTTCCTTTTAATTTTTGCTTCTAAAGAACTGATTTTTATTATAAAATGGAATGTTCTTAATTACCATATATTAATTATATTTTTTAGCAGTACCTACTTTATCATTTTTATATCCTAAAACAAAATATTGTTGCTTAAAGGATGTAAATACATAGCTCTTAGTAGAGACCCTGTATATTTTTTATGTTTTTGTGCTAGGAGATTCTAAAAAATATATTTCTTATACTGCGGAATTACCACATAGCCTGTTTTTTTTATAGGAAAAATAACAAATTTTCTAGTTATGATTCTAAAATTTTATTTTATTTTCAATGTTTCAATATTTTTTTATATTAAAATTACATAAACGGTGCCCCAAGTATAGTATGGGTATATTTTTTATTTTAAGAGCTACAAGGTCGGTTATATTGGAAAAGCTATTGCTGTGCTATTAAATAATAAAATAGCATATAAAAATTGGAATGAAAATCAGCGGTTCTCAAATAATTTGAAAAACTAAAAACCTGTCAAAACCAAAAATCGTTATTCCTGAGAATTTTGAAAAAAAAAGTTTTAAATGTAAAAATACACATTTATCTTCATTTTCATCTAATTTGTGATTTTTTTCGCCTTGAGATACCACCACCATATTTTGTTTTTCCTATGCCGCCATATTGGAATTTTACATGGTTTTATAGAAAAAAAAAATCAAGGAATCCAAACATGTATCAAAAACCCAAAAAATAGTAGTGAAGAAATTGGATAAAAATGTAGATTAAATATTTTGAGAACTGCTGGCTTTTTTTAATTTACAAATTTCATGTTAAAAAGCTTGTAATTACGCAACTTAAATAAAAAAAATACCCATAGAAATATATATCATAAGTATTATACATAATTTATACTAAGAATAAACTACTATACATTTTATAGACCATACAATATATTACATTATATTCAAACACCTGTGCAATATATTACATATACAGTGTATATTATACACATAGAAGAATACTTGGTGCACCCTGTATATTTCTATAGAAAGCAATTGAATCAGTGAGAATAAAAACATTACAAGTCTAAAAGTTAAAATTTCAAAGTTCAAAATGGATTTTTGTGGGAATATTTCAACTATTTTATAAAATATAATAGGTAATTATATTTTTAAAATGATTTATAGGTATATCCCCCAAAAATGCATTTTAAACTTTTAAACTGATTTTAGAAAATAATGTTTTTAATCTCACCGAACTGTTTTTAATCTCACCAATTCAATTAAAGGAAGATTTTTAAAAATAAAAAGTTATAATAGAAATATAAAAAATATATAAGATTCAAACAAATCATTTATTGCATTGGGTATAATTGGTAATTTATTAAAAATAAATACATTCTGAACTAAAATAAAAAAGACTAAAATAGTATTGAATAAACATTATATTTTAAACCCAACTTAATAAGCACAATAATTATATTAATATAATATATTATATTAATATAAACTTTTTGGAACATTGGAACTATACTTTTTTATTCTAAAATGCTGAAATATAGAAGATTTTGCTTCTATATTTTAGGAGCATAGGAGATACAAGATTCTCGTTAGTGCGCCATTTTTGTGACTTTTTGTAAATGCCTTTTTAAAAATTAATATTTTTAAAATACCTTCAGTTTAAAAGTCCATAGTTTTAGCATAAAATAGATACACAATTAATTGTTAAAATTTGGCCAAATCCGGATAATTAAAAAAAATAAATAAAAATGTATATCCCAGCACAAATTTTAAAAAAATACAGGGTGTCTAGTTCTTAGTATTTAAATAGGTGTTACCTTTAGATATGGGAATGTTTGTATGTGAATAATATAAAAAAATGAGTGAGTTAAATTAATAAATATTCTTGCACAAATACAATTTAAATTGTAGCATTATTTTCAATCAACACTGATGTAAATACAATATTTCATAATTGTACCATAGGATAATACTGGTATTATATGCTCATACTTGATATTATATATTAGTATACCTAAGAATTAATTTACAATGTATTTTTTATAATTGTACCTAGATATTCTTTAATTTTAAGAACCCATTTACTAAGTGTACACATTAAGAGAAGGGGTGCTATTTAGTATGTTCTTTTTTTGTTATACTATTATGCTCAATTTGTAATTATTAATAATACGTGTAAATTATTATATGGTTAGTTAAGTTTTTTATATTGCCGTCTTCTAAATTAAACGTAAAGTAAAATATAAACACTTTCAAGCACAGTTCTCATTGTAGACCTAAAAATATGTATATGCATTTAAATTTCAGCATGTAAAATAATAAAGATTTTTCTCAAAATATCATCTATTTCGTTTAACCTCACTGGTATTTTCTCTATATTCTAACGTCTATGATGTTCTAATTGATGTCAAACGCGCAGTGTTGCCAATAGAAAACCCCTTAAATGTCAAGCTCTATTTATTTAGTGCAATATTGTTATTATTAAAGTACATAAAATAAACCTAATGCGTGATTAGCAAACCAAATAATTTCGTGCAATATACTAAACGAGTGTAATAGACAATGGCCTAACATTTTCCGGTGAGGGAAAATGGTGAGGTTATGAAAAGGGAAGGGAATGGAATATCCTTTGCAAGAATTTGATGCTGAAAGAGAAACCGATTTTCTACTGGGAACTGCATTAAACCATGGGAGTGATATGGATGTTCACACAGCAAGATTTAACAGAAATCCCAAACGACGTAGAAGCATAGGACAGATTTTATGCAGGTAAAAACCACATATATGTGGTTTATTTAGATATGCGATTATTATTTGATGTCATTGTTTATTTATAGTATTTTTAAAACCAACGGCATTTTAATTATTTCAACAACTACAATAAACAATTATTTTTATCTACAATTCTCATTTGTATCGTATTTATTTAGCAATATTTCAAAATATCAATAAATACTTTGACAGTTAGGTCATTTATGTTGGCAACATTGGTTTGTCAATGTCAGACGATATAAAATATAAGATTTGTGACGATACGTCAGTGATAAAATATTGTGATTTGTCGTGTTTTTCGCTAGAAAACCTATAAATCAAACTATGTAAATAGTTTTTCGGCTTAATTGGGCATTGAGTGTGCACACTATGAATTTGGATAACGTGGAATCTCAAAGCAACATAAGCAAAACGTCGAAGGAGGACATTCCTTTAATAACAAAGTCACAAAGGGAATCTTCCTGGAGGTATATTTTTCGTTATTTTTTGGGTTTTGTTTTGTCATTTAACGCAATTGTATGGGTCTAAAGGGATTGTATCGGTTTATGTTGTGATTTGGTTGTTAAAATGGCTGAAGTAAATACAGATTATTGGCTAATAAATTGAGATAACTGTACCAATTGTACCTATATTGGAATTTTTTTGATAATTTTCTGTGTAGATTTTTTATGATAGGATATCTCAACATTTTTATTATTTTTATTATCTTTACCACAACCACATACTTCCACAGTATGTGACCACCTTTATAATCTGTGGTGACCACAACTGAATGGTGTTATGCTACACTGTAGCAGCTACAGAGAACCAACTCTTAAAATACATTTATCATAAATTTATAAATGTAATGGGGGCATGTAGAACCACCTTTTAAATATATTTTTAAGCAATAACCAATGTGAAAAGATACTAGGTATATTAAAGTTTTCAAAATAATACAGAACTCTGCAAACACACTTCTAAATCTCAACAAAGCTCCAAGCTGCATGGATGGTTGCACCCAACTCTACAGGGTGTCTGGAAATAACGTTAATATATTTTGGGGGTGGATTCTACTTGTAAAAATTAAAGAAATCATCTGGTGGTGTAAAATTGGATAAATGATGACTAAAACAGGAGCTACTTGGGGGGAAAAATCCTTATAATTTTTTTGTGTTTTTTTTAATTCCAAAGGAACGGTCGGCTACGGCTCAATTAAAATCCTGATTTTACAGAAAAAAACTCATCAACTTAATATTAATAATAATAATAATACACATTTATTGTGCAAAGAGAATATACAATATAACAATTGATACACAAAAGGAGGTATTTGTACACCACCCAAATAATATTACATACATAATATGTATTATACAAATATAAAAATATATAAATACACACAAATGCAGATATCACATATCCAACATGTCTTTTGTTTATAAGAGTTTCCCTCGGAGTTTCCTTATATTTAATAAAAGTTTCAATTTAGTATTTTGTGAAACTTTTCAAAACAACATCCTGATTCAGATTTTTTATTGCCAAGTAAGTAAATTATTTTTGGTAAAGAGCAGTTTTATGTGCTGGAATTATAACTTTATTGTATATTAATTCTCTGTTAGGAACAACTTTTCTGACCAGTAAATACACTCGCGTGCAAAATAATCGGCCCACACAAATTTTCGATGAATTTCAATCGCAAATAACTTTTTTATTTGATGTCGGATTTAAACGAATATTAAAGAATATTGTAGTTAAATTAATGGACAATCGCTCACATTTTAAAAAAATACTAAAAAAAAGACGTACGTTTATAATATACAGGTGTAAACAAAAAGATGTTTTTTACCATAAGTTTAAGGCACTCTGTAGAATGGCAAAACCGTATATTGTTTTAAATTAAGTTTTATTTATCAAGTCACATCTATTCTTAACAGTTTTGTTTATGGTTCACCTCGATATATTTATTTTTGTGGAAAATATGGATTTTTTTAAAAAACATTGCAACTTCCAATATTTTTCTGTATGAAGAACTAAGGTTGCTATGGTCCATCCATAGGCTATGGAGAATGACAGTGACAGTTTTATTGAATCATCCCATACTTGGACATGTCATACACGGCTTTTAAAAGCTATCAAATTGTTTTTTGCAAATTAATGTTTAAATTTTGAGGTGTCTTCTTACTTTATAAAATGGATATGTCTCCGACTGATGTTGCCAGAGCTATTAATTTAATCCAGGATGGACGGTCACAGTATTACGTGGCAAGTGTTTTAAACGTCATAAGAAGTAAAGTACAAAGGGCAATATCAGTCGGAGTCATTTTTAAAAGTAAGAAGACACCTCAAAATTAAAACATTAATTTACAAAAAACAATTTGATAGCTTTTGAAAGCTGTATATGACATGTCCAAGTATGGGATGATTCAACAAAACTGTCACTGTCATTCTCCATAGGCTATGGATGGACCATAGCAACCTTAGTTCTTCATACAGGAAAAATATTGGAAATTGCAATGTTTTTTAAAAAAATCCATATTTTCCACAAAAATAAATATATCGAGGTGAACCAAAAACAAAACTGTTAAGAATAGATGTGACTTGATAAATAAAACTTAATTTAAAACAATATACGGTTTTGCCACTCTACAGAGTGTCTTAAACTCATGGTAAAAAAACATATTTTTGTTTAAACCTGTATATTATAAACGTACGTCTATTTTTTAGTATTTTTTTAAAATGTGAGCGATTGTCCATTAATTTATCTACAATATTCTTTAATATTCGTTTAAATCCGACATCAAATAAAAAAGTTATTTGCGATTGAAATTCATCGAAAATTTGTGTGGGCCGATTATTTTGCACGTGAGTGTATTATAAAAGGGTAGGCCTTTTATTGACATAAATATTCCTTAAAAAGCTTGCAAAAAGTTACTTTTATCATTCCCTTATATAAAATATTTTTTGATCATTATAAGTGGGATATATACACTCACAGGCAAAATAATCGATCCACACAACTTTTCGATGAATTTCAATCGCAAATAACTTTTTTGTTTGATGTCGGATTTAAACGAATATTAAAGAATATTGTAGATAAGTTAATGGACAATTGCCCACATTATTATATCCTTTTTTTAAAGTAAGATGACACCTCAAAATTTAAACATTAATTTGCAAAAAACAATTTAATAGCTTTTGAAAGCTGTGTATGACATGTCCAAGTATGGGATGATTCAACAAAACTGTCACTGTCATCCTCCATAGTCTATGGATGGGACCATAGCAACCTTAGTTCTTCATACAGGAAAAATATTGTAAATTACAATGTTTTAAAAAAAAAATCCATATTTTCCACAAAAATAAATATTTCAAGGTGAACCAAAAACAAAACTGTTAAAAATAGATGACTTGATAATTAAAACTTAATTTAGAACAATCTACGGTTTTGCCACTCTACAGAGTGTCTTAAACTTATGGTAAAAACATCTTTTTGTTTAAACCTGTATATTATAAACGTACGTGTATTTTTTAGAAATTTTTAAAATGTGAGCGATTCTTTATTAATGTATCTGCAATATTCTTTAATATTTGTTTAAATCCGAAATCAAATAAAAAATTATTGGCGATTGAAATTCATCGAAAATTTGTGTAGATCGATTATTTTGCCTGTGAGTGTATGATAATATTTACGCACATTAAAAATGAACCGCATGTAGCATTTTGAGCAACTTTTGCTTTTAAATTCCACAACTGCTTTATTTTGGAGCTATAGGGTGTTCAAAAATATATTATCTACATGTAGTAGAGGCATTTTATGCACAACTACATAAATTTTGAGGAAAACTTTATTAATTTCTTGCAGTTGTTGGTGCGGAATCTTCAAAAGATGCTGCGGTCCCAGAGAAATCCGCCCGAGGACGATCACCCTTGGCAAACCATCGCCCGGGGTGTTTCCCGCAAATGCTATAAGAAACCAAAAGTACAACATCATCACGTTTCTTCCGCTGGTCCTCTACCAGCAGTTTAAGTTTTTCCTCAATCTGTATTTTCTCATCATGGCCACAAGTCAGTTTGTTCCTGATATAAGGATTGGGTACTTGTACACTTATTGGGGACCCCTGGTAAGTAGTTTATAGCGAAAAATAATGTTTATATTTTATTTATCATAGTTAATATTAGAGATTTAACGGTTCTGTTTGGGTTCTCATACAATTTTCATACTGATTAAAACATTTAAATTAAGTTTTTGGAGAGTTTTGCTCCTTTTTTAAGTTTTGATAAAAGTTGGACAGTTTTACGAGTTTTTATGACATTTTAGGTAAGAGTTCCAATTTAGTCTAATTCAAGCTAGTTCAGTTTTAGTGAAGAGTTATTGCAATTTTTTCGTGTTTTAATATGTTTTTATAGTAGTATAGAAAAATAAAAATATAATCTACAATTTAATAAAAAAAAATTGGTTTTGTTAACTATTTTCTTCTAGTGCTTCGTATTATTGGTGACAATATGCCGTGAAGCGATAGACGATTTAAGAAGACATAAAAGAGATCAAGAGGTTAATAATCAGAAATGCAAAAGATTGTTGAATGATAGGAATAAACCATATGAGATTGTGGCTGCACATAAATTGAGAGTAAGTGGTTTATTTACATTTTACATGTTTCTATAAGTATCTACTTATGAATTTGGGTTTTAATGTGTTTTTGACAAAATAACTACTGTTTTATTGATTCCAATAAAAATTTAATTCAGATAAGCAAGTTAATATTTTTATTTAGCATGGTTACACTAGAAACGTAAATGGTGTTGATAAAAATGTTTATTTTTCTAAATTTGGAATGAAATGTAAAAATCTAATTAAAAATAAATATATATATAATAATTTGGTATTTGATATATTAGGGTGTTTCAAAAAAACTTAAATTATTTTTTTTTCTAATGGTGTTGAAAAATTAATAATACATTAAAAAACAAAAAATTTGGCGCATATTTGAGCCCTTAATATTAATATTAAGGTTTGTCTCAATTCATTTGTTGTTTTTGAAACACCCTAATATATATACAGTGTGATTCATTTGTTTGCGACTCACCCCTGTAAAATCTTTATTTATTGTGTGATTTTAACCGGATTTGTCGTAAAGTATAGATTTATCAAGATCTTGATAAACATTTTACATGCTTCTATAAGAATCTACTTATGAATTTGGGTTGACAAAATAGAGATTGTTTTATTGATTCCAATAAAAATTTAATTCAGATAAGCAAGTTAATATTTTTATTTAGCATGGTTACACTAGAAACGTAAATGCTGTTGATAAAAATGTTTTTTTTTTCTAAATTTGGGATGGAATGTAAAAATCTAATTAAAAATAAATATATATTTATAAACAGTGTGACCCATTTGTTTGCGACTCACCCCTGTAAAATCTTTATTTATTGTGCGATTTTAACCGGATTTGTTTTAAAGTATAGATCTTGATAAACTGTATTTTTAGAGGAAAAGACGCTTTTTTAGTAAAAAAATAAAAGGCCTACTATGTCAGTTTTTAAAAGTAAATTTTTAAGAATTCATATTAGCGATTTTTTTAAACAAAATCCAAGCACGGCACTGGATTCACCAACCCTTAAAATTACCCTTTACTAAATTTTATTAAAAAATTTTAAGTAGAAAAATGCACAATAATAACTACAAAAATGTATTCTGTCAAGTTATCCATGAAAAAAACATTGAAATAAAATTAAAATTATAGTAATAGTACCATCTTACTATTAGTTTAATTTTATTTCAATGTTTTTTTCATAGATAACTTGACAAAATAAATTTTTGTAGTTATTATTGTGCATTTTTCTACTTAAAATTTTTCAATAAAATTTAGTATAGGGTCGTTTTGAAGGGTGGTGAATCCAGTGCCGTGCTTAGATTTTGTTTAAAAAAATCGCTAATATGAATTTTTAAAAATTTGCTTTTAAAAACTGACATAGTAGGCCTTGTATTTTGTAAATATATGGCATTTTTGCTTCAAAAATACAGTTTATCAAGATCTAGATTCACACTGTATGTAAATATTTTTTATGAACTTTTTTTTCAATTTTTTTTTTTTTTGAGGTAGAAAATAAAGGGAATTTTTTGGGACAAAAAGACGACTTTATTTAATGCATAAAAAGACTTTTCAAGAAAATATACATATTTTTATTTTACCTTTAGTGCGTAATTTTTTTGTTGGCTCAGCGACTTGCAGAACTTCTTAAAGAGTATTTTGAGCCTAATATTTTTTGATTTTTCGCATATTTTATATTAAAAAATTTGCCCCTTCTTTTCTTACTTTTGTCAAAAAAATTATGAACCTATAAATTTATGGTACAAATTGTATTTTTTTTTCAGTGATACACTGCGTCAAAATTAACGCATAACAAGTAAAAAAAAATCCAACTCTAAAACGCCTTTACCAATCTTTATAAAATTTTTGATAAAAATACTTTAACATCTCAGTTTACGTTTTCAAGGGATTTTCGAGAAAATATCCTTAAATCCTTTTATTTAATAATAAAAAACGCTCAAAAAAAAATTTGTATAGGGAATTTTTTTTAAGTAAATATTTTTTTTTTTGAGGTAGAAAATAAAGGGAATTTTTTGGGACAAAAAGACGACTTTATTTAATGCATAAAAAGACTTTTCAAGAAAATATACATATTTTTATTTTACCTTTAGTGCGTAATTTTTTTGTTGGCTCAGCGACTTGTAGAACTTCTTAAAGAGTATTTTGAGCCTAATATTTTTTGATTTTTCGCATATTATTTATTAAAAAATTTGCCCCTTCTTTTCTTACTTTTGTCAAAAAAATTATGAACCTATAAATTTATGGTACAAATTGTATTTTTTTTTTCAGTGATACACTGCGTCAAAATTAACGCATAACAAGTAAAAAAAAAATCCAACTCTAAAACGCCTTTACCAATCTTTATAAAATTTTTGATAAAAATACTTTAACATCTCAGTTTACGTTTTCAAGGGGTTTTCGAGAAAATATCCTTAAATCCTTTTATTTAATAATAAAAAACGCTCAAAAAAAAATTTGTATAGGGAATTTTTTTTAAGTAAATAAAAAATATCCTGTGAGAGACCGAATTTTTGTTAGTAAACCCTGAAAATGTTGTACAAATCAAACGAACAGTAACGAAAATACAGCGCTTCAAAGTCGTCAAAAATGACAATTTTTCAGCAAAATAATCAAAAAGGGGTAATTTTTACCGACTTTGAAGCGCTGTATCTTTGTTACTGTTCGTTTGATTTGTACAAAATTTTTAGGGTATACTAACAAAAATACGGTCTTTAACACCATATTTTTAATTTAGTTAAAAAATCTCTAAAAGTTATTTTTAGAACTTTTTTTATTATTTAATTAAAGGGCTTTAAAAATATTTTTTTGAAAAACCCTCGAACACGTAAACTGAGATATAAGTTGAAGTATTTTTATACAAAATTTCAGAAAGATTGGTAAAGGGTTAGAATTGTTTTACTTATTATGCGTTAATTTTTACGGGTAGTGTAAGTATATTAAAAAAAATTTCTTAACTGTATAAATTTAATATTCAAAAACTTTACAATAGAAAAGGGACAGAAAAGACAAATTATTAATTTTGAGATTTTTAATCTATTTTTCAAAAAACAGATTCTTTCTTTAAATCCTTTTAAATAATACAACTAAATACCAATTTGACAGTTGAATTTATCACGGGAGCCATCTGAAATTTTTTCATGGTACAGAAGGGACATGAAATGTTGGGAAAAGCTTTAAATTTAATAAGTAAAGATTTTACTTTAATAATAATAATGAATTTAGAAATATTACAGTTTTGAAAAAAAAAATTCTATTAATGACAATGAAAGATGTTTACAGAAAAACTTCATAGGGAAAGAGACAGAAGGGGACATTTTGAGTTTTGACAACTATTCTTATGATAAAGTTTATAAGTGGCTCCAAATAGATTGTTAATTCCTATACCATAACTTTAAGAAATTATATTGTTTAGTACCTTTTCAAAATAAATCTCACTTGAAAGCCGTTTTTTTAAATTAAAAAATGCGATATCCAACAAAATGTTAATTTCTCAGGTTGGCGATCTTATAATAGTGGACAAAGACGAGCGCGTACCGGCCGATTTGGTTCTGCTGCGCACGTCCGAAAATAGCGGCTCGGTTTTTGTGCGCACCGATCAGTTGGACGGCGAGACGGACTGGAAACTGCGCTTGGCAGTTCCGGCAACTCAGAAACTCGCCAACGACCATCAGCTGTTCGAAATCACGGCCAACGTTTACGCCGAGAAACCCCAGAAAGACATACATTCGTTTATTGGAACATTCAGCAGAGTAAGTACAAATTTAAATAGGTACAGTTCATTTTTTTCTTATCTGGACTCGTGTTTTTTGTTAGGTTGGTGGCTTATGCCTGTTTGACTTAGTATTTTTAGTATTTAAAATTGGTACTTCTGCTAAAGAATTTAATTAAATACTTTGACACTGTCAAATTGACAATAATATTTATTATTGATAATTTACTTGTCAATTATAAATAAAAACATAATTATGCCAAAAATAATAGCAACGAATTCGAATGTAAAAGCCCTTTTGAGGGCAAAACTTCATTTTGATGAAATTATGCCAAATGCCGCAATGGAAGAAAAAGTACATCGCCTTATATATACATTTTTCAAATGGTTTTTTTTTTCACATTTTAGGTTTTTTTTCAAGATTAGTCCCATTTGACTAATTTTTTATGTTTCCAGTCCAGTTCATGGACTAGAATTAGTCACTAAATGACAATTAGTAAATGTAAATACAGTCTCGCGCTAGGCACGCGCCACCACCACCAAATTGAACAATACTTAAGGGTCGCGCTTGTTTTGATTTGGTCCTAAAAAAAGTAACTAAAGTCTATTCAAATCCAAGCTGGACTAAACAAAAACGCCCAGACGCGTGAAAACTCGTTTCTATTGGTCGATTCTGATGGTGTGACTCTAATTGTGAGCTCTTATTGGTCGATTCGGAGGATTGTGTTTAAATTTAGTCCAGCTTGGATTTGAATAGACTTTACATATAATATTTTTGATTCAGCACTTGATTTTTCAAAAGGCTACCAAAAGCACTTTTTAATGATTTTTCAATTTTTTTTGTTTAAACAATAGCAAATTCTTGTAGAAAATTTATTCATTGGTGGTTAAGTCAGAACATTCTGTGGACCAGAAAGCCAAAATTTTATTACGGTATTCGTTAGGACTGAGCGTTGCACGTTTTTCATCTAAAAATCTCAAAACAAGAAACTTCAAGCTTCAAATTGCTTTTTTACGGCTCCAATACGACCATTTTTATCAAAGATACAGCTATTCTTTAATTTTTTGTATTAGTGTAGAAGTTTTACATTGCTATTGGTTTCTAATGTGGAAACTACCAAATAATAAGAAATCAGATTTTTAGTCTCGGTCAAAATTTTCAATAATGAAAAATGTAATATATTCTACATTTTACTTTATTATTAATATACATTTTACTCAAAATTTCATTTTGAAAAAAAAAACAAAAAAAAAACGGTTTTTTTCTAGTTTTTTTTTCATGTTTTTTTCACATCTGAAAAAAAAACCGTTTTTTTACATCTCTACATCACACATTATTTTCACATTATTCACCATTGGACAACATTAAATGTTAAATTAAAATTTTTTGTGAAAGTAAATTTTACGTTCACAAAAAATTTTAATTTCTTTTGTATACATTTTTTTCAAAGCAACCTTTATTTAACCACTTTTTGTATATGATTTTACTCATCCAAGCACCACCAAAGCCAAATTAATTGCATTTTTAACTACGAATTTCGACAACTCAACTTGACAACTGCACAATGTAACCTACAATAATTTATACATAACCACAATTAGATTTATAACTAGCTTAGTTTGTTTTAATCAATGTGACCAACTTGACAACTGTATTTACCAACCAAAACCCTAAATTTGCAACGTTGCAGCAGTCCAGATAAAAACAATGAACTTTAGGGCGATTGCACGCGTTACTGATGGGACAATCGGAAAAAAATTTATCTATTTTTTGATATTTGTTGCTATCAGTAATGGGCTAATGACGGTAATATTTGGGTAACTATTAAAGCTATAGTTTGTGTAAAATTTTCAGTATCAGAGCTATTAAAATGTTTTTTATTATACGAACTAGAAATCAATAAAATGTTGTTACTGATGGGACAAGAAAAAGGTCAAAAAAATTTCTGGTTACTAGAAGAGAATAATTCTCTGAAACAGAATAATGTTGAAGAAAAGTATAGATGAACCAAGTTGCAGATGCAGTTAGTATAACTTATTTTGACATCACTCATCTTTCAGTGTAATCTATGTAGGCAATGCATTTTGATTTTTCGTTACTGACGGGACATTACTGATGGGACATTTATTATTATTATTTATTATACACTGAAACAAATGTGTAATTGGTTAATTTAACTAAATAACTTCAACAATAATTTTAACATGATAATAACAACTGCAAAAATTTAAAAGCATTTGAACAAATTTGATTTTTCGGATTCATAGTGCTTCTTAATCAACATATGAGTACCATCAACAAACTTAAAATAGTGTGAACTTAATATATCAGGTATTCAAATTTTTTTGTTTTTTTTTGTTTGCTGCTTTTTATTTTCTCTAAACTTTCTTTTCCTTTCTCTTTCTTTAATTTTTTGCTGCATTTTAAACCCACCATCATTTTCCGCCAAATTTTTTAATTTTTCTCTGTACTTTTTTGCGCTTGAAACATTTTTAGACAGGTAAGTCTTTTTTAAAACAGGATTTTCATAAATTTTTTTGCGATATTTTTTAACCCGCCGCTTCGTATTTTCTTTGTCAAGCACGTTTTTTTTTGCCATCCTAAAAATTATCACATTTCGTTCCTGACGGGACCAACTTTAAAAAAAGGAAATACAAAAATCTGGGACAGCAAACCAATATATTTTTATCGCGTAAGCAAATGTGAAATAGGGACAAACATTTTTAATATTATTTAAAAACTGGGCAAGTTGCATACTTGCGATATTAAAACTTATCATATAATTTCGTTACTGATGGGACAAATATACAATAATATTATAAATTTAAATTTCTAGAACAGTTTACTTACTTGCAAAAAAAATATTCAGTAATATGTTCACTAATAGTGGCGTCTAATCAAAACGGACGTTTTCGGAAGCGTCACTTACTGTTATATAGGTCAAAGCCACCTTGAATAAAATGCTACTTTGCATATAAATTTTAACATCGGAAAATTGGTTATTTTTGACCATATTTTTTTAAATAATAAGTACCTGAGATAAACATTTTTAGTTTTTTCAACTAATTTCACCATGAATGATTAACTTAAGTATATTTTTGTTTCATTGTGCCCTGCTTAAAACTGATGGAAAAAATTACATTGCGCGTGCAATCGCCCTTTACTTTTTCGTATTTTATTAGTTTTTTTTCTTAAGTTTGTATGCATTTTCAAGATTTTCTTTATATGGGGCATTCCATAACAAATCGACCACTTTTGACCCTAATACCTTGTGATTTTTTATCGTTCTTTACCTTATTAAAGACATTTTTCAGAATTTTTTCAAATTTTTCACCCAACCATAAAAAAGTTATGAATTTTACAAAAGAATGGATCCTTATTTTTCAAACATCTTTTTCAAAAATTGACTTGGGGTTTCATGCACTTTTCAGAAAAATATAGAAAAAAATTATTTAATCCAATCGTCAACGTTTTGTTTTGAATTTTCAGAAAACAACTAAAATTTCTCCATGATTGTAATTTTATTTATTTTTTTTTATTAGAAACAAACTTTTTCCGCAAATTCTCTAAGGCGTTTTTTCGTATTCTATTTTTTTCAATTAAACATTTTTTTAATCCGCTTATTTCGCACTCTGGGGATTTTTGAGGTTGTAGAGAGAACCTCAAAAAATAAATGAATCAAATTGAAATTGGTAATCATCAAAAAATGTTTTTCGAAAAAGTAAGAAAAAGAATAAAAGTTTTCAATAATTTTTTTATACATTTAAAAGATTAAATTAAAAAAAAATTATTCTATTTATTTTTGGATAAACAACGGGCCTTTAAACAATTTGTAAGTGGTTATTTGTGACTATTTCCCCCTCGTCTTAATTTCCACCTATCACAAACGCGCAATTTTGAATTACAAATGGTTTATAGGTGGAAAAACTGTATGACATCACCTGTCAGCAAGTTTTTCATGTTTACCCGCGGAAAAACTTGACAACTGTTGTCACCAAAATTTGCAATTTATATTTTAATTGTACCATAAATAATTAAGTTTGTAGTATTTTGTGATAAATTACGTATTTTTCAGTTTTAAATTAATACCTACATATTTATTATGTATGCATGTATTATAGGTAGTATGTTATGTAAGCTATGTGTATGCAGAATAACTGTTACTCTTGAAATAGTCTTGTCAAATACCATTCGGGCATCTAATTTTTCCTGTGAAAAAAGTCGAAAAAACACCGTGCTAAGTAATATTTTTTAACAAAATGCATTTGTGCAGGTGCACTTATGCTTCTTGTTAAAATATTACTTAGCAACGTGTTTTTTCGATTTTTTTTCGAAAAAATTAGATGCCCTTATGATATTACTTACAGTTTTTTTGAATAATTTTATTAATTGTATTTATTTGTGTTTAAAAAAAATATATAGAAAAATTATTAAGAACTATCTTTTATTTTTTTCGAAAAACAATTTTTTCTTAACTTTGAGTTCTCTCTACATCCTTAAAAATCCTTACAGTTACATTTTTTTCAATTGGAAAAAAATAGAAAACGAAAAAATGCCACTCTGAAAATTTTAGAGAATTTGCAGAAAATGTCAAAGTGTCTACTTAACAAAATTAAAATTACAATCATAAAGAAATTTTTGTTCTTTCCCGCAAATTAAAAGAAAAAACGTTGAAGATCGGTTTAATTTATTTTTTTCTATATTTTTCTAAAATAAAAATAATTAAAATAAAAAACGTCCCGATAAGTAAATTTTTAAAAAAGTTATAGATATTTAAAAATAAAGAGCCATTTAAAAAAAATCGGTTGGGTAAAAAATTTTGAAAAAATTCTGAAAAATATTTTAATAGGGTAAAAAAATATTAAATAAATAAATAAATAAAATACTTTATTTTCATCCCAAGAAACATACAGTTTATAGAGGGACACCTCTAATCATACAATTTAATAAATATTTTTTAATTCTTAATACATTTTTTAAATCTAAATTAATTTTACTTCATTAATACATTTTAATTCTAAATAGGAACATATCATTTAAATATAATATCACAGAAAAAAGAAAAAATATTACGATATATCATTGTTTATTCAATAAAATTCAAAAAAGTTTCTGCCAAATCGAAAGGGGTCGGGGTCAAAAGTGAGGCTTTATACAGGGTGATTCTTAACCTATACGCATACTTGGAAAATTATAGCCGAGGACCAATAATGACTAATAATAAAAATAAAATAGTAGTAGTAAAACATTTTTATTTACTGCAATTTATTTCGAATAAAAATAAAAGAACGTGAATTTCATAAAATTCAAAGTTCATTTAATTTATGATAGTATCTGCCCACTAATAAGGAAAAAAAATGTGGTTAAACATTACGGTGAATTCGTGGAATACGAACACAACTGATAACAAAGTACTGATAGAAGTAGTAGTAAAAATGCTTATTTGCAATAATTAAACAAACAAACCAAAGTGTTTTTTTATAAATGTTAAAAGTTAATTTTATTGAACAAAAAAAATATGGGGGAGGTCCTCCCCCCACAATAACTTTTCCCACAGGCCCCCATATGTTTAAATCCGGGGCATTGTTGTTAAGGAATTTTTTCCGTTCATTTTAATTGTTACGTTGCTATGTCGTTGCTATGTTTATTAAGTGACAGAAAAATTAATCAAACCAACATAAGCCAAAAAAACCTACACAGAAGGTATTTATTAATTAACAATAAATACAAATTGTCATTCTTCACTATGCAACAACAAATCGGAAATTACCGTTAAATTTAAACCTCTAGTGGTATTGCGTTAGATAATTTTTTGCTATCAGTTCTTTTAAATTATTTTTCAAAACTAAAAATGTTTTTTTTATTATTTGTCATTATAGATTCCCAAGTATAGTATTTGTATTTTAATATACCTTTATTGTCTTTTTCGTAATTTTTATTCTTGTTCTTAGTTGTAAGGGCTTTTAAAAATTTAATTGGGTTTAATTAATTGTTTTGTTAACACACAAGATTTATTTATTTAATCCTTTTGTATGATTTCGTCTAATAATCAAGATTTAAAAAAAAATATGTTTAAAACTTCAAATTTCTAGATTTATAAAAATTAGACAGTTTTGGGTAATTTAATTTTTTTTACATTTTTCTATGATTTTTATGTTTGAAATTGCTCGTAATATTGAAAACGACGATTATAACGAAGTTATAACGATTTTTGGATTTGAAATGTTTTCAGTATTTCATTTTTGAACCCAATTTTTAAATTCCATCTTAATAGACTTGTAATTACTCTAATTTTTCTAATTTAACCGACCTTTTAGTTGTAGAAGGATACTTGGTGTAAACATTTTAAATTTTTTAAATTTTGCAAGATTGTATTAAAACTGTTTAGAATTTGTACAATTTCTTAAACGTTTTTTATAATTTTATAAAAATTTTATTGTATTTAAATTTGTTTATGTGTTTAGTGTAGGTCAGTTTTAACGTTTAATTCTTTGCAAGGTTTAATTATTAAATAACAAAAACGCATAGAACAAACCATAAGCGCTATTAAACAACAAAAAAACGCTATTAAACAAACCAAAAACGCTCGAACAGACAAATAAACAAACACAAACTGTCAACTCCTAAAATGGCGACTTCCGTCGTAAATTTATTACTTAGCGAGATTTGGCAGGGGCCTTCCTGAGGTTTTTTATTCAAACCATTTTAAACTTGGGATAGTTCTACAGTAACAGTAACAGACTTCTTTTTGTTTTCAGAGCGACTCAGTCAATAATGACGAAAGCTTGGATTTGGAAAACACCCTGTGGACAAATTGTGTTATAGCATCTGGTCAAGCAACTGGTGTAGTGATTTACACAGGTAATTTGCTTAAAAGCTTCTTTTTTAAATTTTCCTACATTTAAAATTATTTAGGCCCTGAAACAAGATCCGTAATGAACAATTCCCAGCCGCGTTCTAAAGTTGGTTTATTGGATATTGAGGTCAATACAATTACAAAACTTTTGTTTTGTGCTGTAATTGGTTTGGCTCTGCTTATGATGGCCTTAAAAGGTTTCAGCGGGCCTTGGTACAGATATTTGTTCAGATTTGTCTTGTTGTTCTCCTACATCATCCCCATCAGGTATTTTTACAGTTTTACAATAATTGTCATTTTTTACTTTTGCATTGTTCTCCTTAGTTTGAGAGTAAATCTGGACATGGGAAAATCCTACTATTCCTGGTCAATTGGCAAAGACCCTGCGATGAAAGGGACAGCGGTGAGATGCACCACGATCCCGGAAGAATTGGGCAGGATTTCCTATTTATTAACCGACAAAACCGGAACTTTAACTCAAAATTCCATGGTTTTAAAGCGATTGCATCTGGGGACCGTTAGCTACGCCGCCGACAGCTTTCATGATGTAAGAATTTTTTTAGAAAAAATGTGATTATATTTCGCTTTTTTTTTAGCTGAGTGTTGTCTTGAAAAATTGTTTCACGACTAACGAAAGCGGTACATCGACTTTGCCCACGAAATTCAGGACGTCTGAAAATACAAGAATTAAGGATGCTGTTCAGGCTCTAGCACTTTGTCACAATGTCACTCCAGTGTATGAAGTCAGTGAAAATTCCAGCGATACAGGTAAGAAAAAATATTTTTCAAAAATGACATCATAACGCTGTGGTATTTTTCTACGAAAAAGTTAAAAAAAGATTTTTTGTATGCCAAAGCCAATTGTAAAAACGCAAATATATGTGATATTGTGATATCGTTTTTCTCACTCGCTAGGCTCGTGCGGCAGACCACTCCCACTAGTCGCACAATACACCATTATGTTATAAAATTAAAAATGTTCACAAAAATTTTAAAACTTTGATTTCAACATGGTTTGATATGTACTATGGTCCACATCCAAAAGTCCCACCATGTGACTAATACAAATAATTAAGGTTAATTTTCTGCCAAGTATCAAGCTAATTTCGTCCTATTTCCTGAAAATAATACGATATATTATACAGTGACCCATCCCCGTAAAATCTTTATTTATTATGTGATTTTAACCGGATTTGTTTTGAAGTGTAGATCTTGATAAACTGTTTTTTGGAGAAAAACGCCATAGTTTTACAAATTACAAGGCCTGCTATGTCAGTTTTTAAGAGAAAATTTTTAAAAATTCATATTACCGGTTTTAAAAAAATCTATGCACGGCACTGGATTCACCAACCCTCAAAACGACCCTAAACTAAATTTTATTGAACATTTTTAAGTAGGAACAATTTTGTAGCTAAATTAAAAATGCACAAAAATTACTATTTACAAAAATTTATTCTGTCAAGTTATCTATGAAAATCACCATTTTGAGCACCAACTTAATAAAAATTCGAAAAATAAAAATTGTTTTGAGCTAAATTTTTATTATAACAACTAAGTATTTTATTACAAATATGGAAAAATGTTTTAAACAAAATCTACCTATTTTTAGTCATATAATCCGAATCTGCAATAAAAAAATAGGGTGATCCATTGGAAATTTTAAAGTTACCCCATGCCCGCAAGAATGAGTAAGGGGAATAATTTTGGTACTAATTTATCTTCCCCTCGAATCATTTAATTTTTGTTTTAAATTTGTTTTCGTGAAATGCCTATTTACTGAGATATTTTAATGTTTCAAGTTACACAAGTTCACCCTGTTCTTTGTCCCTAAAATACAGTGGTGGACACGGAACTTCGAATCATAATTTGGTTGTCCCTGTATGATTATGTAAATAGCAAAGAATGACCATTTTTGATCTATCTGTCGAAATAACAAGGATAGTAATAACCGAAAGTAAGGTTAATACATCTACACAACACAAGAAATAATAATAATTTAGCAGTTCCAAACGTCTTTTCAAAGTATGGTAAAGCATTTTTATTATATAGAGGTGTTAATATATATAACAGCTTACCAGAAGATATAAAAACAAAATCAACAAGACATATAAAAGAGTATTTCAATCCTTGATAAAAGGCTAACCTGCGTGTCTTCTTCTTGAGTATTGAATTTGAAAAAAAAGTTCAGTAAATATGTAAATTGTAAATTAATGTATAAAGTATGTTTGTATATTGTATATTTGTTAGACTATAATTATCTTATAAGATAATGTTGCTTTATCACTGTGATAAATATATTGTAATTATTAGATGTTTGTCCCTCTATAAACAATCTATGTTTCTTGGGATCAATAAAGTATTTATTATTATTATTATTAAAGATAATAATCTATGAGTAACCTAGGTTAGTTGTCCATAAAAGAAATTTAGATTTTAATGTCAACGGTATACACTGTATATTAGGGTGTTTCAAAAAAATCGACTTTTTGTTTTTCTTCAAATGGTCAGCAAATTCTTTTAGAGGATGTCAAAACAAAGACCTCGTTAAAATTTGAGCTTTTAATTTGAAGATTTAGAGGTCGCGGATCGCAATTTTCTATTTCCCATTTAAATAACATAGGAAATTTTTTTTTTAACTTTGGAATTTTATACGTCTATATCGAATCAACTTATGGCAAGGAACATCTTATATTTTTATAGTAAATTTAACGCTCTATAAAAAATGTCTCTTATAATTTTTCTATAAATTGATTTCTTCCAGAGTTATTCGAGGCCAAAGTTTGATTTCCATCGAATTTTCTCGTTTTTTCAACTTTTAGCATCATGTAGTAAAAAAATCACATATTTATATCTGAAACATAGGAACAAAAAAACGTCACTTTTTTCCAAAGCCTACTACAAAGTTTTAATGAAAATATGAGATGTGTATAATATGCAGAGTAATTTATATATAAATGCATTTTTCTCGAAAATGGTGCATTTCGTAAAAAACTATAAATTCTCATAATTTCATAAAAAAAATTAAATTATTAACCCAGAAAAAAGTTGGGGCTATTTTTGTAACTTTGCCCCCTCCAAATGTTACGCCTATGATTAAATTTTAACAATTTTGATTGTAGATTCAGCATGTCAAAATTACCAAAGTACCGAAAATTCATTTGTTCATGTTCCACCCTCTAGGAATAGTTTTAAAAATATTATCCTCTTAGGCTCCTATTTAGGGGGCCGTAGCTCCTTTAGGGAGCATTTTTTGATACATGTTTATTAAACAAAAAAAGTGTTATTTTTATACGAATAATGCACTGTTTAAGTTTGGCCCCCTAATTTCGGGACACCCGTATAATGATAATTGTACCATATACCATATGTATGTTAAAAAAACGCGAAAATTCGATGGAAATCAAACTTTGGCCTCGAATAACTCTGGAAGGAATCAATTTATAGAAAAATGATAGGAGACCTTTTTTGTAGAGCGTTAAATTTACTATGAAGATCTAAGATGATCCTTGACATAAGTTGATTCGATTCAGACGTATAAAATTTCAAAGTTAAAAAAAAAATTCCCATGTTATTTAAATGGGAAATAGAACATTGCGATCCGAGACCTCTAAATCTTCAAATTAAAAGCTCAAATTTTGACGAGGTCTTTGTGTTGACATCCTCTGAAAGAATTTGCCGACCATTTGAAGAAAAAGAAAAAGTCGATTTTTTTGAAACACCCTACTGTATATGGATTAATAAATCAAGATTATAGCATTTTCATAAGCCAACGTCAAAATATGCATTTATATCGTCGACCTTATCAAGAAGTGACCTAACTAGCATTTTGTAACTTTTACAGGAGAGCAGAAAAACAAAAATGAGCGTTATTTATATCGACGTTATATTTAAAGTTTTAGTCTGCTGTTGTCGTAAGTTAATTCACGAAAAATGTCATTTTTTTAATTTAGTAGGTTAGGTCACTTCGTGATAAGGCCTACGACACACACCACCAAAACAAATGGACGGATTTGTTTACGTTTAAAAAGCGAGTAAAGCATAGTTTCACATTCTAAACACCGTCGAAAGAAACACTGCTTCCAACGTTGTCAGAAGTATAGATTACACGCCTTTTTGGACGTTCATCATAACATAATGAACATGAACATGAAATTACCAGTAATTCGTTTGAATAATAAAAAAAATTGTAAAAAGGATTTGTTCATCATTTTCTTTAGATATTTTTGCTATTTAAAGAAAGTAAATCATTTAATAATTATTAAAATTAAATATTAACAACGTTGGTAAATTCGTCATTTTTGCGTTCAGTGGATTGTGGTTGACAGCATAGAAAAAGGTTGACAGCTTGTTATTTTGTGTTTTCGTTTGCGGATTTCTATCGTGTTTAAGTTAATTATTGAGTTTAAATACATTATTTTTTACTAAAAATAACAATACATGGGAATATCGTTTATAAGTACCTACCTACTTATTTTTTTTTTAATCCCAATATTTGTTCATAATTATTTAAAAGATTTATAAACCAATTTGTTTCACTAAACCTAAACTTTGCTGATGATTAGTATTTCAATTAAAACTTAATTAAAATTAAATTATCCCTATTTAAAACCACGTAATCATAATTTAATTAAACTATTTTTAAATTATCCCTATTTAATACCAAGGCACTGGTTGCAGTCAGCTGTCATATTTGTTATATGTCAGCTGTTTTGGAGTACGCAATAACGCTTAGACTGTGACCGTTAGTTGACCGCAAACAAAGCATTGTTATTGAATGGCAATGCGCCGTCCATTTGTTTTGGTGGTCTGTGGCCTACGATATGCATTATACAGGGCTCCCACACCTCCTAAAACTCATAAAATTCTTAAAATTTGGCTTAAATCTTGAAAACTCCTAAAATTGCATTCAATCTCCTAAAACTCCTAAAATCCTAAAAATTAAATTTAAATAAGCCAACCTGACTGCGTTTAATTAAGGTAGTTGTGCTAAAAACATTCTTTTTTAAAAAGTAATTTAAAAATATATATTTTTAGGTTCTATTTTATTAAATTCTTTTTAAAATGATATAATATCACAACCAAAATTTTTCTTAAAAAACAACAAAAAAACTTACAAAATTGTCATTTTTAGCCATATTTCGGATTTTTAATTTTTTTTTAAATGACAGCTAAAATAGTTGACAATCTAAAGAATGTTTTGCTGCTACAATGGAATCTGTGAGAATAAGAACAGTACAGGGTGATCCCCTATAATGTCGCCCCCCTTTAACTTTTTTATTTTAAGGGCCCCAAAAAATTTAAAAGTGTGGTAATGTAGGAACTAAAAAATACTTTTTTTTACGTATAAAGAAAATTGGAAAATTTATCAGTATACAGGGAAAAACAAAAAGTTTATTTTTTTTCAATGGATCACTCTATATATGTATTTATTTTTCGATTCCTTATAAAATTCTAAGCATATTTCATATAACATACCATATACCTAAATTCAACCGTTTCTGAAATATTTAAATTATTTTTAAGATAATAATTTGAAATAGTTTGTCTTATTTAACAAGACATATTGACATAATGTCACTATAGTAATTTATTTTCAATAAAAATTTTGGTATACTGAGGCTTCTTGATTTCTAACAGTTTAAAAAAACATTTAATGATAACATTTCGAATGCGAATATTTCAGAAACAGTTGAATTTAGGTATATAGTTTGTTATATGAATTATGCTCAGAATTTTACAAAGAATCGAAAAATAAATTCATATATAGGGTGATCCATTGAAAAAAAATAAACTTTTTGTTTTTCCCTGTATCCTGATCAATTTTACAATTTTTTTTTATAGGTAGAAAAAAAGTATTTTTTAGTTCCTACATAACCAAACTTTTAAATTTTTTGGGACACTTAAAATAAAAAAGGTAAAGGGGGGCGACATTATAGGGGATCACCCTGTACAAGTCCAAAAATTTAATTTTGACCATTTATTTTCTAAAATCAATTTTAAAGTTTAAAATACATTTTCAGGGCAAGACATAAATTATTTTACAGAATATGAATATTATATTTCATAAAATAGTTAAAATATTCTAACAAAAATGCATTTAAAACTATAAACTGATTTTTTGAAATATTTTATCAAAAATTTTACTTTTGGACTCTTATCGATTCAATTACTGTTAGCTATTAACTAAACGGTTAACGTATATGTTCTTAAAATATAAATATAACATCATTTGATTTTGGTTTAGTTTTTTAGCCAAATCTATCGACGCATTTTTTTAAATAAAATTAAAAGTGTGGTGAAATTTATACTTGTATATATATGTACCTCAGATATATACAAGTTTTAATTTTACCTCACTTTTAATTTTATTTAAAAAAAAAAACTTGTCGATCGATTTTTCTTAGAAACTAGTCAAAATAACTTATTTTTACAAAAGAAGTATTAATTTTGTTCTTATTTTTTAAGTAGTAAAGAGTTGTTTTTATTTAATTAAAGAAATTAATTTCCATACTTTATTTATCCTAAACTTTTACAAAAAACCTCCTAAATTCCTAAATAAAATTTGTAATTTAGCCGTGGGAGCCTTGATTATAAAATTATGGCGTAATTTTATTCATACAATTTACGGCCTTACTCTGTAGATATTTTTATAACAACGTTATTGAAACAGCATTTTGCTTAATCTCTAGGTTCAATAACTTCCGAAACGGAAGCCGACCAAAGCTTGCACGCGTCCGACCGCTCGGTCACCTACCAGGCGTCGAGCCCCGACGAGGTGGCCTTGGTCCAATGGACGCAGGCCGTCGGCCTGACTCTCAGCCACCGCGATCTCACCTCGATGCAGCTCCGAGCGCCCGACAACCGTCTCGTCGACTACGACATCTTGCAGATTTTCCCCTTCACCAGCGAGACGAAGCGGATGGGCATCATCGTGAGGGACGTGCAGACCGGCAAGATTTATTTCTACTTGAAAGGCGCCGACGTGGTCATGTCGGCTATTGTGCAGTACACCGATTGGTTGGACGAGGAGGTCGGGAACATGGCTAGAGATGGGTTGAGGACTTTGGTCGTCGCCAGGAAGATGTTGACTGAGGAGCAGTATCTTGATTTTGAGGTATGTTTTTTAGCAAATATTTCCTATAGAAAGTTTAATGAAAAATATAGGAAATTAATATATTTTAAAATGATAATTAAATTTAATAAAATTAATAGTATGGACAAATTTAAACTGAACATAATATCATAGGGTATTATAAAAAAGACATTTAAAATTATTTTAAAAGATTTTTTATACATTTATAATAAAAAATCTTGATTTTTACATTTTTATTGCTTTTCTGAATATTACAGGGCTGGAAAAAAATCAGGTTTTCTTATACAGGACCCACCTGGAAAACAGGGAAAACCTGGAAATGTCAGGGAAATTAAATATTAGTAAAAAAGTCAGGGAAAAGTCAGGGAATTTGCTGAATTTTACGAAAAGTCAGGGAATTTAACTAATTTTTCTTGATTTTTCCGAAAATTGTTTCTATTTTTATTACCGACCGAAGATTATTTTTTACAAATAATATAGCCGGGCATTGAAACTAAAATAAATCATTTGGGCAAATACTTATAAAATGTATGACCTTATAAATTAAGTTTGTTTCCTTTCAAATTTTTTATGAATGTTCTGTTTAATTTTTTTATTATTGACATTTGACATAAGACTTAAACAATAAACATAAAGACATAAACAACAAACTAAGAAAACATAAACAAAGTAAAAAAAAGCAACCTAATCAAAGCACTCTAATCAAACTCCACGGAATTTGTAAACATTAGACTACACTAAAAGTAAAAATAAATACCTGCTACACTGAGAGAAAATTTTTGTAAAAATTCAAAACAATAATAATTCAAAGGGATTCAAATATATGTTAGCGTCATTGGTGTATCCCATTAAATTAATAAGTGTATAACAATTGTATAATACATACCTTTTTGAAACAACGTTGATAAAGGCAATGAAATAAATAGATTTCTTTTTGTATATATTTTTAAAGAGGGTACACTTTAAAAGTGTTTAACAACATTGTAAAACTGTTGGTAAATAAATATAAAACTACAATTTTTTCTATTTGAATCAAATGTACCCGACTATTTAAATTAATAAAGTCATATGCTTTTCATGACATGATATTTCTCTAAGTGTAATGGGAAAAACCATTACCAAAAGGGTAAAAGTAGCCCAACTAAAATACTGGGTCCACGTCACTCGTAGACAACGCAACAACATACTACAAGCCACCCTTAAACTAGATCTTAAAGACAAAAAAGTCGGGAGACCATGCTTCACATTTCATGACACGTTAGCACAAAACATGCACTTCTCACAAATTAACAAGACCAGCTGGGAGCAAATAAGCAACAATAAAAACAAAATAAAAAAAAAAAAACAACCGACACACTTTACCAAGTTCAGGAATTATCCGACACGGATAATGACAATAATGAACAAGACGAACCCCTCGACTAGGAAACTACACCCTGCATCGGAATAACAACTCCCCAACTCCAAATAGTAATCCCAAATGTTTGGAGTAATATTAATCGACTGGTCTAGGGGGATTCCGCGTCGTACTTAGTTTTAAGTCGGCGTAATTGTCCCCCAAAAACCAACACCTTCCCGTCCCTTCTCCATACCCCACTGAGCGTATAGCATAGGCTCGGCGAACCCGGGAACGGCTATTAAAACTATTCGCCTCTCGCTCTCGAGCTCCAAATAGGGGACAGTACTGAACGCAATGGACATTCGCACCCAGCAAACACGGGTGAAGCCGCGAAGTTGTTGGGGAAGAACAAAAATCGGCGTAAGTAAACATAGGCCTGTACGGGGTTCGAGAGTCAAGAGGAAATGGGGCTGGTTATACGTCTCTTATACTCATACTCATACTGTTCTGTTTAATTTTTTTATTATATTTTAAGAAATGTTAAAAAAAATTGTAAAAAGAAAAATAAAATATATTTTTACTTTACATGTACTATGCTCCACACCTCAAATTCCCACCACGTGACCACGTACGGAATGCAGTCTTTTGAAAATTTGGCATTTAAGGCTTTTCAGGTTATGTATCTGTCAAAGTATAGTCAACGAAAGAAATAATATTATGTTTAGGCGTTAAAAATGTATAAATCTTTATAACATTAGAATAACAATGGATGGTTTAAGAATTTAAGAATATAAATACTGCATTTAATGAAATTCCAAAGTGTGTGGTGCCAAATAAGTAATATTTTTGTGCATTTGGTCCAAATATCTGGTTTTCTCCATGAAATAATTTTAACTAAACAGCATTTATTTAAAAAAATCTAGCTTCTCTATTATGGAATAAGAATATCTGTATTAAAGGTAGGTTAATATATTATAACAAAAATATCATCTAATTTTGTAATTTTAAGGTTAGAAAAATTTATTTTGACCAAAATAAATAAGTATTTTGGATTATTTAAAAGACTGTATAATATGGTATTTAAAAATGTGGTAGTTTTTTCTTATCCAGCTTAAAATGTACCTACATAAAGTTTTGTCAATACAAATAGTTAAAAAGCTTCGACTGAATTTGATCTACATCAAAAAATCATTATAACTTTAAAATTTTTAATAAATCACATGTCATGGGAGTATTAAAGATTTTCACATTGCAAGTTTCTCTAAAAATTGTTTGTTTTCTTATAATCTACATAACTTAAAGTAGGTATGCAGAGAGGTATGCACAAGTTTTGTCATTAGAAGTATAAGAGCTTTTGAACCATATTCAACAATTATTTAGTATACCTATATTTATTTATGAACAAATTAACACACTTCCAAATAATCCACTTATTTATTTTGGTCAAAATAGATTTTTCTAACCTTAAAATACAAAATTAGATGACATTTTTTGTTCTAATACATTAACCTACCTTTGATATATCAAATACAGATATTCTTATTTCATAATAGAGAAGTTAGATTTTTTTTTTAATAAATTCTGTTTAGTTAAAACTATTTTATGGAGAAATGTAGACCCAATGCACAAAAATATCACTTATATTGCACCTTACACTTTGGAATTTCATTAAATGCAGTATTTATATTCGTAAATTCTTAAACTAACCATGTTATTGTGATACTATAAAGATTTATTAACTTTTAACGCTTAAACATAAGCGGTATCACTATAAATATGATTTCTTTCATTGACTATACTTTGACAGATACATAACCTGAAAAGCCTTAAATGACAAATTTTCAAAAGACTGGGTTCCGTACTTGGTCACGTGGTGGGACTTTGAGGTGTGGAGCATAGTACCTATAATTATTGCTGGAAATTAATGAAAATTGGTCTGGAGAACCTGGAAAAGTCTGGGAATTTTGTTTCATTTTCTTGGTGGGAACCCTGTTATATAAAACCCAACCCACCAGGCTTTTTTGGATTTTATACATAAGGGGGTTTTATTATTTTTTTTAGTTCTATACAGATTTTAGTGAAAAAACATTTAATAAGAAATACTATTGATAAGAAAAATTCAAGTACTTTCACAGTAAAACCTGTATAATAAAGAATGTACTGAAAATTTCACCACCTTCTTTTTAACAACTTATTTTGGGAAAAGCACCTTTCAGTCGATTTGGTTAGACGTGAGGACCTATCAAGAAAACGCCAATTATTTATGCCCAAACGTTGATGGAAAATCTTTGCTGGGGCATTCATCGGATTATCATCGGCGAAAATTAAAATTAAAATATTTTTTTCAATAAAGTTGGGGTCTTCATGCAACTTTGTTTTTAACCAGCAACAGAATTTTAGTCTACATGGAAGTTCTTGAGGATTTAAATCATAAGGAATATAGCAGTGGTTTGTGCATTATTCCCCAAACTGTACTTTTAATAGCGTTTTTCCCGAAAACGCTTGGCTTTATGACTTTTTTACAAGAGCACCTTTTGTACGTAAAATTATCTGGAAAATTGTATTCCAAGATCAAGAATTCTAAAAACCCCACAACAAAAATTTTGATGTTTTTTTTTCCTGAGTAGCCCCTGTTTCGCACGCCTATGGTAATCATTTATCCGATTTGACACCACCAGATGATCTCTTGCCCAATAAATACCCCAGAAACAAAGCATCGTTATTTTCGCACTAACCGTTTCTGAAATAATTAATAAAAACCTGATTTTGCAAAACAGTTTAAATAAAATGTTGTTTATAGCATCTTTTTCATTTATTTTTACGTGTAGAATCACCCCCCAAATATATCAACATTATTTCCCTGTATATAAAAGCATTTTTAGGTAATGACTTATTGAGTGTTATACCCACCCCACTGGGCTTTTTTGGGTTTAATAAGTGTGTCTTACTTTTGTTTTTTTTAGTTTAGTGAAAAAACAACATTACAAAAGAAATAATGTTGATAAGAAAAATTCAAGTATTTTCACATTGAAACCTGTATAAAAAATAATGTACTGAAAATTTCACTACCTTCTTTTCTACGACTTATTTTCGGGATCGTTCTTTAACTATAAATTGCATAGGTGGAATACAGATTGGCAGGGAAATCCCTGAACTTTAAAATTAAGTCTTGTTTAATCGTTTTTTTTAATTCTAAATTAGAATTAGAATTTCTAAAAGCAGTTTTAGTCTGACCAGCGCTTTATGCAGATGTTTTTAAGTTTTAGCTAACAATTTTTATATAAAGACTTGAGCTTTGTTTACATACATAAAAATGTGTTTTATTTTTTTTAATGACTTTTACCCACAAAAATATCTACTGGGCAGCCAACATGGAATGTTTTACTTGATTTTTCTCCATTTTTTCAAGTTTTTTTGTTTTTACTTTTATTTGATTATAACATTTTTTATTAGTATTTATGGTTTTCATATTATATTTTGCTACAATCACTTCATTTAATTTTATATGTTTGGTAACAAGGTTTTTTCAAAATGTTTACATTTTTTAGACTCGTTACAACGCTGCTCGTCTGTCGACAACAGACCGCGTGGCTCGAGTCGCACAAGTCATAGAATCTCTCGAACGCGAAATGGAACTTCTTTGCATAACAGGAGTCGAAGACAAATTGCAAGACAACGTGAGGGCCACCCTCGAATTGTTAAGAAACGCCGGCATCAAAATTTGGATGTTAACTGGCGACAAGTTGGAAACCGCCACCTGTATCGCCAAAAGTTCAAGATTAGTTTCAAGAACACAAGGTACAAAAACGAGAAAACTCTTAATTAACATTAACAGTTTAATCCAATTAAACAAAACGTCTCTTGTAGGTTTGCATGTTTTAAAGAAAGTGGTGACCAGGACTGATGCTCATTTAGAGCTGAACGCTTACAGAAGAAGACAGGATTGCGCTTTGGTTATCAGCGGCGAAAGTTTGGAAGTTTGTCTTTCGTACTATCAGCCGGAGTTTATGGAACTCGCCACTGCGGCGCCAGCTGTCGTATGTTGCAGGTGTTCGCCCACGCAAAAGGCCCAAGTGGTAAGAAAAAAATATGTTATTGTTAATTTTAGCTAAAGTCAAAATTAACGCATAACAAGTAAAAAAAAATCCAACTCTTAAACGCCTTTACCAATCTTTATAAAATTTTGGATAAAAATACTTTAACTTATATCTTAGTTTATGTGTTCAAGGGTTTTTCGATAAAATATCCTTAAAGCACCTTTTATTTAATAATAAAAAACGCTCGAAAAAAAACTTTTATAGGGAAAGTAAATAAAAAATATGCTGTGAAAGATCGTATTTTTGTTAGTATACCCTGAAAATGTTGTACAAATCAAAGAACAGTAATGAAAATACAGCGCCTCAAAGTCGTCAAAAATGACCACTTTTCAGCAAAATAATCAAAAAGGGGTCATTTTTACCGACATTGAAGCGCTGTATCTTCGTTACTGTTCGTTTGATTTGTACATTTGAACATTTTCAGGGTATACTTTGAAAGCATATTTTTTCCCTTAAAGTTTTTTTTACTTGTTATGCGTTAATTTCAAATTTTTTTGCCACTTTAAATTGAAAATTTTGTAAAAATCTAGGTAGTGAAAAAAATAAAATCTAATTTGGCCAATAAATTTGAAATTTGGTATATGGACCAAATACCGTACTGTACCGTATATGGGAAATATGATTTTAAACAACTTTTTTTATAATATTTTGTCGTATATCCCATATGAAAGTCACTTTACCTGCACAAAAAATAGTAACAAAAATCCTAGTTGGCCAAGAATTTTGAAAATTGGTAAACTGCTAATTAGCATAAACTACATTTTTCTAAAACAGAAGTAGGTATTCAATTCATTTTTTAATTTTATAAGATATTTAACTGCATTTCTGTGCTGAATTAAGATACAAAATGTCCATAGCTTTACCCAGTGGCGGCTCGTGGGTGTACAGGAGGGTGAGGCTACATAAGGTTAATTTTGTCTAAATACAAATAAATTTCCACGTCACCCGGGAGGTATTATTCTGCGACGCGTTGACCTTTTTTAAAATGGAGGTTATCGCCGATAGCCCTACTAAACCATTATAAATAAAAAATAAAGTCTAAAAAACAAAACAAACAAAATATCACATCAAAGACTACTTTTAATCTTAAAACTTAAAAATATATTCTTAAAACAGTTAAAAATAAATAAATTAATCAAAAAATAAAAATAAAACTAAAATGTCGACCCCTACCTAAGTATTAAAAAATATAAAATACTATTAGCTACTTTTTGTAAATTAAATCTATACGTCTAAGTTTGCAAATTTATCTATTATTTGGTCGTAAAATTGTGGGTCTGCAGTGAGATTTAAAAGTAATTCTAAATTTTTAAACCGCGTCTCTAATTAAAGAATTATGCAATCTATTATTTCAAAATATAAAAGTTGCTTAATAAAAACTGTTAAATCTACCTTAGTGTGTTCCCCACAATAATTAAATAAGAAATTTTACTAATCGAGACAAAAACTATAAAAGATCAGCCAAAAGTTTTAAATAATTTAATTTAAATCAAAACAAAACGAAACAAAACGTGCTCTACGAACGCTTAAAGGACACTGGCCTCCCCACCATAGACGGACACGCGATTATAATGTGATAAAACCAGAAATCAGAACAAACCAAGCTAACTTTATGTCGCCTCATGTACGACTGAATTTACGTTCTTTATTCGCGAACTTTAGTTGGTGAGTCATTTTCGCTTTCTAGAGGTAAATGGGAGCTTTCGAGGCTGTGAAAATTTCGCCTCTGTCTAGCGACTTTCAACGATGCACGTTACCTTGACGCGCTTTGCGCCTGGATTTTTATTTACGCTTAGTATTATTGATTGTTTTTTTACTTTTTATTGGTTAGAACTGTTGTAAAAATACACTTGTAATAGGCAAAAATCTAAATACAAAAAGTCGTTCGTTCATTCATTTTAAGGGTGAGGCGCGGCCTCAGAGGCCTACCCTGACGAGCCGCCACTGGCTTTACCATAGCATAAGAAAATGCATTTTGCATTGTTTGCTAGTTACAGCCCTTCTCCATAGGAATAGTATAGGTTTCTAAATGTTAATTCTAAACAACTTTTTTTATAATATTTTGTCGTATATGAATGGCACTTAACCTACACAAAAAATAGTTTTTTTAATATTTCCAAGGCATACTTGATTTTTCAGGGTTCCCGTTTATCATAAAAATTTTAAATATCATAAATTAGGTTAAATTGTCCTAAAATGTCATAAAATTCACATTTTGTCATGGATATTATAAAATTTCATTAGTTTTTAACAATTTTCTCACCTTTGCTCTTTTTTATAAAATGAAAATTTTGTAAAATAAAATTTAAAGCCGGTCCTGTAGAATAAAACGCAATAAAATGTTTTGAATACGGCCTTGGTTGTTGACATATGAACTTCATACTATGAAGAAAGACGAAGAAGACTTATTAAGTTAGGAAATAAATTTGAAATAAATAATAGGAATAGTAAAGTTTTTCGTTACTTTATAAACGGAAGGCAGAAAGCGCAAATACAAAGAAGGACTTGAAGAAATTGAAAGTAGTTTGGCAAGTAAGGATGCAGAGTTAAAAATATCAAGAAATCTTATTTCTGAAGGAAATAAGAAATTATCGAAGTAGGTACCTACCTTAACTATAAAACTACTCTTATTAAATCTGAAATATTGGAGGCTCAAATAATGATTAACATGGGTCTCGAAAAAGCAAAAAAAAATAGTACCTATGTTGTTTTATTTATTTTGAGATGTAGTTTTATTTATTTTGAGATGCAGTTTTATTTCTTTTAAGATTATAATACCTATTATAGTAAGATACTAAAGTAACAAATATTAAAAATATAATAGAAGAAATATTTATTTTGATGCGAGAAAAAATATTTATTTTTATATAGTAAACTGTTAAAAAATTACATATTTTTTATTAAAATAACTTTAGGAATAATAAATTCTTGTCATAAAAATTTGTCATAAAAAGAGTACAAAATAATGCTGCGAACCCTGTATATAATAATTTTTAGTGGGATATTTTTAACTTTTAGCAAATGTAGATGTAGTTTTATTTATTTTGAGATGCAGTTTTATTTAATTTAAGATTAATACCTATTAATATTATTTATATATTCGGTTTTTATTTACAAACTTATAAAATTATCAGAACCTTCTTATTTGAGAGAAAAACTTATGTTTAGAAGTGATTTGCACTTATTGAATATTCGCAATATTAACACCTTGTCCGTTGCCAGGCATAATACCGCAATATTCCAGAAATCTTTTACATTTATTGCTACTAAACTGTATAATTCTAATGTTATTTTAAATAACCTTGGTTTAATGCTTTTTCGTAAGAGTTTAAAGCAGATTTTGCACAGTTCTCAAAATTAAATTAAAGACCATAGTGGTTTCAATTTATTTTATCAGTTTATTTTTGCTTTATTATTATATCCTTAACTTTGTTTAATTTATAATTGGTTTAATTATTATTTTATTAATATAATTGTTATTATTGTTTATTTTGTAAGAGTGATTTTAAATCAAACTTCGCCATTTTGAAATGTATATGTATGTTCGTATATATGTCAAATAAAGTCGTTTATTATTATTATTATTATTATTATAGTAAGATACTAAAGTAACAAATATTAAAAATATAATAAAAGAAATATTTATTTTGATGCGAGAAAATATATTTTAGTAATAGGAAACCGTTAAAAAATTACATATTTTTTATAAAATAACTTTAGAAATAATTAAATCTTGTCAAAAAGTGTCATGAAATTTGAAAAATTTATCATAAAATCATAAAAAAAGTACAAAACAATGCTGGGAACCCTGATTTTTAAAGACTGAAATTATGTTGAAAATCTTTTACCATGCGGGGCTGAACCCCCGAAAATGAAAACTAAATTAATTTTTATTTTTATTTTACATGAATCGTTTCACATATCCGGGGACACACTGTTTATATTTTGTACATGGTTTTACTATTTTCCCAGGTACAACTGATTCAAAAACACACCGGCAAACGCACGGCCGCAGTGGGCGACGGCGGCAACGACGTCTCCATGATCCAGCAGGCGGACGCCGGCATCGGCATAGAGGGCCGCGAGGGTAAACAGGCGTCGCTGGCCGGCGATTTCAGCATCCCGCAGTTCTCGCATCTCGCTCGCTTGCTGCTCGTGCACGGCCGCAGGTCTTACAAACGGTCGGCTTCGCTCGCCCAGTTCGTCATCCATCGCGGCTTGATCATTTCCACGATGCAAGCGGTGTTCAGCAGCGTTTTTTATCTGAGCTCGGTGGCGTTGTATCAGGGATTCCTTATGGTCGGGTACGCGACCGTTTACACCATGTTTCCGGTAAGTGAGCTTCAGAATATTAAACTGTTATAAAAGTCGTCCCAGATATACTTAAATATGGTGTAAAACTACACTCCCTGTTTAAATTATTAAACTCACCCAATTTTGGGTGGTTGATATCGGCCATTTCAAGCGCGCGAAACAAAACTGTTTTTATAAAAAAAAATTGTAGATTATTTATTATATAATATTTTGGTATCCAAATTGTCAAAAATATTCTTCTGTTATTAGGTTATAATATATTATATATTATATTAAATTAAAAAAAAAACGTAAAAAATATTTAAGTAGAGATAATTGTAATAATTGAAAGGTGTGGACGGGACAAAAAAAAGATTTATCTTGTCCTGTCCACATCTGTCAATTATTAAAATTATCTACTTTTATCAAATATTTCTTACGATTTTTTTATTTAATATACAGGGTGTTATGTAATTAATGTTATATATTAAAATGAGTTGTTCCTTAGGGTCCATAAAGAAGCACCTGAAACTTTTTTTTTCTAAATTCCAAAGACTAAAAATAATTTATAATAACCTTTATCCTACCAAAAAGTACGCCACTGATCGACTAGGAACTTTAGGGTAATTTAATTTATTATGTTATGGTTTGTAACCCTGGTTGGTAACAACAGCGTTTCCAAATTCTGTCAAAAAAGATGACAAACATTGTTTAAATTTAGCTTAATTACAAAAATGATAAAATTAACAATGCAAATTGTCAATTTGGCGTTTTTATTAATTGTTGAAGGTAAATTCAACACAGTGACTAGAGGCACGCTAACGTACCGCGATTGAAAATGTTAAAGGCACGTTAGTTACGTCATAATTATAATCCGTTTTTGTTCCCCGAGCGTTTAATATTTGACATCAAGCTAGATAGCTCATATGCTAGGGCGGTCGCTTGGCATGCGAGAGGTCCCGGGTTCGATACTAAGAAGTCGAACTTTTTTTATTTCATAAATTTGTTGTTTCTTTGTTAAACAGTGTTCGGTTGGGTTGGGTTGGTTGGTTTGTTTTAGTTTTATCGTAAAATCTACTAGAAGTTGTCGAACTTTTTTTATTTCATAAATTTGTTGTTTATTTGTTAAAAAGTGTTTTATTTTTATCGTAACATAAATTTGCCCATTTTAGTTGGGTTTTTTGCTCAATGAGGCGGGGGGGGGTCAATGGGGCGGGGTCGGTTGGATTGTGTTGTTGAGTTTGGGATGGTTTGGGTTTATGACGTAACTAACGTGCCTTTAACATTTCGAATCGCGGCAACTTTTATGACAGAATCTAGTGCATTTCTTTCAAATTTTAGGTTATGTGCTCAAATTGTAAATATTTTAACTAAGGGAAGTGCTTTTGGATTTATTTACACAAATTAAATGTTTAAAGTTTAACCTGTGAACTGGTCCCAATTTCATCTGAGTAAACAGAAAGAAAAAAACCGAGGAAAAAATTAATTTTGTGGTTATGGATTTTTTTAAATAGGTACTAAATTAATTTTCTAATCATTGCTTAAGCTAATAGCTGGATGAGTAAAGATTAATTAGAGCTTTAAGGACATAAAACTTGTATTTATTGAGTTTTTATTTATTTTTTGCAAGAAAAATTTTTAGTGACAATTTTTTACATCTGGCAACGCGCAGCTACTTTGTTGGTTGGTATCTTGGTACTCACAGAACACAAGTGTGCAGAGATAAACCAAGTGTGTAACCAGTGGTGTATCACAAAAAATATAAAAAACTTCTAATGCCTATTTTTTCTTCATCTTTGGAAAAATATTTTTTTAAATATTTTTCCTTTACTCCTTATGTCACAAGGTATTCCGTATTTTAATACACCCTGTATAGCCTAATAAAAAATATATATATTTGACAATTTTGATGCAAAAATAATATATAATAAATTACCTACAATTTTTTTATAAAAACAGTTTGGTAATTTGTCCCGTCCATCCGCTTGAAATGGCCGATATTCTCACAAAAAAGTTTTTTTAAATATTTTTTCATCACTTTTTTAATTTTAAATTTATTGTAAAAATGTGTGCTATCGTCCTAATAGCGTTTTTAAAGCTATTATATTCTTAAAATCACAAAAATGATTTTTTATGTGAAGATATTCACCATTTAACAAATTCTTAAAAAGAAAGAAAATTGGCCATTTAGGAGGTTACCAATACGTTTTAAAATGTTAAAATAGTATATTATGCATCAATTTCAATAAAAGCCATTTTAGTCACGAACTTAAAGTAAATGAGTGTCTAGAAAAGTTTGTAAACGAGTTACATACTTTTTCTACGAAAAATTCTTATTATCTACACATCTACCCCTGTAAAATCTTTTTTTGTGTGATTTTAACCGGATCTTGACAAACTGTATTTTTGACGCGAAAAACGCCATATTTTTACAAAATACAAGGCCTACTATGTCAGTTTTTGAGAGTAAATGTTTAGGAACGATTTTTTAGCCAAATTAACCTTGTTGTTTTGTGATTTCGTATTTCTATCGTGTTTAAGTTAATTATGGATTTTTTACTAAAAATAACAATACATGGAATTATCGTTTGTAAGTACCTACCTACTTATTTTTTTAATTCCAATACGTCACTGGAAGAAAACATAAAATTATATCGCCAATTTAACGCTTAGACTGTGACCGTTTGATGACGTCACTGGAAGAAAACATAAAATTCTATCTCCAATTTGACGCTTAGACTGTGACCGTTTGTTGACCGCAAACAAATCATTGTTATTGAATGGCAATGCGCCGTCCATTTGTTTTGGTGGTCTGTGGGAAAATTAAACTAATAGTAACACGGTATAAATATTCCTATGCATAGTTTTGACAAATAAAAAACGAAATAGAAACTTAAAACAATGAAACAAAAAATAGAGAATTCAAAAAATTCTATATAATTAGATTTTCTTTACCTCTACTCCACACGAACTACGGACTAGGGTAATACCAGTCTACGCAGCTATTGCTCCAGAGCAAATATAAAAGTTTATTGAAATAAATGGTACTTAGAGGTGACGATTTTTAATTTTAATAAAAGTTAGTATACGGTCGTTTTGAGGGGAGGTGAATCCTTGTATTTTGTAAAAATATTGCGTTTTTTGCATCAAAAATACAGTTTATCCAGATCTACATTTTAAAACAAATCCGGTTAAAATCGCACAATAAATAAATATTTTACAGGGGGCGAAAACAAATGGGTCACACTGTATACAAAAATAAAGTAACCTTTAGAATAGGAATCTGAATTACCGGCAGCAAATGTCAAATTTTTCTGTTTAAATCGAAATGTATCCCTTGAAAATGGACTAACAACCGTTTAAATCCTATATATTTAAGCAGTTTTTTTACAGTGAAAGTAAAGATAATGTTTTATGGGCTCCACGGTGGAGTGTCCAACCGAAATGTTTAATGCTTTATCCGTTTAATCTAGTTTACTGCCCGCCACAGTCTTATATAAGACCGTGCTGTCAGTGCAAACTTTTTAAATAATGGCGTTGAGAAGCTAGTTAATATTTTTGAATTTTTGTATTAGGATAATACAATGATTTTCAAAACTTCATTTAAAAATATTTTTCTTTTATTAAATAATAGAAACGCAAGAAATATTTTATAAAAGTAAAGATAATTTCAATAACGAACAGTTGTGGATGGGACAAGAGAAATATTTCTTTTGATGCCAAAATAATAATAAATATAATAAATTACCGTAAATTACCTACACTTTTTTTATTAAACCAGTTTTGTGATTGCTTGAAATGTCCCCTAACAAGAATATCAAAACCGGATGTGAAATTAAGAACTTAATTTTAATGTTAAAACATTTTGAAGTGTAAAAACACCTTTTAGAATGACAAACATTTAAAAAGCGTAAGTAATTAGATTTTAAAAAACAAATTTTTAACTAAAAGGTAATGTTAAAACAAAATGGGTTTATAATTATTATATAGTGTCCTAAAAATGGCGCACTTACGTATACAACGCTATAGAGTGGATATTTTAGGAATGAAAAAAATAACAAGTTTTTTCAGACAAGTATTTTGAGTTATTGGGCATTTAAGTTAAAAAAAATTGGTTTCCCAAGCCGATTTTTGAGACATCTATAGTTTAATGTGCAACTCGTGGGAGAAACAGGAGATTTCTTGAGCGCTACGATCGTGCCGCACGAATCGTGCGGCCAAACGCGATTCTCTTTTGACCAGCTGTCAATTAGTTTTAACCTCACTTTTTGCCAATTTAAACTGAAAGCCAACTTCAGCCCGAGGGCAAAATGCTATTTTGCAAAGTAAAATTTTACCCACTGGTTAAAATTAAAATATGAAATGGGTGTTGAAAACAAACAAAAAATAACCAATTTACTAAAATTAACAAGGTATAAACCACAGACCTACAAAGGTAGGTCTGTGGTATAAACAGATGTACTATGCTCCACACTTCAAAGTCCCACCACGTGACCACGTACGGAACGCAGTCTTTTGATATTTTGTCATTTAAGGCTTTTCATGTTATGTATCTGTCAAAGTATAGTCAATGCAAGAAATAATATTTATACTGTTACCGTTTATGTTTAAGCGTTAAAAGTTTATAAATCTTTATAGTATCACAGTAACAATGGTTGGTTTAAAAGTTTAGGAGTATAAATACTGCATTTAATGAAATTCTAAAGTGTATAGTGCCAAATAAGTAAAATTTTTGTGCATTTGGTCTACATAATATGTTAATATATTATATCTGGTTTTATCCATAAAATAGTTTTAACTAAACGGCATTTATTAAAAAAATCTAGCTTCTCTATTATGGAATAAGAATATCTGTATCAAAGGTAGGTTAATATATTATACCAAAAAATATCATCCAATTTTGAAATTTTAAGGTTAGAAAAATCTATTTTGATCAAAATAAATAAGTATTTTGGATTATTTGGAAGAGTGTGTTAATATGGTCATATAAATATAGATATACTAAATAATTTTTGAATATGGTTCAAATTAAATTAAAGCTTTTATACCTACTCCTAACAACAAAACTTGTGCATACCTACTTTAAGTTAGACTTATAATCTAACTTAAAGTGATAAAAGGTTCCTAAATTAGGTGATATTTTTAATAAAATAGGTATTTTAGGTACCTATATTTTATGTATTTTATAAGTACATAAAATATAGGTACCTAAAATACCTATTTTATTAAAAATATCACCTAATTTAGGAACCTTTTATCACTTTTTGACCTAAAAATCCGGGCCTTAATTATAAGCAAACAAACAATTTTTAGAGATACATGCAATGTAAATATATTTAATACTCTGGATGTTAAATAAATAAATAAATAACATGTGATTTTTGAAATTTTTAAAAGTTATAATGATTTTTCGATGAAGATATAATTCAGTTGAAGCTTTATACGTAATTGTATTGACAAAACTTTATGTAGGTATACTTTAAGCTGGATAAGAAAGACTACTACAAGTAAAAATATTAGATAGAATTTTAATAATTTTAAGGTGTTGTTTTTAGATTCCTTCTTTTAAATTAACCCCTTTTAATATTTAATTAATTTTAAAAATCTTAAAATAGTTAAGTTTTACAGTTGAAAATATTTATGCCAGAGTAAAACAAAATAGACATCATAATTGAACAACTGGCTCTTGGAAATAAGCAATATTAAACATTTCAAATATAAAACCATTAGATACTTAATTTTAAAAAACTGTAAATTCTTTTTAAAAATTCAATAGCTAACCTTTTTAAAGTTCCTTACACTGTCAGCTAATATACCCATAGTGTCAATACAAGTACCTATAAAAGCTTCGACAAAATTTTATCTACATCGAACAATCATTAGGTATAAATAACCTTATAAATTCTAAAATTTAAATAAAACCACAGTATACTCTATCTAATATTTTTACTTGTAGTAGTCTTTCTTATCCAGCTTAAAGTATACCTACATAAAGTTTTGTCAATACAATTACGTATAGCTTCAACTGAATTTTATCTTCATCGATAAATCATTATAACTTTTAAAAATTTCAAAAATCACATGTTATGGGAGTATTAAATATTTTTACATTGCATGTATCTCTAAAAATTGTTTGTTTCCTTATAATCTAACTTAAAATAGGGATCCCGAGAGGTATGCACAAGTTTTGTTGTTAGGGGTATAAAAGCTTTAATTTAATTTGAACCATATTCAACAATTATTTAGTATATCTATATTTATATGACCATATTAACACAATCTTCCAAATAATCCAAAATACTTATTTATTTTGATCAAAATAGATTTTTCTAACCTTAAAATTTTAAAATTAGATGATATTTTTTGTTATAATATATTAACCTACCTTTGATACAGATATTCTTATTCCATAATAGAGAAGCTAGATATTTTTAATAAATGCCGTTTAGTTAAAACTATTTTATGGATAAAACCAGATATAATATATTAACATATTATGTAGACCAAATGCACAAAAATTTTACTTATTTGGCACTATATACTTTAGAATTTCATTAAATGCAGTATTTATACTCCTAAACTCTTAAACCAACCATTGTTACTGTGATACTATAAAGATTTATAAACTTTTAACGCTTAAACATAAACGGTAACAGTATAAATATTATTTCTTTCATTGACTATACTTTGACAGATACATAACCTGAAAAGCCTTAAATGCCAAATTTTCAAAAGACTGCGTTCCGTACCTGGTCACGTGGTGGGACTTTGAAGTGTGGAGCATAGTACATATTTCTGACATTTATGTATAAAAATTAAAAACTTTAAATTTTCATAACTTTGTTATTTATTATTAAAAAAATGTTAACTTTTTATTTTTGAAACGTGTATTAGTGTTAATTCTCTGTACTTTTACATAAATAAATAATCTCAATTTAAAGAATATAATAAGAAAATAAGAAAAATTAATTTTAATTTTGAAACCCTTGTCGCAAAATTATTTTGTATTTTTTTCTTAAATAATCCCCCCTAAAATTGTTTTGTATTTTTTTATAAATAAACAGCTTCAAAACATTAAATTAAAAAAATTAAATTTTACCCTTAGAACTACTAAGTTTTAAGTTAACTATTCGTCGGGAAATTTGTTGTACTTTTATATACTTAAAATAACCCCATATCGCGTGGTAGGGCGTTAATTCGCACTGTATATACTACAAAGGATAACCTTATTAGAATTTCTTTTAAACTGTCAAACCCATATTTAAGAATTTCGAATTACAGAGAAGTACTTAATTAACATTTATTTGATTTGTTTTAGGTTTTCAGTTTAGTTTTAGATCAAGACGTTAGCGCCGAAATTGCCTTGACCTATCCTGAATTATACAAAGAACTTTCCAAAGGAAGAAGCTTATCGTTTAAAACCTTCTTCATGTGGGTACTTATATCAATATACCAAGGTAAACAACAGCCTAAACATAATAAAAACAAAAGTTTCTGACAAAATTCTTTATTTTATCTTTACAGGTGGTGTAATTATGTACGGAGCCCTTTTACTCTTCGAAGACGAGTTTATTCACATTGTCGCCATTAGTTTTACATCCTTAATATTAACTGAATTAATTATGGTGGCGTTGAATATTAGAACGTGGCACTACCTGATGATGCTCGCCGAATTTTTCTCTCTAATTCTGTATGCGTTGTCTCTTGTTGTACTTCATGACTATTTCGGTGAGTAAATATTTATTTTTAGTAATAACATTGCAGTCTTTATCATGTCCTTTTGTACCTAGGAACTAAAAATTTTATCACGGTAATTTTGATCCAAATCTCCTTTTAAAGCAACATTTAAACACATTTTACATTGCTTCAACATATTTCTCCAAGAAAATAAAAACATACACAATCCATTTTAGAATGTAAAACATTTCCATGTTCCAATCAACTTCTAGAATGTCAAAATTAGTTTTTGAGTTACTTTAGGGAACAAGTCATGTCCCTAAAGTATAAAATCAATATTCTTGCATTAGATCTTTGTATATAGGATTTGCCTAAAGGTTTTTTGTAGAGATGGGAAAATTCCCATTTGACGAAAATTCCCGAAATTTTACGAAACTTAAAAAAAAAAAATGTATTGCGAAAATATTTTTTTTATGCCAGGGATTTGCAAAAATATATAACACATTAACTTTTTGTCAAATTTTATTAAGAAAAAAATAAAAAAAAATGTATGTATGTAACTGCAATACTATTTTTAGTATCTTTTACTTTGGAATATTCCTATTGTATACTGAAACCTACAAAATAAAAATAAAATGTTTACTATTAGAAATTCACTGCTAGTAAATCCTAGATATTACGTAAAAAAAATTAAAAGGGACATAGTAACTAATTTATAGGAATATTGAAAATTAAAAAGTAAAGTAAAAATAATTCCAAACACTAGATTTTTTTCTTGGCATGCCTTGGCTATGCCTATAAATAAACAACAAAAATGTAATAATGATTTTAACTTTGTTTATTGTTTTTATTTTGTTTACCTTTTTTTATTCATTGAGGTTATGTAACATAACTTACATTATTTATACTTCCTCTTTTGCTTTCAATTAAAACACATTAAATTATTATTCAAAGTTTCTTGGCCTTGTATCATGGCCTTAACGAAAATCAGCGGTTAAACAATTGACATTTAAATTAAAAAAACAAGGAAAGTTTCCAAGGAATGTTTCCGGTAGCTTAAAAGAAACTTTCAAAATGAAAATAAATTCCCAATGGGAAACTTTCCAAAACGGAAAGTTTCCTTAAAATGGAAACTTTCCGATTCCCATCTCTAGTTTTTTGCATTATTGCTTTGGTCTTGACAGAATCTTCAGGAATCCACCTTTTCTATTTTTTAGGTCTTGTTTAATTGTTTTGTTGGGTTTGTTGTTTTGGGTATTTTCTTTTGATAAAAGTACCAATCTTAACATTATTTTAATTTAGAAAAATTATCCATTATTACAGAATAAATAAAACTAAATTGAATTCAATTGATTTAAGAAAATAACAGAAAACGTTAAATTTACTGTCGGTTGGGTCTTTTTTGCAAAAAGGAGTCCATTAAAAATATCCAATTACAAAATAATAAACAATTTATAAAGTTAAATTAGGCGACATACATTAATTACGCGAGATAAAAAAAGGGGGGGTCTAGCATAATCTCACCAAATCTCATTTTAAGGGGTTGAAAATCTCACGTCAAGAATATGTAAAATCTCAAGAATATGTAATATAATTCAATTTTGGGGTTTATTATGTTGTCCCCAAAGAAAGTTTCATGGCTAGAATCTCTTGAGGGATAGGGGGGTCTACCACATCTCACCAAAGGGGTGGGGGGTCCAAATTATCATAAATATACCTCACGTAATTAATGGGTGTCCCCTTGCAAAATTATTATTTTATAAATCGAATTGTCAAATAAAACAAAAGTTATGTTAATACATCACCGAATATGTGTTTTTTGCGGTCCGGTGGAATATTCTGAATTAAAATAAAAGGGATAATATAATAATTATTCTTTCATAATATATGACCACCGTCGGAAATTCACTTTTTTCTCGATATCAGTGTACGGATATTATTCGTAAAAATTTGTAAATTTTCAAAAAAATTGACTTGAATTTTTTTCGCATTACCCATTGAATAAAATGCAAAAGTCAATTTTTCTGAAAATTTCACTATTTTTCCGAAAAAAAAAAAACGTTTTTTGCGCCGGCTACATTTTTCCGGAAGTTTTTATTTTATTTTATTTTATTTTCTTAAATATTCGACCAATTAAGGCAAATGCAACTCATATTAGGTTACAGATTTTAAATCCGTTTAGAATGTGAAACAAGCCAGCCAATGTTAAATTTTCTGGTCACAAAGAATTTGAAGAGTGATATTTTTATGACACGTTTTTAGCTATAGAACTTTTTAATTAGGGATATCTACTCGTTCAAAATGAAATGTTAAAGCTAAAAGGTAGTAAATTCTGTAATCGTTATTTCTTTTACAAGTGGCTACCTTAGAACCCAAGTGTTCTATCTGACAAATTGTACATTTTTTGGAATAAATGTTGGAATAAAAACTTGCAACATAACGTAAACTTTTCTTATAAATTTTATAGGAAAAGTTTACCTTAGCTCAAATTTTAGATTGCAGTTCTTATTACAATATTTCAATTTCAAACCTTATACCACAAAAAGGCAAATAGAACCCTGTTATTCTGGCGGAGCAAAGTGTTCAAAAGTGACCTTTTCATGCGAGAGTTTAAGTTGCACAAGCTAGAAAAATGCATTTTCTAACAAATGTAACACAATGCCTCTCCGATAAAGAATACAAATTAATGTTTGTTCAGAATTTAAGACCAATTTTATTTCACATCTGACATCTGTCAAGCGATTTTAATCTAACTTTCTTATCAGACAGACCTGTCACTTTTTACACAGAAACGTCAGTTTTCATTCGAATTTTGCCTTGCAAATTAAAAGATTCATTTTCTTAGCAACGAAGGTGACATTTGGGGAAAAAATAAACATAACATAAACCCATAAAAAATAACACGACACTGAAAATACTTTTTTCTACTTCAACTATGTAAAAGTCACATTTCATAATGTTATCATTGCTTAGAAAATTAATATTTTCATTGTCAAGGCAAAACTCGAATGTAAAGTGACATTTCTGTGTGAAAATAATGTAATGTTAACAGCTGTCAAACACGTTTTTAGGTTATTTTGTTTTGCATTTAAAAACAATAAAAAAAAAGGGTCGTAAAAAAACATTGTATTTCACTTGTGAGAAAAGCCTAACGGCCTGATGAGCAACTTAAACACTCGCATGAAAAACGTTTTCAAAACTTGTAAAACAAATAACTATTACCTACTCCCACATTGACAAGATGTGAGGCGTTTTAGTCAAGATAGCTTTATTATAAATTGGGACAAAGTGAGGTTAAATTCGGATGGCAGTTGACAGATGTCAAATTTTTTACAAATTAAATTGGCTTTACATTGTTTTGTGTTCGTCGTAGATAAACTATAGTATGCAACTCGTTTATAAACTCCTCTAGACACTCGTTTTTATTAAACACTCGCTCGCAAGCTTCGCTGGTGCTTAATTAAACTCGTAACTAAAGTGACATTTATAAATCTTGATACCATATACCATAGATTAATAACATACTATAATAATTTACTATAGAGTTATATAGTTTTATGTCCAGTTGTCAAGTATCAAGTAAAACTAATGATTTTTTTAAATTAAGCCAAACAGTATTAAGTCAGCCCCTGTTTAGCAAATTTTGGTATTAAGTCACTTAAAATAAGTCTGTCATCAAAGCCATTAAATACTTTTTATTTCTAAAAATAACAATATCATCTGCACGATTTTACTTTCCTGAAATAAAATTATATTTTATTTACCTATGTATGTTGAAAAAAATTAGGTATTAATCTCTTCTGGTTCCAAAGTTAAACGCGTTTACAACTAAAAAATTAAAATAACAAAAACGCTTAAGTGTAATATTTTTTTAAATGATTTTATGACTGAATGAATCATTTAAAATCTTAAAACAATAATATTGTCTACACAGTTAGAATAATTTGTTAAAACAAAATTTTAAATTCCATTGTAATTAAATCGTTCTTTCTTTCTTCTAGATGCTGAATTCATCAAAACAAAAGACTTCTTCTGGAAAGTCCTAGTGATCACCCTTATATCCTGCTTGCCCCTATACATCCTCAAGTTTCTCAGAAAGAAATTCTCGCCACCTAGTTACAGCAAACTGTCTTAAGCAAATTAAAAAACAAACGAGAAACTTGTTGGATGAAAGTATACAATGTGATATTGGTAAGCTTTTAAGTCATTTTTCGTATAGGCGACACACGACTATAGTCACGGCCAAATCTATATGGGTGCACGTCATCAATGAGATATAATGACGTCAGCATTACCAACTTTGAATTGTAAAGTTACTGCCGCTAAATTTGCTTTTTTAAGGCGTAATTCTGATGTGTTATTAAAAAGAAATCATTCATTTGCGTATTGTTTACCAAGAACTGTAACAATTTCCTTGTTTTAAAACGTTTTTTCACGAAATTATCAAAATAAAACCATTCACTTAGTAATTTTTGTGTGTGCCAGTTGGTAATAGCTTAAGGCTGGCGCGCACCGTTCAATATTATTGATGGGTCGCTGTCATTTTATATTTGACGTATTTTTGTAATTGTGACATTTCGTCCGGAAGCATCGTTTGTTGCAAATTATTATAAATAATATTATACATTATGTTTATAAGATTCAATCCCTGGATTGTGCAAACAATGATATAAGGCCTGTTGGCAACTAGCCGTTATTAGATTTCGAAGACATTGCGCCCTTAATAATAAATTTGGGGAAATAATCAAAATTCAATTCTGACCTGGTTTGCTCTGATGACAAGGACGACTGGTAATTTATTATTTTTGTGTTTCTGATAATTTAGTATTTTTTTGTTATGTGCATTTGTAATAAAAATGTAATAAACTCCGTTTGTTTTCTCTTTAAACACATTTAATAAAAATTTGCCTGTAACAAACTCCTAATTAGATAGTGCAGAAGATTATACAAGGACGTTATAATTCCATCTTAATAACAGCCCCCACCGCTATAAACAGTCAACAATACACGAGCGTTAGATTGTGTCTGGGCACGTATGAATAGACCTTAACGCTGACGTCATATGCCGTTGATGACGTGCACCCATACAGATTTGGCCGCGACTATAGCAAGGACCACAAACAAAACGAAAACCTTAACTAAAATAATTCATAAAAAAATGTTCAAATTAACACGCGCTAGAGTTAAAACAGCAAGTTAAGTGGCTATGATGTAACAAGAAAAAATTAGAAGTATTAAGAGGAGATATGGCTGTATGTACAGAAGATAGTTAAGATTTGCCGGCAACAATATGTTGTGTCAACAAATATTAACTAAGCTTTGTGCATGGAGTCACTAGGATGCTAATAATAATAATAAACCATATCATTACAAGTTTTAAGGATGTTTTCTATGTATGTTTTATGTGTTTTTATTTTTATGATTTAATAAGGTTTAATGAAATACATATAAAAGTACAAAATATTGTTGTTTTTTAAACAATTAAGACATTTATTATTATTATTATTATTATTACATGTTTTTAAGAAAATACTACAAAAGAATCTCATTTTATTAAAAAAATATGAAAAATTTAAAAAAAGTTATTTTTTAAAGAAAAACTTATAAACATTTTTGATTTATTTTAGTCAAAAAACTTTCATTACGCCTTATTTTTTATACTAAGTTTTGTTTTAATTAATTTAATTGCGTTTTAATTTTTTCTTAATACTTTTTATTTTTTTAACTAAAAACTAAACTAAATTTATTTTTTCAATAAAAACACTTTTGAGCATTTCCGAGTACTGAGAATGAAGATTTTAATATTGTGATATTTATTGTTGGTGAATAAATGTGCTTCCATGTACTTCACTGAATGAACAAGTGCTTGAAACTATTTTATTTGGAGGAATAAAATATAAATTCGTGTTGATACATTAAAAATACTAAAAATAGATCAACAATTATGAATTTGAAAGATGGTAAATCTGTTTTAGTATTTTTGTGTACATTATATTATGTCAATTAAGTGATGAATTATTTTGTATGCTGCTTAACTTCTGGTTTTATAGTTTTAAATTGTTATTTTTACTTTTCATTTACTCACTTTGTGTTCAAAGTTTCATAAAAACTTTGAAGACAGGCGGTAGCCCTGATAGGAAAAATATTTTTGTAAATTGTATTCTATTAAAAGCTAACGCCTGTATAGCGCGATACAACTAAACTAAACTATACTAATAAATGCATTTTCTGTAAACTAATGTATTAATAGGTTAGTGTATTTTAATAATTACGATTCTTGTTGTTTATTATACAGTTTATTATTATTAATTTATTAGAAGTCTGTACATTATTATAATATATGCTTATTTAATTTTGTGAGATTTATTTTTCCTTTATTATGTTATGTTGTTAGGTAAGTAAACAAAGCTAAATTAGACTAACTTAATTAAATTTTAAATGCCACTCTTTACAGGAAATTGCGTTTTATAAGTCAATTCAATAAAAATGACTGCTTGTAAATATAAAGTTAAACGATAAATATCTTGGTTACAAATTTAAGTGCATAATTTTTTAACTTTTCAAGACCTTAAATTAATGTCCTATAAAAAATAACAAAAGTGACTAATCTGTTTTTACATAATTCTTTATCAACAGCAAATATTCCTAGAACTTATGTTATGCAAAGTTGACAAAATATGACCCATAATCATTCAGCAAATAAAATTGCGTAGTTACCTTATAAATAAGTGAAGTAAATTGTGACGAAAATCAATGATGAAAAAAATGTTTAAAAGTAAGTACTTCTTAATGTAAAATAGGTATATTTTTTTAAAAGACTGATTTTCCTGTAATATAAACTCAAAAGAATCGCCCAATTGACAGATTTAGACCAACAAATTATAAATGTTAATTTTATCAAGCGCAAAAAGATTTTTCATAAAAATTAGTCACCCGCGGGGTGCAAAGCCACCCGTGTTTATAAAATTGGGTCATCTAATTCTATTATTAGAAAGGTTGTTTTGGGAGTAAAATTTACTCAGTAAATCTAACCTTGAATATGTTTTTATCGGGCTCCACCCCCCACGTGTTTTTTTAATTTTACTCACCCTCACGTGAAGTACTTTTATAGAAACGCCTCTCTCTTTCTATTATGTTTAACTAACCAAAAACAATAAATTATTTCAAGAGTAATGAAAGTATTGAGAATTCTTTGAATTACTTTTAATAAAAATGACAAAATTCTGTTAAAAATGGTAATAATTGTAACTAAAATCAAATTATTGTTTTTTAACAAAGTTTTTTTAAAACGCTTCTTTGTACATCTCATATATAAAACAATAAATTTATATTAAGTTTCCTGTATATTTTTCTTTTTCTAAATCTCAAAACATTAAAAATATCTCAAATAAATATAATTATAACCCCTCTAAAAAAGCGTGGTATACCTTTAGTGCGCTATAATAAGATTTGTTTCCATAACAATCGCTATTAGATGTGGATTATTTACGTATATTTTTATGCTTTTCGTATTGAAGGCCTTATGTGCAATTTAAGAATATTCGCTTTTTTAATTGTTTTATTATTATTAAATAAAACTACCTACATTTTTCCGCTCTTTCCAATGGTAAACAGGATTAAGTCCTGGATAGGGATGGCAAGGATATATCAAAATATTTAATAATATATCGATATAAAAATAATATATCAAAAAATATAGCTATATATTTTTAAATATATCGGTATAAAAAACTATATTTTGAAAAAAAATTACCGCATTTTTTGTATTTTTTGGAATTAAAGCGTGTTTTATTATAGGTAATAGGTCTTTGAGAACCTTAATTTAAACCAAAGATTTAGTAATATAGTCCCAGCAAACACATAAGTATGGAATGGCCCATTACATAGTTTCATGGCTTAATAATGGCATTTTTAGCCAAAGCTACATAAAACTTACAAAAAACATTCTTTGCTTAAAACCATATTTTAAAAATGACGCCCAGTGTAATTCCTATGGTTTTAATAGTGTGTTATACCCAGTGGCATAGCTAGCCTCGAGGGGGCCCCGTATAAATCTGGTAGGGGCACTTATACGGAAAAAGCTGCTGGCAAAAAAATTTCTGGGTGTCACGCCCAAAGTCTATTTTGGGCAAAGAAATTTTTTTTAAGGTTTCATTTTTTTGCATTTGCTTTTTATGTACAGGGTGATCCCCTATAATGTCGCCCCCCTTTAACTTTTTCATTTTAAGTGTCCCAAAAATTTAAAAGTGTGGTTATGTAGGTACAAAAAAAAGTTTTTTAATAAATAATTTAAATATTTCAGAAACGGTTGAATTCAGGTATATGGTATGTTATATAAAATATGCTTAGAATTTTACAAGGAATCTAAAAATAAATACATATATAGGGTGGTCCATTGAAAAAAAATAAACTTTTTGTTTTTCCCTGTATACTGATCAATTTTCCAATTTTCTTTATACGTAAAAAAAAAGTATTGATTTTGGTTGGTTAGGTAAATGTTCTTTGTTGGTACCTTAATTTTCCAACATTTTTTAATGCCTAAAAAGATTTTATAAACTCAGCATGAAATTATATGTAGGTATATCCAGGGCCGGATTTAGGCATGGGCCACATGGGCCCGGGCCCAGGGCGGCAAATTTTTAGGGGCGGCAAATTTTGAAGGCCAGTTAAAATTTTGCTAAAAAATCAAGAGCGTTTTATGCAGAATTTTTGTTTTCACTCAGATTTATACACTAATTAAAACTATAAAAAGTTGGAAGAGAAGTTTTTTAATACATTAGATAATTTTATTTCAGACTACACTATTATTCTGCGTAGTGCGTCACTGCGTAGAAGCCCAGCAAACACAACCGTAAAGGTTCTGTAATGGCCCTTTAAACGCGTGCCTTTAATAAACTAAAGGACCTATAAAGGCTGACTTTAATGGACCTCTACATATTATGTCGCGTTCACCTTTTATGGGCATGTGACGGCAGTCGATAAAGACACTTACAAGAACCGGTAAAGGTTCCGATATGGCAGGTTAAAGGTACAAATGTGGCAAGCTAAAGGTTCTTATATGGGGTGTTAAAGATTCTATAGTGGTTAGTTAAATATTATTTAATGGATAAGTAAATTTACTTAAGTACCTATTATGTCGGATTAAATGTGGTACCTATATATTTACTAGGTACGGATATTCCATGATAATTGAAATATTTTATTCCGACCGATTTTTGACGGCAGGGATAAAAATTCCCGATTATCGTGTAATATCCGACCTAATAAATATATACCTACCAAATTTAATCCACCATAATAGATAGGTACTTTACTATCCCAGTCAGCATCCAATTCAGAAAGATTTCAGTATGAAGTCTTTTAAACAACTTCGTGTAGAAGTTCTAACATGACGTCTTAAACAGCTCCTTTTTATGAGCTCAGAATTCTGAGCTGTTAATGAACTCATAAATAAGAAGTCAATTTTTTTACGTACAAATGAAGATCTTTTCTTTACCTCTTTTTGAACAATTTATTTTGAGCTTACAGAGTATTCTTTTTTCTTACTTCCAATTGAAATCATACTATTAACTCCTTTAGTAGTCAACATGGAGACGTCACATTTATGACATTTTAATGCGATTACTTTCTTCTCACCGCTGTAACTGCTTGTGTTTGATATAAGAAGCGGCGAAGTAGAATTTAGAGTGTGCTCCATACCAAACGGTCTTAGACCTAGGTAAACGGCTACCCGATACTGACGAGCTCCAAAAGAGCGAAACAGGCTGGGTGAAGAGCACGCTTGAATTTAAACAAAAGTGAGACGAAGTAATCGCAATTCCTAAAATAAGCTAATACGAGCAAATTATTAAAATGATTTTAATAAAATCAATTTAACAAATTAATAAAATTAATAAAATAAACTTGACATGTCAAAATAAGCAACGATCCAGTATGCAATTTCTTCATCAGTACCCTAGTAGTACTTCTATATCCAAAACGGAAAATTGTAAAGAAGTCTTTTTATAGGTTTATACGGTAGGACTCTTTAAAATGCTTAATTGCGAAGTCAAAGAAAAGGGTTCCTCAAGAGTTCTTTTTTGAGAAGTCTTGATTAGTTCAATAGGTGGCGCATTCGAAGTCTTAAGAACTTCTTAAAAACTTCTTTCTGATGTTGTATTTGACGTCCAAATCATAAAGTAGAGCTTATGCAGACTTAATTAAGACGTCATATTGCTGTCTGGGATATTACAAAAATTTCGTTATTATGTAATTCTATTAATGTCCCTAAAACTTTCAAAAAATTAAAAAATACAAAGTGTTTAATGTGTTATAAAATACATGTAATTTAAACATAATTATAACATAATTATGTTATCATATTTAAATAAAAAAAACTTAACAAATATTATAAAATAAAATCAAATTTCAACAGTTTCCATTTCTAAGGAATCGAATGAATTAAATTGAACACCAAAACAAATTAAGTAGATAAATCCAGTCTCTAGTCCAGTCTTTAGCACAATGGATATATGGCTAAATCACATGCATAAGAGATCTCTATTATATTGCTAAATCATTGACGTCTGCAGTGCACTGTAGGAATGGTCTTATAATGGTATTCTAATTTGCAAGTTTTTCTAGAAAAAAGCTTCGTTTTGAATAGAGATAATTAAATAGGGTTAAATATTCAAAACATGGTGCGCTAAAAGAAGATTTAAAATTTTAAAATAGGTCACATGAAATAGCTATTTCCTAGGTTATTAAATAGTACGACATTAATGTAAAAATTGTACAGTAAAAATACTTACTTGAAAAAGGTACTATCTAGTTATTTAGTTCATTAATAATTAATTATAAAATACACCTATTAGATAATTAATTAATATATCTCAAAACCTATATTATTTTTCTATATGCATATGCATAATACCACTAACATGAGGCAATTCATTAGTAAATATGGTGTAAAGCAAAGGAAAACATTTGGCACTGTAATGGTGTGTTACAGTTCCATTAACTTGATACTTATAATTGCCATATGTGGGCCTTTAATGTTAAATTATACATATCATTGCCTGAAAAGGGCCATTGCAAGACCTTACCACGACAGCCTTTGGTCTAAATTGACATTTATTAACGAAAAATTCCTGTAGAGGCCCAGTACAAGAACAGCTTGGGTTAAAAATGCCATCATTTAACGGTGTAATGGGCCATTACATTACCAGACTTATGTGTTTGCTGGGAGGGCGGCAGTCGATGTACACGAGGCGAGTGGGGCGCGACTCTAGCTTATTCGCTGAGTCATTCGTTATTCGGGGTAATGATGCGTTGGGCCCATGGGCGGCAAACTCGTAAATCCGGCCCTGGGTATATCGATGTATTTCTTCCGATTTATTAATTTTGATTTTCGATAGTGGTAATTTTAATTTGCCTTACTTAGTTTTTGATGGATTTATAATATGTTCCTATGGATTTATTTAGTTTCATATTTGAAATATTATTTTAATTTTATTTTTTAATTATTTATACTATTTATTTTACACTTTAATGTGTTAACCCTTTAAATAACCCGATTTTAAACTTTGTTGTTCACGTTTTTCGTACTACCAAATATACAGGGTGTCCCGAAATTAGGGGGCCAAACTAAAACAGTGCATTCTTCACTTTTTTGTTAAATAAACATGTATCAAAAAATGCCCCCTAACGGAGCTACGGCCCCCTGAATAGGAGCCTAAGAGAATAGTTTTTTTAAACTATTCCTAGAGCGTTAAACATGAAGGAATGAAATGTTGGCACTTTGATAATTTTTAGATGCTGCATCAAGATCTAAGATCAAAACTGTTAAAATTTAATCATAGGCGTAACATTTGGGGGGGAAAAGTTATAAAAATAGCCCCAACTTTTTTCCGAAATAATATTTTAATTTTTTTTTATGAAATTATGAAAACTTATAGTTTTTTACGAAAAATAAGTAGTCTTGATTTGAATTGCTCAGATGCACCATTTTCGAGAAAAATGCATTTATAAATTACTCTGCATAGCATACACATCTCATATTTTCGTTAAAATTTTGTGTTAAAATTTGGAAAATCGCTCCATAATAAAAAATAACAAAAATCGAGCCAAAAAATATTAACTAAACTATAAAAATAAATGTAAAGTCAGCAAATAACCTAAACGTCACTTTTGTCCCAAAGCTTTTTAATGAAAATATTAGAAATTATGCTAAGCATAGTAATTTAAATTGCAATTTTCTCGAAAATGGTGCATCTGAGCGATTCAAAGCAAGAGTACCTATTTTTCATGAAAAACTATACATTTTCATAATTTTATAACAAAACATTAAAATACTCACTCTGCAAAAAGTTGGGGCTGTTTTTGTAAATTTGCCCCCTCAAATGTTACGCCTATGATTAAATTTTAACTGTTTTGATTATAGATCCAGATTCAGAATGTCAAAATTACCAAAGTCCCAAAAATTCAGGTCTTCATGTTCAACCCTCTAGGAATAGTTTAAAAAAAATGATGCTCTTAAGCTCCTATTGGCCCCCTAATTTCGGGACACCCTGTATAAACGTGCGACTTCTACCCTCGAAATCCGCAGCTTGACTGTCAGCCAGCAAATCAATCGATTGCAGCTAGTTGTCCAGGTCAGTCACAGCTTATTGCGTAGATACCCAATTCTGTAAAGTGCGACCTTCAATTTGTATTCCCTCGACTCGTCCAACTAATCAAATTATGTTCGCATTACGTATTAAGAATGATGCAATTTTCCGATAGAGAAAAAGTCAGAAATGCGATCGAGAGATTCAGTCAAGATGAGCCTTTTCGCGAACCACAACCATCTCAAGCATCTGGAAGTGCCGGAGGACAATTCTCCGTCCGGAGCTTCGACTCCGGTGTTCTCTTGGAGTCCGTTGCCGCAGAGGAGGCAGCTAAATTTTACTGAAAAAGAAGTAAGTAAAGCCAATTCTTTTTTGTTAACATGTTTTCTTATCTTTAAAACTATATAAAAAACAGTTTTGAATAAATTTGAAATACACGTATCTAAACAAGGTTTAAATCATGAAAAGAAATAGAAAAAAAATCAATACCTATTATTTAGTTATTCTGCAGCCATCGTAAAATATTAACTAATAATAATTTTTTTTTTTAAATCTCACCATTTTACAATTTTTCCGATTTTAATTGAAATTATTAAAATTATTATTTATTGTCATTATAAATTCATATAAGTTTGGTGTGGGTACCATGTCCACTAACTGAGATATCGGTATACCTAAAACTAGAGGTAGCGATAGTGGTAAAAAGTAGACTATCGATAGCATCGATGGTGAGAAAAGCGACTATCGATACTATCGATTAACTATCTATAGTTTCAAAATTTCAAAACCGTATAGTTTAACATTTTATTAAAAAAATAAGGGGTATATTTTTATACCTAGTAGGCACTTTTTCAACCTACCAAATACAGGAGAGTCAAAAATATAGTATAGCACAAGGAGTCCGAACATTATCTAAACAAGAATCTTCCTAAAATAAGAGGGCGCTGGTGTTCCGTTTATTTTGAAACAATTGACTAATTTGTACCGAAACGCTACCAAAAGAGCAGACGTCAGTACGCATCGACAATCAGCGCCGCTGGTGGTGAAAAGACTTAATTTGTGCAATTTAGAGGGCAGGTTTTGTCAATTTCCCCTATTAAGTTCGGGCTCCTTGTGTAGGCTCCATGGTAGGGATGCCGATTTTTTTCAAAAAGATCGATTTTTGGAATCGATTTCAATCGAAGCTCCAAAAATCGATTCCAAAATAAATCGCTGCCCAAATAATCGATGTTTAATTAAAAAAAAATTACTATATTTTTATTTACAACTCAACTTTAATACATAATATGTATTAAGGCCCTTAATTTAAGGGTAGCCTACGATTGTGATGACGTTGTGTTTGTATTTTGCATGTACCTAAAACTTATAGGTACTTTTTTGTAGTAGATATTTTTTAGAAGTGGTATAGTAAAATATAGATTGATAGTGTATATAAATATAAAGTGAAATTTAAAAAAATAAACATCAAACTTCGATTATTTTAAAACAAAAAAATCGATGTGCAAAAAAATCGAGCATCAAAAATCGATGCAAAAAATCGATGTTTAAAAAAAAATTAATCGATTTTTTTGATAATCGATTAAAAATCGGCGTCCCTACTCCATGGTATAGTATTTCAATATAAATATCTACCTTAGTTATTAAACCCTTATAAAAATCTATAATAACTAGAGATGTAAAAAAACGGTTTTTTTCAGATGTGAAAAAAAACATGAAAAAAAACCTAGAAAAAAACGGTTTTTTTTTGTTTTTTTTCAAAATGAAATTTTGAGTAAAATGTATATTAATAATAAAGCAAAATGTAGAATATTGTATTACACTTTTCAATATTGAAAATTTTGACCGAGACTAAAAAATCTGATTTCTTATTTGGTAGTTTTCACATTAGAAACCAATAGCAATGTAAAACTTCTACACTAATACAAAAAATTAAAGGATAGCTGTATCTTTGTTAAAAATGGTCGTATTGGAGCCGTAAAAAAAGCAATTTGAAGCTTGAAGTTTCTAGTTTTGAAATTTTTAGATGAAAAACGTGCAACGCTCAGTCCTAACGAATACCGTAATAAAAAAAAATTTGGCTTTTTGGTCCACAGAATGTTCTGACTTAACCACCAATGAATAAATTTTTTACAAAAATTTGCTATTGTTAAAAAAAAATCAAAACAAGCGCGACCCTTATTGGTCAATTTGGTGGTGGTGTCGCGTGCATAGCGCGAGACTGTATTTACATTTACTAATTGTTATTTAGTGGCTAATTGTAGTCCATGGAAACATAAAAAATTAGGCAAGTGGGACTAATCTTGAAAAAAAACCTAAAATGTGAAAAAAAACCATTTGAAAAAAAAACAATGAAAAAAAACCTGAAAAAAAAACAAAAAAAACGGACGGTTTTTTTTCAAGTCGCATCTCTAATAATAACTATCGAGTTTTAGAACATCAACAATAAAATAATTGACAGCACATATTTGAGACAGTTTACCGTTTGGTAAATCTAGGGTCCCTAGATTTTGCCAACTAAAACCCCAAATTTTTAATGACGTCAAATTCCGAATAAAAAAACAACGATAGTTATAATAATTTTTTCTACTATCGCTAGACGATAGTTTGTAACTATCGATAGAATCAATAATTCGATAGTTTTTAAAATATCGAAACTATCGATAGACTATCGATAATATCGCTACCTCTACCTAAAACCCACAATCAATATAGTCACCACAGTACACTCTGTTATATTTTCACTTCCCCATAGTAAAAAATAACAAAAAAAATCACTTGGTATACCTATAGCCTACCAATGGTAGGTAGTTTTTGAGAGACTGTAACTTATTTGTTTGTTAATATTTTTTGTATATCAAAGTTTAATTTAAAGAATAATCTATTTTAGGTCATTGTATAATAATAAATACTTTTTCTACTATTGCATATTATTGACATTATTTATTTTTTTCCGCAAATAATGGTAACCAATATAACCGCCCGGCCTAACAACGGGAATAATTAACCTAATATTCACGTTGTTGGGCATCAGTGATTGGCTAATTTCAATATTCACTGTTATTTGAACCAATCGTCTTTTAAATTGGTAAAAAGTAAGGTTAACATGTCAGATTTGTTTATATAGATTTGTTTATATACGAGGGTCGACTATAATGATCTTTAAAATCGGGAAAAGTGAGGTTATAATAAATTTAATAATTGGAGTAGAAAAAGCATAGTATTACACTCCAAATCATGCACATTATTCACTCGGATGATTTACTTCTCTCCCCCTGACGGCTCGAGACGCAAACCTCATCCTTGCGAAAAATAGCCTGCATTATCTCTCGTATAATAATATACTATATTTTATTTACTATATATATTTACAAAAAATTGGTTAAAACATAAATAAAAAACCATACAACATTAAATTAGCAAGCAGAAAAATAATATCAAATCGATGTTATTTGTCTTAAAAATGGCGAATGCACCGGGATTAATCCAGTACTGGATTAACAATAATTATGATTATTTATTTGGGGCAAAATTCATAACTTTCTTCTACAATAATCGATTTAAATTTTTAGATTTTAATCACGCAAATGCTTCGTTTTCAAGATGTAAATATCTTAAATATACTTTACCCAATTTTGTTGTTATTTGGGAGCGTTATTTGTAGTGTTAAGGAGCTAATTTAGCTCTAACTTGATTACATATATTAAGTCCAGTGGTGTCCCGATCGGCACCTTAACGAATATTTTTGACAAAAAATGTATAGTGGTATTAATATCTCATGGCGGGTGACCTTGGGCGCACAAAAGTCACAAATCCGTCAAATCGCGCTATTACTCGCCGTCCTAAAAACATACTACCCCAGGGTTGGCAATGCTAGCATCAGCTGATATTTATTGACATATTTAAACATATTTATAGGCTAGAAATTCTATTATATTTGCATAGGTTTTTCTATGTATATTTGTTATATCATATTTGTCATATCATATTTGTTATAACTAATATTATATTTGTTATAATATTATATTAAATTTTGTTATAATATTATATTTATTATATTTGTTCTATTAATATATTTGTTATATTTGTTCTATTATTATATTTGTTATATTATATTAAATTTTGTTATAATATTATATTTCTTATACGAAATGAATAACGGCAAAAAAGAAGTCATTAATTCGGATTATACACAGATTCTATTCTTTTTTTTTACTGAAATCCATTATATATTTTACAGATCATTGCTCAACAATTGAAGACCTTGCTGCAAAAAGGGGGCAACTTTTACACAAGTGACTTTTACACCCTTACAACTGTGAACTAGACTATTCTGCATTGTTTAATGCAAAGATGACTCAAAAATAACTTTTATGGAGTTACCTCCTTTTTGCAGCAGGGTCTTCAATTGCAGTCATTATCTAATGTTACAATATATTTCATAAAATAAAGAAAAAAACGCTTGACTATATTAATTGACAGATGACAGATTTGGGAAGCATCCATAGACATTTAAGTTAACTTAAAGGTCTATGGAAGTGGCGGATGTTTTTAGTTTCCATTTATTTATTAAATTGAATGGCGTCTGTCAGCGTCTCTCAAGGTCACCCGCCATGAGATATTAATACCACTATACGTAACAGACTTTTTGTTATTTTTGTATCTTTTTTTTTAATTAAGCTACCAAAAATACATCTTTTTTGTCTCCTGAATTTTGTTCGTGTCTTGCTTAGTTTCCCAGAAAAAAATAAAATCCACTTAATAACATATTCCTGGACCACAAGATATGCAATTAACTATGTAGATTTTTTCTCGAAAATTAAGCAGAATAAAAATAAAATTTAGTAGACAAAAGTTGTATTTTCAGTTGCTTAATCCCATGTTATCAAAAATATCCGCCAAGGTGCCGCTCGGGACGCCACTGGACTTATTAGCTTATTTAAAGTTAGAACTAAATTAGCCCCTTAACACTACAAATAACACTGCCAAATTACAACAGAATTCGGTAGGGATAAGGATGCTTAAGATATTTACGAAAAACCAATTCAAAAAAAGTTTGAAAACAAGGCGTGTTTATATGAACTTTTTGTCTTAAAATCAGTTAAAGAATCGTCTGTTACATTTATTGTAAACACTTAAGTAACACCCTGTAAATGATACAATTGTATAGCTTTGGAAACCACGCTTTATTGAAGCTGGCATATTTTTTTCAAATGCATCAATTTGAAAATTAGTTTTAAAAAAATTAAATCTGTTATTACAGAAAAAATTTGAATTTTTGAAAACAATTCGACTGAATAAAATTTAAAAGTTTTGCACCCCTGTATTTAGGCAACCATTTTACAAGGTAGAAATCGTTTACAGGATAGAGGTGCACTTATACTACACAGGGTGTCTCAAAATTGACCGTCCAAAGGGTAAAGGTAATCTTGGTTGCCTACCTTCATTGTCGGCTTTAAAAGTTAAATAATAATAATCCTACAATTTAGAGAATTCGAAAAAATGGCAAAGGAAAATTCGTCCTGGAATTTTTCTTTGCCAGCCAATTTTGGGACACCCTGTATAAAAAACTAAATTTTAAGGAATCGCGGAAATTTAAATGTTAGGCATGTAAAAAGGCATAAAGAAAAACTTTGTTTGATAGATAAATAAAAAATTAAATGAATCTGTAACATTTTATATACCTATTTTTTTAGTTCGAGTACAAAATAACCCAGAAAAAATGTTATCCAAACTGTGACGTAAACGTTTGTTTAACTGACTTTTTCTTATTTTTATGTCTTTTTTTCGAATTAAGCTACCAAAAATACATCTTTTTTGTCTCCTGAATTTTGTTCGTGTCTTTCTTAGTTTTCGGGAAAAAAAATAAAATCCACTTAATAACATATCCCTGGACCACAAGATATGCAATTAAGTAGATTTTTTTTCGAAAACTAATCAGAATAAAAATAAAGTTTAGTAGACAAAAAGTTGTATTTTCAGTAGCTTAATCCCAAAAAATTTAGCCTCTTAACACCACAAATAACACAAATTACAACAGAATTGGGTAGGGATAAGGATGCTTAAGATATTTACGAAAAAACAATTCAAAAAAAAAGTTTTAAAACAAGGCGTGTTTATATAAACTTTTTGTCTTAAAATCAGTTAAATTTATTGTAAAGACTTAAGTAACACCTTGTAAATGACATACAATTTATAGCTTTGGGAACCACCCTTTATTGAAGCTGGCATCAAATGCATAAATTTGAAAATTAGATTAAAAAAATCAAATCTGTTATTACAGAAACAATTTAACTAAATAAAATTTAAAAGTTCGCACCCCTGTATTTAGGCAACCATTTTACAAGGTAGAAATCGTTTACAGTATAATAAGAGGTGCTATACAGGGTATCTCAAAATTGACGGCCCAAAGGGAACAAACACGTCCGATATAGCAGAAGTACTGCCTCTTCATTGCCGGCTTTAAAAGTTAAATAACTCCTACAATTTGGAGAATTCGTAAAAATGGCAATGGAAAATTCGTCTTGGAATTTTTCTTTCCCTGAGCAGCCAATTGGAACGTCCTGTATAAAACAACTAAATTTTAAGGAATGGCCGAAATTAAAATGTTAGGCATGTAAAAAGGCATAAAGAGAAACATTGTTTGATAGATAAATAAAAAATTAAATGAATCTGTAACATCTTATTTATTTTTTTAGTTCGAGTACAAAATAACCCAGAAAAAATGTTATCCAAACTGTGACGTAAACGTCTGGTTAAGATCTTGCGAAGAAGAAATAATTGAACCCATAGAAGGAGTTGTATCAGGTAGGTACCTATTAAAGCCAAAATAAAATTAATTTTAATAGGAAGGAAGTTATGAATATAATTTAAGGACATATACCGAAATGGTTAAAAGGATGTCTTATCAGAAACGGTCCAGGATCTTTGAAAGCGGGAAAGGACACTTTTGAACATCTTTTTGACAGTTCTGCTTTATTACACAGGTAATAATTTTGTTATGATAAATTGTAATTTATACAGAGTGTTTCAAAAATAAGTTTATCAGTTTAGTATATTTCAAAATTGTTTATTTTAGTTTAACTTAATATAAAAAATATAAAAAAATGCTTTGAAACAAGAAAAAGTTCACTTTTTTCATTAAGATGATATTAAGATTCCTTAATTTAAACCAACTAGACTCTTAGAACTTGTAATAATTTTATTTAACCGTGTTGTTTATATTTGATAAAATTTTTGAATATGCAATTCCAAACGTGTTTCAGACCATACTTTTTATGCGTTTCTAAAAAAATACCAAATAATTTAATTAGGAGAAAGTGAGGTTGGATCGGTCTAAAAGTTGTTAGACTATAAACACAGAGATGTCGCCACCAGTGTTTGTTCCAACATATTTCAATACTTACATAATAAATAGCTATATTTTGTATATATGATGACCTTATTTCCTTTTTTGAGGGCACATTTGTCGATTTGTGTATCATTTACGTGGGAGATTTAAAATATATCATATACTTTTGTATAGGCATAGTAATACCCCCACGTATGATACGAATTGTCAACTAAATAAAATTTATTTCATATAGATAGAATTAATTCATTCTGTAATTCATTCTGTAACACTCTAAGGAAAATATGTAATAATTGATTGCAAAATTGACCAGTGCCTTCAGCACCGAGATCGTACGATTTGACACCACTTGATTACTTCTTGTGGTCTTAGGGTCTTAGGTGTATGCTCATAAACCACAAACTATACAGCGCGTTACTGTTGAGGGGCACTAAATGTTTCGAAAAACTGGTCCAAAATTAAACTTTCAAAATGCGCTTTATTAAAAACAGACGAGGAGGCCATTTTACTGAAATCGTGTTTTGGAAATTTCAGGAAAAGTGAAACATATTAAAAACTGAAGACAAAAATCTAGTTTTATTTTAGGAATATGAAAAAGAGTTCCTAGTTTCCTTTAAAATGTATCAGCATACATTTTTACGTTTTAGATTTGGTATAGAAAATGGAAAAGTCACATATCAATGCAGATTTCTACAGTCAGAAATATACAAGAAAAACTGGCAAGCCAATAGAATTGTCATTACAGAATTTGGGACCAAAGCTGTTCCTGATCCTTGCCACTCTATTTTTCAAAAGTGAGTTTACCATATTTAATCACTTTGTTTAAAGTAAAAATTTTAAATCCTCGCCATTATGTAACTTTCTTTCATGATTCTACAGTTCATTTTTTTTAACTGGACTCGTGTTTTTTTGTTAGGTTGGTGGCTTATGCCAGTTTTAGTATTTAAAAATGGTACTTCTGCTAAAGAATTTAATTAAATACTTTGACACTGTCAAATTGACAATAATATTTATTATTGACAATACAATTCATTAATATTAGAACCAATAAAATGCCAGCATTCCATAGTTACGCATTTTATCTCAGCGGCAATATTTTTTATCATCTTGTTTACACGGTACTAAGGATTTTGACACTTTAACATTTGTTGTCATTTAAATTCTGTGTTTGATATGGTGTAGAATTTAAAAAATTGTCAGATTGACATTTAAAATTGATATATATATATATATATATATATATATATATATCAATAAAATAATGAATTATAAACTCTAAAAGATCGATGGGTTGGTGTAAACGATAATAAAATTAAGGTAAGTTTGAATAAATAAGGTTTATTAAAGTCTTTTTATATTTTAAATCACATTTTAATTTTAAATGTCAATCTGACAATTTTTTAAATCCTAAAATTCATTGTATTTTCTCACTAAATATAACTCGTGGTATGATTAATAATCGAAGATATTTACTCATTGTATAGGTGATAATTTACTTGTCAATTATAAATAAAAACACAATTATGCCAAAAATAATAGCAACGAATTCGAATGTGAAAGCCCTTTTGAGGGCAAATGCCACAATGGAAGAAAAAGTACATCGCCTTATGGACATTTTTGGAGTAAAAAATTAAAGAATTTAGTTTTATAAATATTACATCACACATTATTTTCACATTATTCACCATTGGACAACATTTACTTTTACAAAAAATTTTAATTTCTTTTATATAAATGCTTTACAAAGCGAAGAATACTTTTTCTTATGGGCCTTAAAGCAACCTATATTTAACTACTTTTTTATATGATTTTACTCATCCAAGCACCACCAAAGCCAAATTAATTGCATTTTTAACTACGAATTTCGACAACTCTACTTGACAACTGCGCAATGTAACCTACAATAATTTATACATAAACACAATTGGACGGCTTTCTGCAGAATGGGACCAACCCACACCATGATGAAACTGAGAAAAAAGCTATCAAAGATTTTAATAATTTTAAAATTACCTGTTAATTTTATGCCGATTTTGGACTTACGGAGGTTTAAGGGATATAATTTAATAATTTCATCAGGTGGATTTTGTGATGTTATGTGTAAGGGTGACGAAAAAAATGGGCTTTTGTTGGTTGGTTCCTTTCTGCAATTTATGAAAACTACTATCTGATGTATGTATGTATTTAAAGAAAAGCGACAATTATTTATTTCCAAACAAAATACAACTGATATTACTATTATAATGGTAATATGAATTAATTTTGATTCTATTTGAAATTCGTTCACATCATCTTCCAACCCCACCTCATCTTGTAAGCTACCAAAAAAATGCATCAAGACTTTATATTTTGCAGAAGCAGGAAATCTTTAAAGACTTTGGTAGTGGGTCTACCAGCCTGCTTTTTTACAAAAAAGATCCAACCCACTTGCAGATACTGTATAGATTCTAATTTTGGATTAGTAATCCACACTATTATTGAATGTTGGTTGGTTCAATGATTAATAGATTTCACTATAGTATACACTTGCATTTTGGCTATGACCTATTTTGCAGATAAATTATACATACTTAATTAGTTCATAGGCTAAATATCTCGATTTTTTTGGTTTTGTGGGTTGGTTCCTTTCTGCAGAAAGGCGTCCAATTGATTTTAGTATTTTAAATTCTAGATTTGAAATTTTTTTGATATATTATATTGAAATGTTGTTGTTAGACTAGTAGCAAACTACAAGGTCTCCAGGATGCATAGTATAGGTGAAATATATAATTATAAATTGGAGATTGCTGACTTTGATATGAATTGCTGGAGATTGCTCATTTTGTTGTAAACGTTTAAGGAGATTTAGAAAAATAAACAAAAAAATAATTTTTTTTTCCATTAATGGTTATAAAATTTAACTATAGAATCAATGTGGGAAAATTCTGAACTGGACCTCATAAATCTGGAGTTTCTTTTAAATCTGGGACCAGGTTACCTCGTGCAAAAAAGTTTTTATAGTACAACAACTCATCATCTTCTTCCCACTTTGCCCCATAATGTTTTACTTGCAATGTTTTGACATTATCAGCCTTTTCTTGCTTTACCTTTACGTCTTATTATGGTATAATAGCACAAAATAAACAAGATAACTTTTTTTATAATTCTTAAAACAATAAAATGTACATATACATATTTTAAAAATATTTTTAAGTGCAATTTACTGCAATAGAACTTAACAGTATGTACCAGTAAAAAACACAAAATTAAATCTCTAAAATACGTTATAACATCAAATGTTAGGATATCAGGTGACACAAATTACTAATTTCTAATGGTTGAATTGGAGATTGTATACTTTGCTGCAAATCTGTCAGTGGAGATTGTCGACTTTGCACTAAATGTCATTTTTAAAATAGTATTTTAGGCAGGATTTAGCTCCTTTTGCAGCACATAAACTTTATCATCTTATAGATAATAAGTTGAAGTACAGTCTCCGCCAAAAATCTAATTTTTGACCAAAAGTGGATTAGATTTATAACTAGCTTAGTTTGTTTTAATCAATGCGAGCAACTTGACAACTGTATTTATCAACCAAAACCCTAAATTTGCAACGTTTCCGCAGTCCAGATAAAAAAAAATGAACTTTAGTATTTTTTATAAATAAAGTAAACATTTAAGTAATACAATACTTTTGCGTTTTTTCTTAGAGTTGCAGCTATATTTCATCCAAAATCAGACACCTCCGATAACTCAATGATATCCGTATATCCTTTCGGAGACGAGCTGTACGCCTTCAATGAGATACCAATAATCCACAAGATTAATACGGAAAACTTGGAGACGGAGGCTCGAGTAGACGTCAGTGATTACGTATCCATAGTTAATCACACATCTCATCCGCATGTCACGCACGACGGTAAACAAATTGTCGCGAAAGATGAGATTAGAGGATTTTTGGGCTGATGATTTATGTTTGCTTTTTTGCAGGGACGGTTTATAATTTGGGAATGTCGGTTACTGCCAGCGGGCCACATCACAATATTATATGTTTTCCCTCAAAGCATACTTGTAAGTAGAAATTAATTATAACACAGTACAACACGATTTTCCTCCCATGAAAAATTTTAACAAATTTTAAAAATAAAGGTTAAAAAAAACGTACCCGTGTCTCACAGTTTCACGAAATCACGTCATTTAATTTTTTTACATAGCCATTCTTTTTATTTTAACCTAAACAGATTTTTTATTCTCTATTTTGTTATAAATAATTTTTTTTCTTCAAATGTTTTATGTTTTTACATAATATAAAAATTATACCTAAAGAAAATAACAATTTTTTAAGTAAAAAATATATTTCTGGTTTCAATTTTTGATTTTTTGACACGGAATCTTTTAAACAATGTTTTAAGATTCCAAAAATTCCACTCCCATTTCTGAAAACCTAATAGCAAGAAAGTTATAGGCTATTTTTGATTGACGCGCATTTGTCATATTTTAACGGAAAAAATTAATAACTCCAAATCTATTTACTGTAGGTATAGGACATGGTACAGTACAGTCAAGCCGGAAGTGGCATTTTGTTTAATATATTTTAGAAATATAGGCTTAATTGGATTATAAACGCTTTAAAAATTTCAAATCGATATCTTTTGCCGTTCCTCAGAAACTCTTAATGGACCACGAACGTGAAACACCCGTATTTCGTAAATGTGCAACACTCTGTATATAATTAAAATAATTTTAAAATAAATAAATAATCTTAATGGTTGTCCATTTATTCAGTGAATAAATTTTTCCGAAAAATATACTGTCTAGCTGTTATCGAATCTATGTGCCGAATACCGTAGATAACATTTTATAAAAAAAATTACGTGATCTGAAAAAACGCCGAGACAGGGGTATCATTTTTTTAAGTCTATTTTCAAAATCTATAGATTGATCTATAGTTGGCAAGGCTCGACGCATGTAGGCGTAGCCCTTGATACTTGTATACTGTCCACCAGCGGTAATCTTTAAGAATAAATTTTGAACAGTGAAATAAACAAAATAATTTTAAATTATTAAAAAAATATTTTTTGGTTTAATAATGTAAATAATTTTTATTTAATATCCAGATATAAATAAAACATTCATTCGTACGATTACTTAAATAATAATTAATTAATATTCTTCTAAAAAAATTTCGTCATCGCTTCTACCATCTGAATTTAAATTAATTAAAAATAGTTCTACATGATCGTCCAACACTATTTTTCGGTCAAGATTTATTTTCCAAGAACTCTTTTATGGGTATTTTTTATTTCCGCCATTACTTCTTTACTTAACAATATTGTTTTCAAAGGAGATTATTTTTGGTAATATTTAATTTCGGTTATATACGTATTTAGGTATATTTATACAATTAAGGTACCTTTTAAAATTATGCTTATTTGTTCCTTCACTTAAAAATTGTACGTTATATAGGTAAAATATACGTATTTATGTATATTTATATAATTATAAGGTACTATAACTATAGGTACCTTTAGTTTTTTAATTTAATATATTTTTTAAACTAGTGGTAACTATACATAATTTTGCGATACGATAAAATTTAGATACTCTTTCTATACAGAAAATTTAACAAATAGCCAAAAATGTTTTTAACAATTTTTTAAAATATTGAATACGCGACACTGCATTGTCAAACACGTGTTAAAAACTAGTTACACGGCAGGCACTGTAAATTTTAGATACATTTTTACAGGGTGTTGCGAAATGACACCACATAAATAATAGGGTACATTCCTAAGGTAAAATGAATTTGAAAACCCAATAAAAAGTCACCGTTTTTGGAATAAGGTTGTTAAAGCTGTCAAAATATAACATATTTTTCTTTATATCTTTGTAAATACTGTATAACAGTTTTTTTAATGTTTATTTTTTTATATTTATCAGAGGCTTGCAATATAATTCAAAAATTTTGTTGGACCCTACCATTTACTCTGCCAATGGTACCAAGAAAATGATAAAATTTTTCAATATGCCTTAAGTAACTTATAGTTAACTAATAGTCTATAAAGATAGATTCTTTTATTATATAAATATAAAAATCTGAAATAAACTAATAAAATGTTGTTATAATTATTTTTTCTAAAAAAACGGGTTTATATTTTTTTAAACTGCACTCAGAGAAATATCAAGTTATAAAAAGCATATGAAATTATATTAATTTAAATAATCGGGTAAATTTGATTCTAATAGAAAAATTTGTAGTTTTATATTCATTTACCAACAGTTTTACAATGTTTTGAAACACTTTTAAAGTGTACCCTCTTTAAAACATATATACAAAAAGAAATCCATTTATTTCATTGCCTTTCTCAGTTGTTTCAAAAAGATATGTATTATACAATTGTTATGCACCTATTAATTTAATGGGACACACCAATGACGCCAAAACATATTTGAATCCCTTTGAATTATTATCGTTTTGAATGATTCTACAACATTTTTTCTCTCAGTGTGTCTGTTTGGAAGCGTTAATCTCGGAAACTATTAGGGGAATTTTTATTCGGTTTTCATCAATAGACAGTCTGTCTAAAATGGTTTAGTTCTATATTTTATAAATATTTTGTGCAAATTAGCTAACGTTATAATGATATTTGTGAATTAAAGTAAAAAAAAATGTTGCAAAAATGGCGAATGCACCGGGATTAATTAATATTTTTACTTTTCGATGATTCGACAATTTTGTTGAATTACTTTTTATTTTATCAAAGTGTCAGTTACGATAAGCTGCACATGATAGTTATCCCAATTTTGGAATCTAATATTGGTCAGTTTGAATATTTTTTTATTGTAAGCGCCTATATGTTCCCGACAAATAATCGTAAGCAACTCCGAGACATGGCGTTTGCGATTTAACATTGTGTCGCTTACGATAATATTGTGCTCCCGCCTTGATCTATCAAGGCGTTATTCCCGCTCTAAACAGTTTATTCGTGGGTATACCTGCATCGTGGTGATTGCTATCAAGTTTTAAAACAATATTTTATTTGATCAAAAGCTTATAATTCCTATTTTTCATTGCATTATTATTAGTTATCCTAATTATAATTGTTTTTACGTATACGTAACCACACTATAGTGTGGTTCGTTAGAAGTGTTTTTTGTAGTAATTGTATGTTGTTCTAGCGTCATATAATTTGACTCAAATTTATAACGGTTAGATCATAGTACCATGGGTTAGATCATGGAGCCTACACAAGGAGTCCGAATATCATGTAAACAAGAATCTTCCTAAGATAAGAGGGCGCTCGTGTTCCGTTTATTCTGAAACAATTGTTTAATTTGTATCGAAACGCTAGCATCGACAATCAGCGCCGCTGGTGGTGAAAAAAAGAAACTTAATTTGTAGAGGGCAGGTTTTGTCAATTTCCCCTATTAAGTTCGGGCTCCTTGTGTAGGCTCCATGGGTTAGATACTGGTTTGTGAATAAAAATCGTTCGTTTTTTTCAAAGAAAGCTAATGTAGAATTTCATTTTCAAACATTGTTTGGCAAAATATCGTTGATATTTTATAAATTATTTTTTTTGTATTTTTTATTTAATAATAAAAGTAAAAAAATAAATGTCGCTAACGATGTTTTGACAAAAGTAATCATCAAATCTTTATCCCACAAAGTAACGTAAATGGAACTTAAGCGACAAGACTAATTTTATATTTTCCCAAAGATGTTCTTATAAAATATTGTATGCCACAAAATTTTATGAAAATTTTAGATTGTATTGATCTTACTTAAATATTTGAATTCTACATTAATAAAATATTGCCTCACCAGTTTTCAGATAAATATTTTTTAAAATAAAGCTCCCACACAAAAAAATCTCACCTGTAAAATTTAGGTTTTGTCGCTTACGATGTTTTGTCAAATAACCATCGTTTTGTTCTAAACCTAAAAAATGCGAAAACCCAATTATAGCTTAACCAATCAAATATCACCGCCTCACAAAATAAGATAAATATTTTAAATAAATTTAAAAAATATTGTTTTTATTATATTTATTTTTATTATATTTATACCTATACTTTATATTATACCCAAAAGTCGCGCACCACCTTAAAAAAATGCTACATTTGTGGAGCAAACATGCAAAAGGTACCCTGTATAAGTACTTAATTCCTAAAAAAATCAGCTCACCCAAAATTAGTAGAGTTGGTCCAGCGTTCATTGTTAAAATGGAAAAAATATGTTTTTAAAATAAAAAGGTAATGAAAACAAACTTGGTAGTCAATAAAATCTAATTGAAAGTAAAAAATCAAAAAATGCAAAAAAGGTTTGTTTTCCATATTTGATACCTAAAATATCGTCCTAATTTCTTTTTAAAATTTTTATTGTCATTTGTAATTTTATTTAACAAAACAATAAAGTTTTTATTTTTTATTTTTAATGAATTATTAATTCAGTATTTCCAACTTTTATTATCAGTCATTTTTAAAAACTTTTAAAACGGAAGCATCGTGGAGAATTTGGATTTATTGCATGTGGATTAGGGCGGACAGATGCTGTCAAAAAATGCGTGGATTTACCTTAATTACAAAAATGAAACATTTAACAATAAATAAGTAACAGAAAATTTACAATAAACATTGTATCATGTATAATTTTTGTAATAAAGGTAAATTCACAAAACATGTCCCGCATTTTTTGACAGCATCTGACAGCCATAAGGCGGCAAATATTATCATTTTTGGAAGATATTCTTCCTGTTTTGCTGAAATATATACGCAACATGTGGGTATTGCAGGACGCGTCGCGACGGCGCGATGTCTTATTTAAGGCAAGAATTTTTGAATGAAGGATTTCCTAACCAGTGGATTGGTCGTGGAGGACCTGTGGCGTTGCCGCCAAGATCGCCGGATTTAAATAATTTGGATTTTTTTGTGGGGGTCAATTACCATAACCACCTAGTATAATTTATAAAATAATTTAATTTACTAATATTTATATATTTTTACTTGTAGGTTATAACAAAACAATGTTTGAAAAGGCTCAGATAGTCGCATCAATACCGGCAAGATGGCCTCTTCACCCATCATACATGCACACGTTTGGTAATATTATTATCCACTCTAAACCTATTTAAACTACCTACGTTTAAAACATTATAGGTATAACAAAGAAATACTTCCTAATAGTGGAACAACCCTTAAACCTATCAGTGACCGCTCTAGTGGCAACAAAACTTAAAAACGATCCAATAGCTGGCTGTCTACGATGGTATCAAGACGAATACGTACAATATAGTTTAATTGATATTTTAAAATTTGTACATAATAAATGTTCGTAGGTACAAATAAATGTAATATGTCGAGAGACCGGAAGGTTAAAAAACAAATTTTTCGCAGAACCATTTTTCTACTTGCATATTATAAACCAGTATGAAACACATGATTACCTTGTTTTGGATATTTGTATGTACAGGGATCCCGCTATGCTGGACTGTATGTATATTGAAACAATGAAAGTAAGTTAAATACACTCACGTGCAAAATAATCGATCCACACAAAATTTTCGATGAATTTCAATCGCAAATATCTTTTTTATTTGATGTCGGATTTAAACAAATATTAAAGAATATTGTAGATAAATTAATGGACAATCGCTCACATTTTAAAAAAATACTAAAAAAATAGACGTACGTTTATAATATACAGGTTTAAACAAAAAGATGTTTTTTACCATAAGTTTAAGACACTCTGTAGAGTGGCAAAACCGTATATTGTTATAAATTAAGTTTTATTTATCAAGTCACATCTATTCTTAACGGTTTTGTTTTTGGTTCACCTCGATATATTTATTTTTGTGGAAAATATGGATTTTTTTAAAAAACATTGCAATTTCCAATATTTTTCCTGTATGAAGAACTAAGGTTGCTATGGTCCATCCATAGCCTATGGAGAATGACAGTGACAGTTTTGTTGAATCGTCCCATACTTGGACATGTCATATACAGCTTTCAAAAGCTATTAAATTGTTTTTTGTAAATTAATGTGTTAATTTTGAGGTGTCTTCTTACTTTAAACATGTCTCCGACTGATGTTGCCCTTCGTACTTTACTTCTTATGACGTTTAAAACACTTGCCACGTAATACTGTGACCGTCCATCCTGGATTAAATTAATAGCTCTAGCAATATCAGTCGGAGACATATCCATTTTATAAAGTAAGAAGACACCTCAAAATTTAAACATTAATTTGCAAAAAACAATTTGATAGCTTTTGAAAGCCGTGTATGACATGTCCAAGTATGGGATGATTCAACAAAACTGTCACTGTCATTCTCCATAGCCTATGAATGGACCATAGCAACCTTAGTTCTTCATACAGAAAAATATTGAAAATTGCAATGTTTTTTTTTTAATCCATATTTTCCACAAAAATAAATATATCGAGGTGAGCCAAAAACAAAACTGTTAAGAATAGATGTGACTTGATAAATAAAACTTAATTTAGAACAATATACGGTTTTGCCACTCTACACAGTGTCTTAAACTTATGGTAAAAAACATCTTTTTGTTTAAACCTGTATATTATAAACGTACGTCTATTTTTTAGTATTTTTTTTAAATGTGAGCGATTGTCCATTAATTTATCTACAATAGTGTTTAATATTCGTTTAAATCCGACATCAAATAAAAAAGTTATTTGCGATTGAAATTCATCGAAAATTTGTGTGGATCGATTATTTTGCACGTGAGTGTATTATACAGATATTTTTGTAATCTTACCTTCTCTTAAAAACTGTAAAACAACAAAAGTCAAATGCAGTGCTTTGAAATAAAACTTTGTAGGCTATGCAGCAAAATCCAGACTATGCCAAAATGTTTCGAGGTAGACCTGCAAGATTTGTTCTACCCTTAAAACCAGAACCAATGGATAGACATATCAATTCTAATTTGGTAAATTTAGAACATTCTAAAGCCAAGGCGTATTATTTGCCTAACGGCGAAATATTTTTGAAGCCTGAAAAACTTTGTGACCTGGGCTGTGAGACGCCTAGAATATTTTATGAAGTCCATTTAGGTAAAAGAAATGCGTCCCAATGTTTGTGTATTTTTATTTTATAATATTTTTTAGGAAAGCCTTATAGGTATTTCTATGCCATTAGTTCAGATGTAGATGCTGAAAATCCTGGGACTGTAAGTAAAATATAAATATGCATTTTAAATATTAAATCTTTATACTCGTATAATTTTAGATCATTAAAGTCGACATTTATAACAAATCAGCAAAAACGTGGTGTGAGCCTAACTGTTATCCTAGTGAGCCGGTTTTTGTACCGTCTCCTAATCCAAGAGTAAGTGGTTTATATACAAGGTATCTCAATTTTTTTTGCCATTTGGTGAACTAGTAATCTGAAAATGAATCGTTGTTATACTTTTTTGATAATTAAATGATGTTCAAAAATAAACAGTTAAAATCTGACATGGTTAAAATGCGGCCAAAAACTGATTGCAGTTTCTTGTTCGGGACCCTTTGGTGACTTAAAATGATATTTACCAAAATCTTAAAGTCTACCTTTGACAGAGTACACATTTGTACACCGATTTTTATAATATTGGAGTATATTGTTAAGGAGATTTGGAGAATACTTTTTTATACTGTGCACATCATTTAATATAAAAGGTGTCCTTAAACTTATTGGCATAAATTTAGGAAAAGATTGAGCAAGTCAAAATAAGACGAAAACTCAAATAAATATTTTTCCTAACTACTTATGTTTCCAAGATACAGGGTGATAAAGTGTTACTTATCATATCAGTTTTTTTAATATAACTTTTACTATGGTAGTCTTGGAAAGGTGATATTTTGCGAACAGTCACTTACTACGAAAACACATATTTACACATAATTATAATTGTTTAAGTGAACACAGTGTCGTAGAAACGGGGGTTGCTATAAGCTTATTGTCCCATACAAACTTTGAGGTTAGGTTTTTATAACATTTGATGCAATTTTTGGATTACATAGTTCGGCTACCATTAAAAAGGTGTACCTGTCAAACTTTCAATAATTGTTGTATCGCATTATTTAAAAGGATTAAAAGGTATATGATAACAAATTTTATTTTTTAATTGAAAAAACTAAAAAGACCATTCCATGAGCCTCGGGACTTTTTGGCCTGACCGTCACATTAAAAAAATGTAGTTTTTTCGATTAAAAAATGTGTTATCATTAGGGATGGGATATTTAGGTACTAAAAAGTGAAAAATAGGTAACTAAAAAGGTACTAAAAAAAAACCATTTTAGGTTAAAAAACAGCATTTTAGGTAAAAAAACATTAAAAGTTCACGTTTCGTTTATAATTTTGTTTAGCCGCATACCCAAACACAGAACATACCCACAATAAACTATTTCTATGCAATAAACTGTGTTTCACTGAGTGACACTCACTACACAGAAGTTCTATGACAGAACATAAGCTCACTACAAAGAAGGTAACTATAAAGAAAGTTACTGTTACAGTCTGTGACCATAAGAAAAAACTCTATACCGTTGAGTTGCACGCCCTGGATAAAATATTGGCGCAAAATTTAAAAAGAACACAAAATAATAAAATAAGTAAAAATACGTAATAATAGGTAAAAATATGTGAAAATAAACTGACAAATTAAAAAATATGCAACAAAAGTATAAAAAGGTAGTTTAAAGCAAAAACCTCCAAAAAAGGTAAAAAAGGTTAAAATAAGTTAAAAATTGGTACCAAAAGTATAAAAAAGGTAGTTTAAAGCAAAAACCTCCAAAAAAGGTAAAAAAGGTGAAAACAAGTTAGGTTCATATAAAAGAAAATCATTTAAAACACATTTTGGCATTATTGGTTTTCAAATAGTTAGATCGGTTGAAAAAAGGTAAAATAACTAAAATCCCATCCCTAGTTATCATATACCTTCTAGTCCATTAATGCGATATAACAATTATTGTAATCTCGAATATCTCGGAAACGGTTTATTTTATATAACCTCAAAGTTTGTATGGGACAATGTGCTTAAGCAAGCCCTGTTTCTACGTCACTGTGTTCACTCGAACAATTGTAATTATGTGTGAATATGTGTTTTGGTAGTAAGTGACTGTTCGCAAAATATCACCTTTCCAAATCTACCACAGTAGAAGTTATATTAAAAAAACTGATATGATAAGTAACACTTTATCACCCTGTATCTTTTAAACATACCTAATTAGGAAAAATATTTATTTAGATTTTCGTCTTGTTTTGACTTGCTTAATCTGCTCCTAAATTTATGCCACTAAGTTTAGGGACACCTTGTATACAGGTTTAGCCAAAAATCGCTTCTTTTAATAAAGCAAAAGCGTAAATTCATAATTTTTTTTTAGATATTTTTATGTTTATCAGGCTACAAAATGGGATTCTTATTAAGACTAAGAAAAATTGATTTTAAATAAAATTAAATAAAATAACATTTTTTTGGAGATAAATCTTTTTTGTGCATTATGCTTTTTACTATAAAAAAGTGATTTTTGGCTAACATGAAAACAGTATTCTCCAAGTCTCGTTAACAATATACTCCAATATTATAAAAATCGGTGTACAGATGTGTACTCTGTCAAAGGTAAGATAAACAAAAATTAAAAAAAAAATTAAGAATTATCATAAAATTTCGAAAATAGGAGCATCTAGGATTTTGGTAAATATCATTTTAAAGAAACTGCAATCAATAAAAATCGGTGTACAAATGTGTAGTCTGGCAAAGGTAGACTTTGTGATAAACAAATAATTAATAAAAAAAATGATTTTTTAACAAATTAAAAAAAAAGCAGTTACAATTTTGGTAAATATCGTTTTTAAATCTCCAAAGAGTGCCGATCAAAAAACTTTAACCACTTTTTCGTTCAAAATTGAAAACTACTAAAAAGTAAGGCTGGGAATCGATTACGAATAATTCGAATATTCGAATATTCGAGTATTCGAATAGGGGTGGAAATCGATTATAAATTATTCGAATACTCGAATATTCAAATATTCGAATATTTGAATATTCGAATACTCGAATATTCGAATACTGGCATATTTGAATACTCGAATATTCGTCGAATATTATTCGAATACTCGCATATTTGAATACTCGAATATTAAAACACTGAATTAGTATATATAAGGGTGGTGCAAAAAAAACTTTTTTCGAATATGTTAATTTGTCATTTTTATTAAAAAAAATTAACAGCTCTCATCAAAAATTAGATGGCTTTTGAATTTTGAAAATTCCAAAAATAACCAAATTCGAAAAAAGCGATATATGTAGTCGCTTCGTTTTGGACAGTAGCAAAAAGTAATCAGTAATTACTAATTTCAAGCATAGACAATGTGTGGGTTGCCATATGTGTAAAAAAGTAAATAACTACTGCTGACGTAATCACCATCTAGACCCCCACCCCCCATGTCATCAACAATAAGCAAAGCAAAGATAGTTTTGATTAATTGAAATATTTTAATATTCGAGTATTTAAAAATTCGATTATTTGAATATTTAAAAATGTACTCTATATTCAAATTATTCGAATGTACGAGGACATGAATCACAGATTATAAAGACATGCATATTCGAATTATTCGAATTTACTAGAACACGAATATTCGAATATTCGAATAATTCGAATACTCGAATATTCGAATAATTCGAATACTCGAATAATTCGAATATTCGAATAATTCGAGTATTTCAAATAATTTTTAAACGAGGATTCGAATTCCAAAAACTAACAAATTCCCAGCCTTAGTAAAAAGCCTAAATTAAACAACATTTTAAATATTCTCTAAGCGATATTTTACTTAATTTTATTAAAAATCTATTTTTTTATAAAAGGTTAATAAGAATGCCATTTTTTAACCTGATAAACGTAAAAATATCTAAAAAAAATGGGGATAAATCTTTTTTGCGTGTTATGCAAAATTATGAATTTACGCTTTTGCTTTATTAAAAATAAGCGATTTTTGGCTCAACCTGTATATATCAAATGATGTGAACAGTATTAAAAAGTATTCTTTTAGTCTTCTCAATAATATACTCTATTTTTATAAAAGTCGGTGTACAAAAGTGTACTCTGTCAAAGGTAAACTTTGAAATACACAAAAATTAAAAAAAAATCATAAATTTTCAAAGAATTTCGAAAAGAGGAGCAGCTAGGATTTTGGTAAATATCATTTTTAAGTCACCAAAGGGTCCCGAACAAGAAACTGCAATCAGTTTTTGGAGGCATTTTTATGTGACTTAAACTTCGTTCAGGCACACCGTTTATTCACAAGGATAAGGTTTGCGTCTCAAGGCGTTAGGCGAGAGACGTAATTCATCCGAGTAAATAATGCGCATTATTTCGAGTGAAATACTATGTTTTTTCTACTCCAATTAAGTAATTTTCATTGATAATAAAACTTATTATAACCTCACTTTTTCCCGATTTTAAAGATCATTATAGTCGCCCCTCGTATACAAGGTGTCCCTAAACTTATTGGCATAAATTTAGGAAAAGATTGAGCAAGTCAAAATAAGACGAAAACCTAAATAAATATTTTTCCTAATTACTTATGTTTCCAAGATACAGGGTGATAAAGTGTTACCTATCATATCAGTTTTTTTAATATAACTTCTACTATGGTAGTCTTGGAAACGTGATATTTTGCGAACAGTCACTTACTACCAAAACACATATTCACACATAATTATAATTGTTTGAGTGAACACAGTGTCGTAGAAACGGGGGTTGCTTTAAGCTTATTGTCCCATACAAACTTTGAGGTTTTTATAACATTTGATACAATTTTTCGATTACACAGTTCGTCTACCATTAAAAAGGTGTACCTCTCAAACTTCGATAAAATAAACCGTTTCCGAGATATTCGAGATTACAATAATTGTTACATCGCATTATTTAAAAGGATTAAAAGGTATATGATAACAAATTTTATTTTTTAATTAAAAAAAACTAAAAAACGGCATTCCATGAGCCTCGAGACTTTTTGCCCTGACCGTCACATTAAAAAAATTGTAGTTTTTTCAATTAAAAAATTTGTTATCATATACTTTTTAGTCCTTTAATGCGATATAACAATTATTGTAATCTCGGATATCTCGGAAACGGTTGATTTTATCGAAGTTTGAGAGTTTAATAGTAGCCGAACTGAGTAATCGAAAAAATGCATCAAATGGTATAAAAACCTAACCTCAAAGTTTGTATGGGACAATAAGCTTAAGCAACCCCTGTTTCTACGACACTGCGTTCACTCGAACAATTGAAATTATGTGTGAATATGTGTTTTGGTAGTAAGTGACTGTTCGCAAAATATCACCTTTCCAAGTCTACCATAGTGGAAGTTATATTAAAAAAACTGATATGATAAGTAACACTTTATCACCCTGTATCTTTTAAACATACCTAATTAGGAAAAATATTTATTTAGATTTTCGTCTTATTTTGACTTGCTTAATCTGCTCCTTAATTTATGCCACTAAGTTTAGGGACACCTTGTATATAAACAAATCTGACATCTATTAACCTTTCTTTTCCCAATTTAAAACCCGATTGGTTCAATTAACAGTGAAAATTTAAATCAGCCAATAACTGATGCCTAACAACGTGAATAATAAGGTTACCATTATTTACGGATTTTTTTTTACCAAGAAGTAAATTCAATAAATTCCATAATATTTTACTTACATACTTTTACTATATGTAATATATGTAATGACATGGCAGTGGCGCACTAAAAACTTTGATATTATTTTGAGTCTTAGCATAAGGCTGTCGAAACTTACCAGGTGGTAGAACTTAAAAAAATGTTACATAAATTTACTGCAAGAAACAACTCCTTAATGAGCTAGAGCCCCTTATAAGTCTGTCCCTGAAAATGGTTTTTCCTAAATATTTCCAAAACCTGGAGAGATCAAAAAATAAAATACTTTATACCAAAAATAAAGTTAAAATGTTGTTCAGGGGCGTCTCAGACAGGGTAGCACTAACAAAATTTCAGTTGGATCTTATCGGGTTCAAATTCTTTAAAAAATAGGTTGTTTACTTGCCAAACCAATTACATTGTTGTCAGATGTATTTTTTTACTCAACTTTTATACATTTTAGTTTGAAGACGATGGTGTAGTTTTGGCAGCAATGGTTTGGGGTAACGAAGATACCAACCACGCTGGTCTACTAATTTTAGATGCAAAAACATTTACCGAAATAGGCAGAGCCGAATTTGAAACCCCTGGACCGGTTCCTAAGTGTCTGCATGGATGGTTTGTTCCTAAAGAACCTTTAGTAATATAAGCAAAAAACATTGTATTGTTTACTATACAGAGTGCCCTAAGTATCCTATGTGTATACATATAATATTTTTTATTTGAAGTGCTTGTACAAGATGGATTGTAGAAAAAAAACGCAGTCAAAACCAAAAACCGTTATAACTTTGTTATTTCTGGAAAAATGTTTTACATGTAAACATTTACATCCAATTTTTAAGATATTGGTGGTAACTCAAAATCTAATTATTAAAAAAAAGTCACATTTATAAATAACAATTTTTGGTTTTGGCAGGTTTTTTCAATTTTTAAATTCAATTTAATTAGACTTATAATTACGCACCATTTCTCTAATTTAACCTTGTAACTTTTCAAATAAAAAAACATACATAGAGGGATACTTGGTGCAGCCAGTATACAAAAGATTAAATATTTACCTGTGTAGCAGTATTTTTTTATGAAATATAATTTGTTCAATATACTTTTACAAGAAATACTATAAAATTTAATTGTTATGCCTCTACCCTAGTAATAAATACTATCGAAAAACAAATGAATGAAACAGTAGAAGTAAGTTTTAAAATACGAAGTAATATCCCGTCGCATTCGCCATTTTTGCAACTCAATAGCTGGCCATACACAGACGTTATTGCGCGCGGTTTATCGTGTTATCTGCAAAAATATAAGGAAAATCATGTACGTGAGTGAGTATCGCTCCGCGCAATGATAGAACGGGAAGGTATTTCAGACGTGCTTTCCTCTGGACATCATTTCAGCAGTTTCCACACGCCACACGCCACATTCCGCGTCACGGTTTACCTTCGCTTGGCGAAATTTCACGTTGAAAATTTGTACATGATCACATGCAGTTTCAAACGACTCGATAAATGACACTTTTTGCCCACTCACATACGATTTTTCCTTTGAAACTGATATACCACGCGCAATCACTTGCTTAATCATTTGAATACTTTACCAAGTGTATGGAACATGACGCCGTTCTTTCGTGCATACTAACCGCTACATCCCAACACGCCACGATAAACCGCGCAAAATAACGTCTGTGTATGGCCAGCTAATGCCCATACGATTTATTTCGAATTCCACCACAATCGTGATTGTGAATTCTACAATATAAGTTTGATGAAACCTTACATTATCAATAGAGGGCGTTAGTATTAGTATATGTAAAGAAAGATTAAAAATAAGCTTTAATAAAAATTAAAATCAAGTACCTTAGACAAATCGGACAAAATTGTTTTTTTAAGACCATGTTTTATTATTTCTACTATTTATTTAGATCTCCTTTTGGTTTTCTATAAATTGACTATTTTGTTTTACTTTCATCAAATATTGGATTTACATAGCATTACAAAAAATTATATTTAAAAGCTAATAGTTTAGTAGTACTTTTGGATAAATTAGTTTTTAATCAAAAATTAAACTTAATTTCTTTTTTTCCATATAAAATAAAATAGTCCCTTATCAATGACCTTGTATTTTTTTTCCTATTTACAGTTTCATATTGAGCCCACAAAATTAAAGTAATTACTTATAAAAATTAATACAAATTATGCAGATGAACATTAGGGTGGTCCTTAATAAGGTTATTTTCAAATTTCTTTGCTCCCAGGGGCTCAAATAGTTCCAAATTGATAAAAAAAAATTCCCTGAAAATTTGAGCTCTTAATATTAACTCTAAGATAGTGCGCATTCCAATCTAAGTTTCCTATGGAAATAACATAGGAAAAATTACTTTTGTTGTTTATAATTTTATAACTTGGGAACGAATAAATTAAAAATTATAAATCATACATATTTTTATAGAGAATTTAACGCTCTACAAAAAAGGTCTCCTATAATTTTTCCATTAGTCTATTGGTTTAAAAGTTATTCAACGGCAAAGTTTAATTTTCATATTATTATTAATATTATCAAGGCTTTTTTATGAGGCGCCGTTTGTGTCAAAATTAAAAGTGCTAAATAAACTTATTTTGTTTTATAAATAATTAATTATATGCTTTATTTTTATATAAAATTATTTTTTTATAAATATATTTAAAAAAAAAAATTTTTTTTCTAAAAAAAAATAATTTTATAAAAAAGAATTATTTTATAAAAAAATTATTTAAAAAAAAAATTATTTTATAACATTTTTTACAAAAAAAAATTATAAAAAAATTATTTTATAAAAAATTATTTTATAAAATTTTTTACAAAAAACAAAATTATAAAAAAATAATTTTATAAAAAAATTATTTATAAAACAAAATAAGTTTATTTCACTTTTAATTTTGACACAAACGGCGCCTCATAAAAAAAGCCTTGATAATATTAATAATAATATGAAAATTAAACTTTGGCGTTGAATAACTTTTAAACCAATAGACTAATGAAAAAATTATAGGAAACCTTTTTTGTAGAGCGTTAAATTCTCTATAAAAATATGTATGATTTATAATTTTGAATTCATTCGTTCCCAAGTTATAAAATTATAAACAACAAAAGTAATTTTTCCTATGTTATTTCCATTGGAAACTTAGATTGGAATGCGCACTATCTTAGAGTTAATATTAAGAGCTCAAATTTATAGGGTATTTTTTTTTATTAATTTGGAAGCATTTGAGCCCCTGGGAGCAAACAAATTTGAAAATAACCTTATTAAGGACCACCCTAATGAACATTAAACATAACTTTTACATTTACAAACAAATTAATTTTAATTAAAAACATACATTTAACCCATTTTCAAATTCACTTTGTATGGAACGCCGTTGTATTTTTTAATCAGGAATTTCTAATAACACTTTTGAATTTCAGATATCTGAAATTAATTTCAGATATCTAAAATTATAGGTATTAAAAAGTACTTTGGCGTTCCGTTAACGCCAAAATATTTTTTAATCAGGAATTTTTGTTGTAACTTCAACTAATAGTCATATTTGTATTTACAATTAATTGTGTCAACTGTTTTAAACAATATTTATAATTCAACTAATTTAAAACTCAAAAATAATGTGGAATTAAAAATATCAAAGTGACCCTAAAATTAAAGTCAATTTTTAATTCAAAGTGATATTTGTAATTCACAGGAATTATCGATATCAAAGTGACCAGAAAATTCAAGTTAATTTTTAATTCAAACTGATATTCATAATTCGCATGAATTATAAATATAAACTTGAATTTTTAATTCAACTTATTTTCAACTAAAAAATGATGTAGAATTAAAATATTAAAGGGAAACTAAGAATTATTTGATATTTTTAAATGAAAGACATATTTTTAATTCCCACAGTTTGGACACCCCTGGTAATGTTGACGGTTCAATTTATCTAATGCAGTAGGTATATTTGCCTTAATCTCAGTTCAATTATTTTGCGGCACTATTTGTTTATATAATAATGTTTTTATTAATACTTACCTATGTAGTAAATATACCAACAATTTTAGCTTCGTTCCCGGCAGAGATAAACCTAGATAGATTTATCTAGGGAGATAAAGAAGGTTAGGTTTCCCGGCTGGAAATTCTCGCATTGTCAAATTTGTAGTATACTATAGTTCAACTGACTCAGTTGACCTACTTAACGATTTATGAGAATACCTGTGTAAATATTTAAAATATTAGGTAATTTAATTAATATTAATTATTATGCCTATTATTAATAAAAACGGTATTATATAAACAAACAGTGCCGCAAAATAATTTAACTGAGATTAAAGCAAATATACCTACTGTAGTAGATAAATTAAACCGTCAACATTACCAGGGGTGTCCAAACTGTGGGAATTAAAAATATGTCTTTCATTTACAAATATCAAATAATTCTTAGTTTCCCTTTAATATTTTAATTCTACATCATTTTTTAGTTGAAAATAAGTTGAATTAAAAATTCAAGTTGATATTTATAATTCATGCGAATTATGAATATCAGTTTGAATTAAAAATTAACTTGAATTTTCTGGTCACTTTGATATCGATAATTCCTGTGAATTACAAATATCACTTTGAATTAAAAATTGAGTTTAATTTTAGTGACACTTTGATATTTTTAATTCCACATTATTTTTGAGTATAAAATTAGTTGAGTTATAAATATTGTTTAAAATAATCGATACAATTAAAAATATGACTAGCAGTTGGAGTTGCAACAAAAATTCCTGATTAAAAAATACAACGGCGTTCCATAACTTTGTAATAATTATTTTATTTAAAATTCATTTAGGCAAGTATAACCTTAAAAATTTAATATGCAACACATTTTGCATTAAAATATTTAATTTAAATATAATACAGATATAAACCATAGTATATTTCCAATAAGAAATTTAACTTAAAAATATATGTTTACTTTTAACGACAATTTGTAGTTATACATATTAATATATGTATAACAAATCCAACAACAATGTAAACTCGAGTTTTGTCAATGAACACTATCACAGTTTTGAGAGTTGGCAGTTTATTAAATTTAACACTATTTATTACATAAACTTTAACATATAGGACGTTCCATGACAAATCGGCGACGGTTTTACCTTACCATTTTGTATCGGCCTGATTTTTTTTATACAAATGATTTAAAAACTTCACACAATTTATTTTTGAATGCCAATTACTTCTCGAATTTTTTAAAAAGTTGCATAGATTTTTGTTTTGTTTTAATGTACTTTTTTTTAAATACATAAATCGTTTGTGACGCACTTTTTAAATTTTTCCATTTTTTGTTTAAATTTTAATAAAACTCCATTAAAATTTGTTGTCAATTCTACGAATTTGAAAGCCCTGGCTGAACGTGGTAAAATAATTCTAAATATTTTTTTTTTGAATTTACTTAAGGGGAGCGCGATAAAATACCCATTTTTCAAAAACAGACATTCAAAAAAATAAGGTGAAATCGTTGTGAAAAAGGAATAATTATTTACGATATTTGCGCTCAAGTTATAGATTTTCCTATTTTCGAAGTTAACAGAAAACGGGTGTTTCCGGAATTTCCGATAACGAAAATGAAATAGAGCGCGATGTTCGATTTTCGTCAATCCTTAAATTACACCCACGGGATTACAATGATAACAAGGATCCAGCCGGGCTTATACACACTAAAATTATTTTATTTATAAAAATCAAACAGTAGACAGTAGCTCAAGCTTCCTACAGAAATTTTTAAAATTCACTATGAAAATGGTTGGTTAGTGTTTACCATTTACATAACTTGAAAATATATTTTTTTAATAATTTCTATATATATATATTATTATTATTATTATAAACACCTTGTTGGATAGATTAACTCTGTTAGTCAGGGTTTTGGCTAGATAACGTCTTTAAGGCCCTGGAGTTGTAGTCCATCTATGATGTTAACATGCCGATACGTAGAAAAGACGTTCTTTGTACGGTAGATGGTGCTAATAACCTTCGTTCACTGTAATACCGCTGTCGTTTATCCTGCTGCCTATAATGCGGCCGATGACTAGTTGTACAGATGTGTTTC